GCAGCACCGGAATACACACCAGACTTCTCTCCCACACAAAACCCTACGCCGCGTGCTTAACTCCCCGCAGCCACTCCTGGAAAACTCTGGCCTGATCAAGCCCCTGTACCATACGGCCTGGATATATTGTTACCATTGGCTCTGTTGTTAAATGCGGCGGCTTGTTAGGAATTGATGCCTGGACGTAGGGATTCGGTGAAGGCGGAGAGTAACGCTCGCCTCAAGTCGAAGTAGCGACTTTTCTGGTCCCTACATGCCCGGCCGGCCGTGGGTTTGTGCGGGCTGTAGATGGGTTACCGTTATAGGGGGGCGGGCCGCGAGGATGCGGCTTATCTCCATGCCCACCTGGGTGCCTGGACCGATGTGACGGCTTGTGATCGTGGATGACGTTGTGACGGCGGGTGAAAGGGCAGAAGGAGTTTTATAGACTGGCTGCTTTTGCCCGGCACTCACGCGGTGGATATGGGCTGTCGATGCCGGTTCGGTGGTGGGGAGTTGCAGTGTGAGTGAGTTGTGGATGCTCGGGTGGTGGCGGTGATGCGGAGGGTATGGATAGTGTTCCCGCAGCCGCGCTGGGATGGTGCTAGCTGGTTGATTCCGCTGGCTATAAGTGAGGGGCCGGGGATATATTTTCCCAGAGAGGCAGTGGGAGTAGAAGGACTGGCCAGGGGAGTGTTTGAGAGGGCGCGGCAGATGCGTCGGTGTTTCCCGCGGGGGACGTTTGGAGTGCGTGACAGACAGAGAGACATCACTTTTTGGAACATATAATAGCTAGCATTATAGTGGATATAGATAGGAGATACTTACCGTTCTGCACATAATTCCAGCTATCCCGCATTCCGACGCGCAAAAGTAGAATAGTAGCTCAACACACACACACACACACAAACGGAAATAGCAATACCGTTACAAATCCCACCACCCCCCCATCTTCAATTGCCCAGGATCACTGATCAACGGGTTTCCGGGCGAGCATGAAGTGGAGGGTTCGAACATGGATTCCTTCCCTCACACCCGAAAACGTGATCGATAGGCACTTTCCTATTTCCGTCATTGAAATTTCGGGCCTCCGTCCGCCTACATACATGTGAGTACAGGACTAAAAATACAGGCCCTACATACAATACTAACATATACATTCATGTAACTTGCGGGTATTTCTGGCTTACGGTGCGGGAAGGGGGGAAAGAGAGGGTGAAATCGTCAGTCTCCAAGGAGGTCTTCGTAAGTCCCAAAAAGAAAGACTTGCAGGGTGCTAGCTTCAAACACTCTTGGGTGGTCAACTGGGTGTGCTGCAAACACAGGAACCCTAACCTGCTGCGGTCGGAGAATTATTGGAGGAAGGGAGAGGAAGGATGTGTAGCTAGCTAGCACAGAACGGAAACCGGGTTGCTTGAGAGGGGATAGAGTGGTTAATTAGAGAAGAGAGGAATGGAGGGGATAAATTTGGCAATTACTTACAGCAGTGAGTGGGCTTTCGTTTGGATGGGTTGGGTTGGCGCACGTTGAACGGCGCTGCACTGCTGCTGCACGATGCACATAGGACATGAGCTGGGTGCATACATAGACGCGCGAGTTGGAGGTGAGTTTACTCTCGTGCGGTGCACTGGAGAAAACGCTCAAGCAGAAAAAAAAACACAGAAGAGTTGACTGCTCGCTCCCTCTCTCCTCTATCTGTGAATCTGAACATGAACTGGGTGATCGAACTACGCGGTATACGTTAAGGAAGGAAAGGTTAAGGAAGGGAACAAAAGGATGGAAGGGACTCAACTGCAGCAACTGCACGACTGCACTGCACTGCCCCAATGTCAAGACGCAAACGCAAACAGGTAGGGGGATGAGGCTCGTTTCTGGGCATACGTGTGTTTCACGTTGGCTGGAATAGGGAACAGGGAGTTAGCCCCTGGATCTTGGACCCTTTCCCCAGCTCTTACTCTCTCGAGGGGGAGGGAAGTCACTGTTCCGTCTCGACTGATAATACCTCTCACAAAAGACTCGACTGGAAAGAAAGAAAGAAAAGAGACAGGAATACATACACTCTCTTTAAGTTTCCTGTGCTCCTTTCGTTAAGGCTGTAAGTACACATACCCCACCCCCAAATCTGTCCTCGTAACTTCTTACCTGCAGCAGGTTGTTTCTCGTCAAGTCTGCAGGCCTTACACCACCCCCTCCCCCTACTGCTTCGTCCCATCATCATCAGCATCATCATAGTGAAGGAGGACCACTCTCTATCCTCTTCCCCCCCCCCCCCCCCCCCCCCCCCCTCCATCCCCTTTCATCATTATCTCATCTATCCCACCCCACGATCCTATCAAATCAGATCTGCCTGCCTGCCCAAAGTGCAGTGGTCGGCTTTACTCTCATTACATAGCACCTGACATTGATTTGCTTTTTTGCCCTATTCTAGGTTTACCTACCTGCTCTCTCTCTCTCACTCAGCCTGGTGCACCACCTTCGTTAAGTTCCAACAACAACCTGCAGGGTGTCTATCCAAGTTCTTCTCTGGTCGAAGATCGCATCAGCACGTCTGCGCCCACTCGCTCTCTCACTCACTCACTCTCAGTCACTCTTTCACTCTCTTTCTTACTTTCTTACTTTCCTACTTTCTTTCCTTCCTTTCGTTCCTACTCACCCAGAAGCAGCAGCAGTAGCTCATCAAGAACGCCTCTGCCTGTCTCTCCCGTCGCCAGATTCAATATAACGAAGCCACACCCACTCCACCCACCACCCCCCACCCACACTCGCTAGAATTCGCGACAAGAATTCGCAATCATGAAGTTCTCTTCGCTCACACGAGCACTCGCTTCTACAGCACTGCTAACGGCCTCCCTGTTCTCGAGCTCTGCTGTGGCCATCGATGTTGACCCGACCAACCAAGGTGTGTTGTGTGTTGCTGTTGCTGTTGCTTTGCGTTGAGCGGCGGCGGCTACACGCCCCTATTTGTACCCGCCGAGTGTGGGTGTAGAGTGACGCGACATGAATGGCCCCCACCACGTCAGCACCCTCTACCTGTACGACCAGGCTCACAAACAAGAGCGTCGCGCCCGAAGCTGCCGGGCCGACCTGTGATTGCGCCCGACAAAAGCGAGACGGAGAGGTCGTGGCGGTGTAGTCTCTGGAGCCGGGACCATACCAGACTGAGTCCGACTGGGAAAAGAAACCAATCAAGGAGATACTACTGGGGACCTGGAGTGCGCCTATGAGAATTAGCCAGGCAACTAAGGCAGGGAGAATGCTATGAGCCTCCCCTGCTAGCTGTTCGTCTCCGCTCTTGCGCCCACTATGCTCGCCTCAAGGTTTATCAAGTTTTTTCCGTTTCTCGTGAGCTCTACGGATCCATGTAGGGAGTCGAAGTTATCTGGCACTAACACGAGAGCTCGTACTGACCAGATGACAACCGATATGCGTAGACGAAAGGCCACTTACTCAACCAGAGACGGCCGAGCACCCCACTTTCGGGTCCCCTTTTTGGCATGTCAAGCACCCAGGGACAACTAAAACCACTCCGTGAATACCTCGATGACCAACTGGCCCGAGGTTACATCCGTTCCTCCTCGTCCCCAGCCGGCGCCCCGGTCCTATTCATCAAAAAGAAGGACGGCTCCTTACGACTATGCGTGGACTATCGGGCCCTCAATGCCATCACGGTCAAAAACAGGTACCCCCTGCCCTTGATCAACGACACGTTAGACCGGCTTAAGGACGCCAAAATCTATACCAAACTGGACCTACGCAATGGTTACAACCAGATACGGATCAAGGAGGGGGAGGAATGGAAGACGGCTTTCCGAACGCGATACGGGCTGTTCGAATACTTGGTCATGCCCTTCGGCCTCACAAACGCACCTGCCACCTTCCAGGCTTTCATGAACGACACCCTGCGGACCCACCTCGACGACTTTTGCACAGTATACCTCGACGACATCCTCATCTACTCTAACTCTGAGGAAGAACACTCGCGACATGTAACTACCGTCTTGGACAAGCTACAGGCAGCGGGACTACACTGCAAACCCGAAAAGTGTGAGTTCCATGTCAACCGTACGGAATACTTAGGGTACATCATCTCGGGCGAAGGGGTCACCATGGATCAGGGCAAGATCAAGGCGATATTGGAATGGCAGGCACCTACCTCGGTCCCACGACATCCAGGCTTTTTGGGATTCGCCAACTTCTATCGACGATTCATTAAGGACTACTCGAGAGTGGTCGCCCCGTTGACAACCCTGCTAAGGAAGGACACCAAGTTCGACTATACCCCAGCCGCCGACAAGGCTTTCAACGCTCTAAAGAAAGCTTTCACCACCGCACCGATACTCAGACACTTCGACCCCGCAAGAGCCTGTACCCTGAAAACCGATGCCTCCGACTTTGTTGCAGCCGCCGTACTCTCCCAGGAGGATAACCAAAGGATTCTACACCCAGTGGCCTTCTACTCGCATAAGATGACGCCGCCGAATGCAACTACGAGATCTACGACAAGGAACTACTTGCGATAGTACGGGCCTTTGAGGAATGGCGAAAATACCTGGAGCCTAGCAATGAGGAGATCGTGGTCTACTGCGACCATAAAAACCTGGAGTACTTCATGTCCACAAAGCTCCTCAACCGTCGCCAAGCACGCTGGGCTCTCACCCTGTCCTCCTTCAACTTTGTAGTCACCTACCGCCCGGGCGCAAAAAAATGGGAAACCTGATGCCCTCACACGTCGATCTGGAGATCTCCCTAAAGAGGGGGATGAAAGACTTGCACAACAGCATCAGGTTATACTCAAACCGAAGAACCTCCGCCTCGCCGCGCACTACAAGCTCTCAAGATCGCCGCTGTATCCCTTAACCGCCACGACGAACTCCGCGCAGCACTAAGGAAGGATCCCCTCTCCAGACAACTGATGAAGGACATCGCCAACAAGAAAAAGCACTCCCGTTTCCTACCAATAGGCGAGTGTTCAATCAGGGATGGACTGTTGTACTATCAGGGCCTGATCTATATCCCTGACGATGCCGCTATCAAACTGGAAGTCCTCCGCACTAACCATGACGCCCTTCGGCTGGACACCCCGGACGCGCCCGCACACTGGAACTCCTCTCACGCAATTACTACTGGCCACAAATGCGGAAGTACGTCGCCCGCTATGTAGACCACTGCGACACTTGCTCTCGGATCAAACCAGTCCGACACGCCCCTTATGGCCTCCTCAAACCCCTCACACCACCCACAAAGCCTTGGTCATCGCTGTCCATGGATCATGTTACTGGCCTCCCGGAGTCCCAGGGATCCAACGCTATCCTCGTAGTGGTCGACCGACTGACCAAAATGGCCCACTACATCCCCACCAGAGACACGCGGACGCGGCCGAACTGGCCCGCCTGTTCCTACAACACGTCTGGACATCCCATGGCCTACCCAAGGATATAGTGTCCGACAGGGGTACCACCTTCACGTCGCAGTTCTGGAGGACGCTGTGCAACCAACTGGACATCAAACCTCGGTTCAGTACCGCCTTCCACCCTCAAACCGATGGACAGACCGAAAGGGTGAACGCCATAATGGAGCAATACCTACGGGGCTATGTCAACTATCAACAGGATAACTGGTCGGAGTTCCTTCCCCTCGCAGAGTTCGCGCACAACAATGCCACCACGGAACCACTGGGGGTCAGCCCCTTCTTCGCGAACTATGGATACAACCCTCAGCTGGACACCCTCCCCTCAGAAGAAAGGCACGAATCTACACCCAAGGAAGTGGTCGATTTCGCCAACTCGATCTCCACCCTGCAAGCCGCGTTAAGATCTGAGATACTGTACGCCCAAGCCGCCGCCACCGATAGCGCTAATGCGGCCCGACTCCCAGAACCCCATCTCGAAGTAGGGGACATGGTATGGTTATCCCGGAAGCATATACGCACCACTAGACCCTCGGACAAATTGGACCACAAACGACTGGGAAAATTTAGGATCCTCGAACGCATTGGGTCCCACGCCTACCGATTGGAACTCCCCGCGTCCATGAAGTCCCATCCCGTCTTCCATGTGTCCTCGCTAGAGCCGGCTCGAAGGCACCCACTTCCTGGCCATATACAACCGCCACCGCCACCAGTGATCGTCGAGGGAGAAGAGGAGTTCGAGGTACAGGAAGTGATGGATTCCCGGATACGCCGCAACCAGCTGCAATACCTGGTCAAGTGGACAGGATATGAGCAACCCACTTGGGAACCAGCCCGGAACCTCGACGCAGAATTAGGGTCGCTGCAACGCTTCCACTCGCTGTACCCCAGCAAGCCGTCCCGGGATGCCACGAAGCCCAAGGCACGGAAAGTATGAGTTTGTTAACGGTTTCTTTCTCATACGAAGCCGCCCTATCTTACGTCTCCCGCTTAGAATATTATGAGACCACATTACTAACCTCTCTCCCTGTTCGTTCTCCTACCTCGTCGCTCGCAGGAGCTCGCCCTCCCGGAGGGGGAGCTAAACTGTTACGAACCACACCCACCACACAAGGAGGAACGAGCCATCGCGGAATTCTGGAAGGTTCTCTTGGTATTAGTCATCGCTAGTCTGTTTTCCTTGTATATAGGGGTCTCTCACCCCGCTTAGCTTTACCTTTCCTTTCTTCTCTACGCAACATCTTGTACTATACTTTGGGTTATTACTTTGGGGGATTTACTTCGCTTCAATACAAACTTTACTTCAAAGCCACGTTACGTCTGCTGTTCATCATGCTCTTTGCATCCGCCGTCGCTGTCCTCACGATGCTCGTGACCTTCGCGCTGTTTCCCTCGGCTAATCCGCCGACCGCTATCCTCCCTGTCCTCGTACAGGCCTCGGCCCCTGTCCTAGTACAGACCCTCCTCCCTGTCTTCGTGCAGGCCGCTGAACCATTCCTCGTCTCAGTACGAGCCTTTGTCGCTCCCTCTTCTCGGAGCCCCCTGATGTCCCTCGACCCCGTAGCTATACCTTCGCCCATGGTTCTTTACAGGAAGAGTCTACGAAATCGAGTACCTTTCCTCATCTAGGTAGGAGGACGAGATTACTCCGATGCCGGAAAGCGAGGGTATTTTGATTCCGGGAAGCGAGGTTAGTATTCCGGAGGATACTCACGACATCTTTGAGAACACTGGCGACATTACTTCGAGCCAATTGACTCAGAGGTCTGTGGTCCCTAACTGTAGGAGTGCAAATGTGCTGTCAGTGCAGGCTCAGAGGATTGAGAAGGAGTGTAGCGTGTTAATCGGGAAGCATACTCTTCTACATGAGCCCTTTCCACCTGCAGCAAGACTTTTGGTACTGGTAGTGAGCATGTGGGCAACTGCTAGTCGCCGAGTGGGATGTAGAGTAGACCTTGATGAGGTCGTTATTAAACAGGTGAGTGCCCCCAAAAGGATTACGAGTGCTCTGGAAGCATAATTGAGAATGATAGGTCAGAAGTCTGTACTCCCGTGTCCGTTCCCACTTGATGCACGAGGTGAAAGGGCGCCTGGTGGACTCTACGATATACGGGCTTGGAGATTTTGTGGGGCCTGAGGCGAGGGCGGCTCAAGTGGAATACCTTTTGAAGAATGATCGTTTCTTGAGCCCCCAACAGCATTACGAGGTATGATGCCAGTGGATGGCCAGAGAGCACTCGGGATAGCTGGTAATAGATTCTAGACCTACCGACTGAGCTTCCTGGCTCCGGAAATTATCGATATATTGTAGTTTAAATACTTTAATGGGGTAAGAATGCGAGGGGTTAGTGATCCCGAATTTCTAGAGCGGATAACCCCTATCCTTATTTGCCTGATATCGACGGCGATCTGGAACGGCATTCGGGCGTGGTCACCAGGGAGTTACGTGAAGCCTGATAATTTTCAGTCGCAGAATGAGAGTGTTGTGAGTAAGTATGGCCCGATGCCCTCATTGTTATGGCGAGTCCCTTGGGAGCAATGACGGATGCTTCTAGGGCTATACGGGATTGCCAAGCTGACATCCAAACACGAGTAGAAACATTCAACAGGCTGAGCAACACTTGGAAGGGGAGAAGTAAACAGAACCAGGAGGCAATCTTGGAGGTAATCAAAGATAACCTTCGAGAAAAAGTATGATACTTCTAGATGCCGGTAATGCGAGTGGTATTCTAAATGCTAACCCTAATAGATACGAGATAAAAAAGGGGTAACGATTGAGATTATACCGGAGGAGGGTTTTAGCGAGGACGATGAAGCTCTGGCTGCAGATCTTGCCACATTCCGAGATGCTCGGAGAACATCCACGAGTGCTCCAGAAGGTCGAGTTGATTTCGACAGCACCCAGGACGAAGTGATTAATGCCCGACTTCGCGGCATTGACACCGAAGTGGACGGGGAGGAGGAAGAAGAAGAGCTGGAATTACCTGTAACGGGGTATTACGAAGGGTGGGGGGAGGAGGATTTGTAGAACAATCACGAGTGCTAAGGGAGATCGTGGGGGATTTCTTCTGATTCGTATATTGTATTAGGGTTAGTTAGGGTTTTAAATGGCGTATTGTATTTAGTATTAGGCGGAGGATCACGGTGTTGAAGACACCAATTCTCAAAGTGCAGTCGCGAGTGCTCTGGAGACAGTAGAGATCGTCGTGCGAGCGATGTTTTTGTAATCTCATGGGAGAATTGTGAATACCAGAGGCCGGAACGGCGGAAAGGTGTATGCCTAGAGAGAACGGGGCGCCGACATGTAGGAATCGGTACGTCGGGCATGAGCCAGATTTCAAAGCACCCCATCCGGCAACGTCAGGGGAGTCAGGGCAATCATTCGATCCCCAAAGCCCGCTGGAGCAGTGAAGAGTGCTCCAGGTGCAGTCAGGATATCCAACCGTGCAGCCAGCGTTCTCTGACGGGTAAAGTGAGGTCCTAGTTACACGGGCGCTAGTATTTAGTGTCGGGGCCCGTTGTGCGGACTAGTGTGCGCTGGGGCGGAATAATGTGCGCCAGACCTCGCCAGGAGCACTGGCGGTATCTCTGGAGAGATAGTTTACCTACCAAGCGACCTGAGCACCCTGAGCGCCCCGGGCATCTGGCGAAGGCTACAGGTTGCTGATGAGGTGGATTGGATGCCGGTGGAACGTTATCCAGTGCTCCCCAGATACTCCTGATTGCTCTGCTGTGTGCGGTGTGCTTCAGGATCAAATTGCAGAGCTCTGGAAACGTTATCTTTGTCAGAATTCCAATGAACGAAGGCTCATTTTGTGGATAGTTCCAGTGATAGGTAGGAGGCGGGACAACGTTGAAGAATGCTCCTAGAGCATCGGGGTCTACCACTGTGACCATTATGGAAGGTCTATCGAGATCTGCAGACACTGGATCCCGTTTACGCTTCCTAGAGCGTTGGGCGGGCTGTCCACCGTCGTCATCATCATCACTATCGCCGGCAGCTTCTCTGTACTCGCGATTTCCCTGCCCTCTCGATAGCTTTTCCTTCTGTCCAACATCACCAATCAGCCACTTCAAAGCATCCGCGAGTACTCTACGGGCTTCGGAATCGACTCCTGTCCAAATAGGCAGGAAAGCGCGGAGCGAGCATAAGTTCATCACATACAGGCATAGAGCATCGAACGCTGCTGCCCCGGGAACGCTTTTATTAACCCAACCGACGTTCTGCATCTGCGCTTTGAGGCTGTTGCGGATGTTAGTGTACACTTTAGGTAGGTTGAGCAAACCTAAAGTCATTTTTGCTTTATTCGCCTGAGTCATTCTGAATTGACCTTGAGCGGTGGGAGATGCTTCCGAAGCACTCGTGTATGCTACCTGAACACTCAGGGGTGTTTCTGGGGCACGGGCTCTGCTGCTTCATCTCTGCTCTACCGGTGGAGGAGTGTCTAATGCTCTGGAGGGGCCAGCAACTGAACTCTGTATTGGTAGCCGGCGAGGGGGTCGGGTTGGTGTCTTTGGTGCTCTCTGTGAAGCACTGACGGTTGCTGTTGGAGCAGTGGAACGAACTGGAAGCACGGCTCTATGGACAGGGGCTGGTGGTGGTGGCGGTGAGCTGCCGAGTTCTGGGGAATCACTGGGGACTCGTAAAAGTGCCCGTCTGCTTCTTCTTCAGGGTGCCGGGCTTGCTGCCGGGCTTGCTGCTGGGCCTGCTGGGCCTGCTGCTGGGTGTGCTGCTTGGCGCTTTGCTGAGTGTGTTGCTGGGCCTGCTGCTGAGCATTCGCCGTTGGAGTCAGAATCAGATTGCAATGATATCCACTGCTTCGGTAAGAGTCCTTCAGCGTTTTTAGGGCTCTGGCTGAGGGGGGCAACGCTAGGAGGCGCTTGCGAGTAATGAGGGGGAGGTGGTGGGCGCTGCGGAGGAGGTGCTTGATGCTGTACTGAAGGCACTGCCGGGCGCTGTGAGGACGGTGGTGGGAGCTGCGGAGGAGGTGGCGGGAGTTGCGGGGGAGGTGGTGTGAGCTGCGGGGGACTTGAAAGCACTGGCGAGTGCTCCGAGGATGTCTCTGCTATCTCTTCCGGGATAGCCTTTAGAGTTTTCCGCGACTTTCGACGTGAGGAACGGGAAGATCTATGCTTCTTGTGTTTTCGGCGGGAGCGTTTGTAGCTACTACTGCTACTGCTGCGACTACTGCCACTATTATCAGTACTGGATTCGTCTGAATCTTGATCTCGATGGCGCCTCTTTCGACTTTTGTGAGGTTTTTCGGTATTCTGTGAGCGCTTGGGAGTGCTCTGAGAGGAGTTTGGAGTCTATTGTAAATCTGTGATGAATATGGTTCAGAAAGCAATCGGGTTAAGGAAGATATACCATCTTATATATGATTGCAAAGTGTATAGCTTGAAAGCTTGAACTTGAAACGAAACTTGAAAGCTTGAACTTGAAACGAGACTTGAATGCGCTTTCAAGAGGTAATCTTGAAAGCTTAGATACCAGAGCGCTTGAAGTGATAGGTATTGCTGGACTTGAAATTCAAGATGGTTAGGAATATCTCATGAACTGGAAGGAGGAGAAGGGTGCTCTTATACCGAGTACAATCAGCTTTACCAGGCTCATCATCGTTCTTCCTGGAGCACCACCATATGCTATATAAGCATTTGAGATTGCTATAGAAGCACTCGAGGGTGCTGTACGAGCACCCTCGGGTGCTCCTACCGTGCTGAATGTTTGCTCCCACACATGACGTAGATGAATGCTCTAGGCGTACTCGAAAATGCTATGGTGGTTTGATTCAATTTGAAATGGCGTAGATGAATGCTCTAGGCGTACTCGAGGATGCTCTGATGGTAGCATCGATAGTGGTGTCGGCAGCATTCCGGTGTTGGGTTGGTGTTTGTGTTCTTGTTGGTATCGGTGCTCTGTGCGCTAGGAAGCTGAGTCGGAGAGAATCTATCCTTTGAGATTGTAGTCGATATTGGTGTTGAATTTGGTGCTGAGAATAGTCTCTCGATCTGAATAGCATCCGCGAGTGCTCACAGAGAGTGTGCGAGTGCTCAGAGGGTAGAACATGGCATCGCTGTCGGCGTGATTGTGGTGATTGTTGTTTCTTCCTGTTGTATTTGTGTTGGGGTTTGTGTTTGCATTATTCGGTTGGAGATGTATGACGTGAAAATCTGCCTCGCTATGGTGGAGGTGCGAGCGCAAGGCTCACAATCATTTGGCGAGCGCTTTGGCGAGCACTCCGCATGGGGTGACAAATCGCTTGTAGAGCACTCTGCACAACCGCTTGGCAGCGAGAGCCTCATGTGGTGACTAATTGCTATTAGAGCACTCTGCACCACCTGCAGGAAAGAGCCTCCTCAGCCTTGGCAGACTGCAAATTCTCGAATTCAATGAAATCGTCTTGCCCTTTTTGCAGCAAGAAGTACAGCTCCTCCGCCAACTTTGACAGACATCTTCGAACGATCCATCCTCTGGAAGCAGATGAATGGTTGGGAAACCAATATTCGCTCCTGGAGCACGATCAACCTGCGGAGACTCCCGACTACACTGATGAAAGCCCAGAGAGCATTCCCGACTGCTATTCAGACACGCATTACGCTTCGGAGTCGGATAGTTTTGACCAAGTTTCTGGTAACAATTCGGACATAGAATCTGAATCATATTTCGTGATGGAAGAGGCAGACGGCGATTTAAATGGACATAAGGCATCTACAACAGTTTATGAGGGTGCTGGGGAACCACTTTACCGCTTGTAGGACTACGACGAATACTGACAGAGCCTTCTCCGATACCCATAGCACCCATTCAGGTCAGCATACGAGTTCAGAATGGCAAGGTATTTCGTACTGTCCAAAACCTTCCAGGGAAACATCGACAGCTTCTTTCTACACGCTCCGCCAAGCAGTGACGAGTGCTCCTCCAGCACTGGGCGAGGTTGTATCAAGAGGCTGGAGGAAATGAAGGACATATTGGGAAAGTCGAGCTGGAATCATTCGGAGGTGGATATTGGGGGGGAGAAGATCTCTTACTACTACCGGGATCCAATGGTAGTCGTCCGATATCTTTTGGGGCAACGTGCCTTCCGGGAGTCATTGGTGTACTCGCCGGTAGTGGAGCATAATGAATTTGGCTAGCGATTGTACGGGGAAATGCATACAGGAGATTGATGGTGGGAGATACAGGTCCATAGGCTTCGCCCTCTCAACTTGAAATCCGAGTACTACAGGAGATGTCGCTAATGCTTTCTCGATAGAATACGTTACCGGAGGGGTCCACTGTCGTACCAATTATCTGCGCGTCGGATGGCACACATCTGACAAATTTTAGCGGGGACAAGAAAGCCTGGCCAATCTATTTTACCATCGGGAACATCAAGTCGTCGGTGCGCACCAAGCCCACAGGGCATTCATTCATTCTCCTAGGGCTTCTACCTGTGCCACCGAAGCTCGGGAAGATTACAACACTCGCTAACTCCGTTTTACGACGTCAGAGTCAAATGGCGCTGCACCGCGCTCTTGGGGAGATCTTTCAAAGCATTCGCGAGTGCTCTCAGGAGGGCGAGTTAATCAAATACGCCGATGGCTACGAACGACTATGCTTTCCGGTGCTCTCGGGCTGGATCGCTGACCAACCCGAGAATTCAAACTTGCAACACATTAGCACTAGTGCTTTCCCAAGATGCGAGGTGGAGTTTCACAATCTTGGGAGCACTCGTTGAAGCTCTATGCGCAGTCCCGAAGACTACAGGGAGAGAGTACAGCTATTTAGCGAGAATCCGGGCAACCTGGAACCGGTAGAATACCTTGTTGCGAGATTGGTCAAAACACTCTTCAATGCTTTCTGGGGTATGCCGAGGGTTAATCCGTACGATCTCAATAAACCGGACATATTGCACAATATCTACCTGGGGATGTTGAAGCACATGATGGAGTGGATTCAGGGTTTCTTGAAGAAGCATCACCGATTGAAGGAGTTCGACAGCGCTTGGGCTTCGATTGCGCCTTACCCTGTGCTGGCAGTACCAAACAAAGCATATCGTTCTACCACCCAATGGCAAGGGAAAGAGATGCGCAATCTGGGGCGGGTCGTTCTGAGAGCACTCGCGGCTGCTCTGAGAAACCCGGGAGTGGCTGCCAGGAGCGACTTCGCAAAAGCGTTGAAATGTGTTCGAAGCCTAATAGACTTCCACTTAATGGCGCAATATGGGAGTCATACAACGAGCACACTGAACTATATGGAGAACTATCTGGAGGATTTCCATAAACACAAGGATATCTTTTTAGAATTCAAGGCGTACAAGAAGACGTTAAAGGATGCGAGAGATCGAACGAAAGCAGTAACTAGCTCCCAGATCACCCAGCAATGCTTCCAGAGCACCCAATGAGGCTTGAAGGAGATCCGGGAGAATCGGGAAAGATCGCACTTCAACTTCATCAAATTGCACGTCTTAATGCACTACCGGGAGCACGTTGAGCGCTTTGGGAGCATTCCTCAATACTCCACGGACGTCAGTGAGCTTGCCCATGTACGGCAGGTAAAAGAAGCTTACAGAGTGTCCAACAAGGCTGATGCTGCGATACAGATACTGGACTATGGAGGGAGGCGATTGGTGTTAGAGATCCGAATTCTAAATCTGAAAGATAGCGTCGGAGGTCCTGAGAGTACTGACGACATCCTCTTGAGCCATCGGGATAACCTCAAGGAGTTGCTCAACATTTTCAAAATCGAGGACCGCAGGAAAACGCCGAATGAACGCTCAATAGTAGAAAGCGGACTGCCCCTGAAGCGTCTTTGCAATCCCTACTCGAAATCGGAAAGACTTTTCAACGTGGCAGATGGACTGCAAATGAGCCATATCACGCTGTATCGCCTGATAAAGGAGTTTGCAGAGGATGCGGGATGGTTCCAGAGCTTTGCCGGAAGCTCTGAGAGCATTTTGGAGCGTCGGGTGGAGGTGTTCACATGTTTGCAGGTTCCAATACCAATCTTCCAAAGACCTGAGGTGTACGAAGTTCACAATATCAGGTGTACGGGAACATTATCTTCTAGGAAGGGGAAAATAAGAAAGGATTGGGCATGGGTATCGGTAGGTTCCTCAGAGCAGTGGGGAGTGTTTCGGGAACGCTTACCAGGACGAGTGGAGGCTCTGTTCAAGGTACGGGATAGCACAGGACGCGCACATAGACTATGTGTAGTTGAGCTGCTTGAGGCGAAGGATCGTGGTATCGCTGATAGCTCACATGGGCTGCTGAAAGTCTTTAGTAGGAGGAGGAAGAAGATGTGGGTCGTGAATATTCGGAGTATATTAGGAATGGCCCATTTGTTCGAGGTGGATGCTGGCAATTGGCTGGTAAATACTAGGATAGATTTGCATACGTGGAATGAATTCAGTTAAATGCTGTAAAGCATTCCCGAGTGCCATGCAGTGATATGGGAGGATTACCGAGTGCTAACTAGTGACGTGAGAGGATTACCGAGTGCTATCCAGTGATATGAGAGGAATACCGAGTGCTATCCAGTGATATTAGAGGAATACCGGGTGCTATTCAGTGAATGCTCTGAGGGCAGTGGCGAGTGCTCTACGAGTGGAATGTTAGACCCAATAGGACTGTCTAATTCAAATAGGTATCGTTCTGCTAAGCATGGGGATTGGAAGAGGGAGGTAAGTTTCGGCCGCTCAGTATCTGAGTCTGGCTATCCTGCAAGCTCGCCCCAGGAGGACGCGGTAGGCAGGCATTGGTCTTCCGACTAGTAAAATCATCCTGCACCTTTTTCCAGTCCATGTTGCTGCTTAGGCATGGACATTGAGCTTTTGAGACGAGCCGTACCATGGCCTCAACCTCCAGGCTTATGCCTTTCACGAATCAACAGATACATACACGTTCATCAAAGGTTTGGTAGCCATCTCCAGTATACACGACAGTGATCGTATCAGTATTCCGTGACTGACCGTTCAGCGGCGTGAAGAATACCCACGTAAGATATTGTTTGAGAGACTGGCGATGCCTACCTTGCCTTTGAAGAAAGCTTATCGATTCATATGGGTGTAAGTAGGGGATGTCCCACCTTGAATAGTATTATCAAAGATGTTTTGGTAGCTCTACGAACATTGGTCAGTGCTCTCCAGACTTGGGCTTAGCAGTGCCTGGAAAACCATGTTGACGAAGACTGTCTTGGCGTGAGCGATATACTCCGGCGGTGTCTGGCGGGCAGCCCGGTGAGAATGCTCTCCTGGTGCAGATAGCACTGATGAGTGCTGTCAGGGTGCTGACGCTGTCTCCTGGTGACCCCCGACGCGTCCGTGATTCATTGCCAGTCACTGGGCAGAGACTCATTCGTTGATCGTTATCCAGACGCAGGATGCATACCCCAGGCATGTCATGGCGGGGAGAGCATTGCCGGGTACTCTTAGGACGTGCACCACATTGGCTGGACGTTCCTGATGCGTGAAGGTGCGCAATGCGCCTAGAGAAGATCGCGGAGAGAGCATTGCTAGGTGCTCTGGAGATATAGGTGATATCGCTCGGAGCACTCTGTAGACAGCAGCATTAGCGAGCGTAAAAAAAAGCTCATTAGGAGGACTATTCGGTACTGCTTGGAGCGAGTGCTCTTTTTGGAGCGAGTGCTCTGCTTGGGCGAGTGCTCTGCTAGGATCGAGTGCTCTGTCGGAGTGCTCTGCTTGTGTCGAGTGCTCTGCATGAAGCGAGTGCTCTGCTTGGAGCCAGTCTCTGTTGGAGTATATAGACGATTATGCGCCCTGGTGCTGCCAGAGAGGGAAAATAGTGCTCAGGAGGCGTCGGGCATGGGAATGTATCGTCTGGCATGAGCATTATGCTCTGGTGATGCCTGGCGTGGGAGCTCTACCCTGGCGACGCCTGGCAAGAGCACTTTACCCTGGCGACACCTGGCATTCTTAGCACCCAGGGCGTAGGCTCTGCGCCCTGAGGAATCCCAGAGTTTGCTGATGGTCGTTCTTGGAGTACTCGCGGATGCTTTGAGAAACCCGGGGGTGGCTGTCAGGGGCGACTTCGCAAAGGCATTGAAATATGTACAAGGCTTAATCGACTTCCACTTAATGGCACAGTATGGGAGTCATACGACGAGCACACTGAATTATATGGAGAGCTATCTCGAGGATTTCCATAAGCACAAGAATATCTTTTTAGAATTCAAGGCGTACAAGAGGACGGTTAAGGATGCGAGAGATCGGACAAAAGCCTTGAAGACCTCAGGCCCCCAGAGCGTTCAGCAAGGTTTGGAGGAGATTCGCGAGATACGCGAAAGGGCTCACTTCAACTTCATCAAATTGCATGTGTTAACGCACTATCGGGAACATGTCGAGCACTTTGGGAGCATTCCACAGTACTCCATTGACATCAGCGAACTAGCCAATGTAGGTCAGATAAAATAGGCATACGGAGTATTCAACAAGGTCGATGCTGCAACGCAAATACTAGACTATGGGGGGCGGCGGTTAGCGTTAGAGATTCGAATTCTGAATCTGAAAGACATTGTTAGAGGTCCTGAGAGCACTGAGGACATCCTTTGGAGCCATCGATATAACCTGAAGGAGTTACTTGAGATTTTTAAAATCGAGGACTGGAAAAAAACACCAAATGAACGATCCATAGTAGAAGGCCGACTGCCTCTAAAACGTCTTTGCAACCCCTCCACGAAATCGGAAAGACTTTTCAATATTGTGGATAGACTGCAAATAAGTCATACCACATTATATCGCCTGATAAAGGAGTATACAGAGGATATGGGATGTTCTCAAAGCTTTGCCGGAAGCTCTGAGAGCATTTTAGAGCGCTTGGTGGAGGTGTTCACATGTTTGCAGGTTCCAATACCAATCTTCCAAAGACCTGAGGTGTACGAAGTTCACAATATCAGGTGTACGGGAAACGCGGCTTTTAGGAAATAGAAAATAAGAAAGGATTGGGTATGGGGGTCGATAGCTTCCTCAGAGGAGTGGGAAGTGTTTCGGGGATGCTTACCATTACGTGTCGAGACTTTGTTCAAGCTGCGGAACAGTGGGGGGTGAGCACATAGACTATGTATAGTGGAGCTACTCAAGGCAAAGGATCGTGGTATCGCTGATAGCTCACATGGGCTCCTGAAGGTTGTAGGAGAAGAAGGAAGAGGATGTGGATCATTAATATTCGGAGTATATTGGGAATGCCCCATTTGTTTGAGGTGGAGACTGCTAATTGGTTGGTAAATACTAGGATAGACTTGCGTACATGGAGTGAATTTAGTTGAATACTTGTAAAGCCATGAGGGCATCCTTGAGAGCTCTAAGAATGTTAGACCGAATTGGACTCTCTAATTCAAAATTCGTGTCGTTCTGCTATGCATGCGGATTGGAAGAAGGAGATAAAGTTTTGGCCGCTCAGTATCTGAGTCTAGCTATCCAGCAAGCTCGCTCCAGGAGGGCAATGCCAGTCCAGATTTGCTGCTTATGCATGGACATTGAGCTTTTCAGACGAGCCGTACCGTGGCCTCAACCTCAAAGCTAATTATGCCTTTCACTAATCGACAGAAACATACACGTCCATCAAAGGTTGGGTAGTCATCACCAGTATACAGGATAGTGCCCGTATCAGTATCCCGCAACTGACCGTACAGCGGCGTTGAGGATACCCACGTTAGATATCTTTTGAGGGACTGGTGCGGCCTTTCTATCCATTGAGGAGGGCATATCAATCCAAAGGAGGCAAAGTGAGGGTTGCCTCATCTTGAGTGGGTATGACAAATGCCTCAGCTCTGTGAGCCTTGGTGAGTGCTCTGGGAGCACTCGCGGAGACACTCGCGGAAGCACTCGTGGAAGCACTCGCGAAAGTACTCGCGGGAGCACTCGTGGGAGCCCTCGCGGGAGCCCTCGCGGGAGCGTTCGCGGGAGCGTTCGCGGGAGCGTTCGCGGGAGCGTTCGCGGGAGCGTTCGCGGGAGCGTTCGCGGGAGCGTTCGCGGGAGCGTTCGCGGGAGCGTTCGCGGGAGCGTTCGCGGGAGCGTTCGCGGGAGCATTTGTGGGAGCATTTGTGGGAGCATTCGCGGTGCCGTGAGAGCATTCAAGAAAACTGTGAGAGCATTGAGAAGTGCTCGCGTGTACTACTGACGTAATCAAAAGAAGCAAAAGTTCCATAGGTGCTGTGGGCGCCGGAGTCGCTCCATCCTAGCATCTCAGGAGGGAGAGGGAAACTCATGGCGGCCCAAGCGACCAGCGCATTGGCGAGTGCCCTCCGGACGTGAGCCATATCTCCTGCCGGTCCCAGAGAGTGGGACGGTCCTGCGGCGGAGCCTGGCGCAAAGGTTGTACTCTGGCGGTGCCAGATGCGCTGGGCGCTCGTAGCGCAGAATGCCCGCCAGGACGCAGGGGCTGCGTCCTGGGTAATAGGCGAGCTTGCTGATGATGATTGAAAGTGAAATGAGAAGGTGTACTTTGTGGTAAAAATAGTGAAAGGTGTATAAGCGTGAGTGGTCTCCGAGCTCATAACCTAGAGAAAGTATGTAGCAGAAGTCAAGTAATTTATCGTGTTGAATTTCTATCTAAAGGGGAATGACCCGTATTTATACTAAAGAGAGGTAGTATAAAAGAAATAGAATGAGTCATAGACGTGTGAGTAATAAAATTACTAAAAGGGAAATAAATCATACGCCAATGACAAATACTAAAATGAAATGATGAGAATTTTCCGAGACTATGAAACGTGCCGAGCGCCCTATTTCACGAGGAACCGCAGCGTGTAGGAGAGGTTTTATCCCGTAAAAATATATGACATGAGTCATCGATACAAGAGCTCAACTTCCCTAAGCTTAGCTCTTGGTCGAAAACGTAGGTCAAGTCTTATCCACCCTGAGGCCTCCTTTGTGCACAGACGAGAAGCAATCATTGATCTATATTAATCTATACCGGCCAGTTCTGGTGTTTGGGGGGCGGGAATGGTGAAATCAACAACGAAGAGCGCCAATATATTATTATCATCACTCAATAGCAGCACAAACAGTAAAGGAAACAGTACAATCGGGCATAACCACCCATTTTATGCACTGGTCCTGATGAATATTTCATTAAAAGAAAACACCCAACGCTGAACCAATCAAAATCCATGCAATAAATGAATTAAACAACGAAAAAGAAAAAGAAAAACCAATCAGAACCCTCCGAGACCCACATTACACACCCCAGCATATATATATATATACTAGTGAGACGTGCTGTCAACAGTAAACCCTTCAGGGCCATCACAACCATCACAGCCACCCAGAATACCACCCTCTCAATCCCCAAAACCGAACTCATGCGCTGGTGAACCCCCAAAGACAAGTCGACAATCTGTAGGCTCCCCATCACTCTTGACAACCAGATCTTCCACCCAGGACACCAAGTCAGATGGGTCAGATTCTGGCTGTCTCCTAACTTCAACCCAAACACCCACTTCATTCGCCGCCCAGCCTCTGTGTAAGCCAGCCTCGGAACCCTCTAGAGATTCTCCTCCCCTGCCAAGGGCCTCTCCTTAGCTAACTGGAGAAAGATCGCCCTACTAGCCATCCGCCCAATGCTCACATACAGGGCACCCGTCCTAACCCCCACCAGCTCCCTCAAGGCCATGAATAAATTTTGAAACTTAGTACTCAGATGGGCAACAGGCTGCTTCAGGTCGACCAACCGACGAGTACTCTGAGCCGAAGCTCACCGCCTCCCCCTCGTCAACTACATCCACTACCTAAAAACAAGATTCGCTATCCGTGTCCTACTCACACACCCTCTCAACAACCCTGTCACAGGTCGCTGCCACCCTTCATTCTCCACCCTGACCCCCGACAGAGTCCCCTCCCATATCCGCCTCCTATGCAGCTGCCCAAACCCATCTAAGAAGTGAAACTCAACCGCAACAAAAGGAGTAGCCTACCTCCCAATTGAACACCTCTGCTCTCTCCTCCACAACCCTGTTACAAGAGGAACCAACCACAAACTTCTCCCAAAACAATCAAAAGAACAAATACTGAACAATTGGGCACACAACTTCCCAACACCCCCCTACTACTCCCTCCGCCTAACCACAAGCCCTGAACCCTTCATGGAGCTGTACAAATTCACAGCCATCCGAATCCACCACATTAGAGCCCAAAAAAACTACCTCAAAGGCCACAAATCATGGCTCAACCTCCAACTCCCCAACACGTGTTACAGATGCGGCGAAGGCTCCGAAACCACCGAACATGCCATCATCTCATGCCAAGCAAAAGCAAGCCAATGCTTCCAACTACTACCAGGAATCAATACCCTCGAAGAGATCTGGAGCAACCACACTAACACACTGGCTCTAGGAGCCTTCATCACCGCCACGAAGACGAACTTATAAGGAAGAATCACATCTCCCCCCTCCTGTCCGGATCTGAGACGTCAAGCTCCCTCAGCTCCCCTACCTCCTCCACCTAGCCATTGCAAGCCCACCACCGTAACACAGAACCACACACTCCCACAAAACCCTCAAAGGGCAACAGGTTATTAAAAACCAACAGGAAGGATCTCCTATGTTGGACATGGGCCGCCAAAGGGGGCCAGCTTTCCTAGGCATCAGTCAGTTTGTTAATGCAGTAATCTTTCTTTACATTTCCTTTGTTCTTCTGGGGTCATGTCATTTGTGTTCTAGTCAGGGAGAGGTATTTTTATGCCATAGTCTATGACTGCATGCAGAGTTTTGTACCTAGAATCAATTCAAACTACATGATTTAAAAAACAAAAATGTGCTATCAACAGCAAGAACAGAAACAGGTTTATCGAATCACGCCTCAAGAACCGATACAAAAACGAAGACGGAACTACTTGTGCAAGCACCCCTAAACTGAGATAAAAGAAAGCCTCGTGGAATACCAACTCAATCTTTTTGCATGCAAGCTGCCTCCATGCGAAACAAAAGAACCTTTCCCCCCCCCCCCCCCCCCCACACGCGCACACGAACACGCCACTACGGCCTGCGGATCAACATATCCATCACCCTCCTATCCTCCGGCGCCTCCACCGGCAACTTCACAAACTGGGCCAGCGTGTTGCTTGTTATCTCACTACTCGTGTCCCACCCCTCCACCGGCACCTTCTCGCTCGATTTTGTATCTCTCATCATATCCCGCCCCTCCGTCAACCCCTTCTCAAACCGGACCGGCATCCAGTCCGGCCTCCTACCCGGCGTCCAGTCCGTCCTCCTGGGCCGCCCGTCGTCCAGCGTCTCGTCCGGTGTCAATTCCGGCCTCCTGCCCTGCCTCCTGCCCGGCATGCAGCTTGGCCACCAGCCGTGAGAAGAGCTATCCCTCTCCTCCTCCCGCCCCCCCACAAACTGGACCGCCATCCCATCCTGCGACGATACCTCCCCCCCGTCGGCGTGGCAATAATGCAGCCCCACCACCGTCCTGCCCATCTCTTTCGCCCACTGCTTTGGCGGCAGCGCCCCATTCCTTCCCCCAGCCAACATGTTCACCACCAGCCTCCCCGTACTCAGCTGGTTCAGCAGCAGCCGCACCTGCCTTAACCTCACCCGCCGCCTCACCCACAACACTACCGCGGCCCCAAGCACGCTGAGCCACAGGAGGACCAGCAGCATGCCGGGCACCGCATACCGCACTTGATACCGCACCACGTGGTAATCCACGCGCACGAGCCCGACCCCCTTACCGCCCGTAGACACACTCGTGGCCAAGTTGGCAAACACGTCTGTCCAGATCAGGCCCGGCAGTTCGGCGGCGCTCCCCGCGTCAGCCGTAACCCGGTCCCATTGGCGAAACATTGCATAGTTGGTCCTCCCGCTATAATCCGGCGTCATCGGGCTGGTATCCATGTACATAAAGCTCGCCGCATACTGGTACGCCCCCGTCCCCGCGAGGGAATCTGTGATGCCGTTCCCACCCTGGCCGGCAGGCAGGTACAGGAAGGGCGCTCGACGGGCCGTCATGTTTGCAGCGTTCTCATGGTCGGGGTGCAGTGGGCCCCAGAGCGGGCTGATGAGGGCGGCGGTGAGGTTGGCGCGTGTCTCCACGCCCCAGAGGGGCGGTGAGGCAGTGAGGGTAGTGTTGTTGACGGTAACTGAGGCGAGGTTGCGGGTGGCGCCCGTGGAGGTGAAGTTTGTGGTGCGCAGGGAGGCACGGATGGCCGTTGCGCAGGTGTACAGCGGGTAGTTGTAGGCGCCGGAGAGCGTGGTCGATTGGCCGTCGTCGCGGCGGGGGGCACCAATGATGAGGCCGCAGGTGACGAGGGGGGCACCGGAGGGCGTGTCGGTGGTGAAGCCAGCGCAGTGAGTGTCTGGGAGGAGGAGGGAGGGGGAAGTCAGCGGGGGTTGTGGAAAAAAAGAGGAGGGGAGAAGAGCGAGGGAGTGCAAATGATAGGTCAGGTTGCTAGTTATAGGGGAAGGGGGGGGGGGGGATGGCAGTGGAGGAAAACAGGAAGGGTGGAGAGCGGGGAAGTGCAAATGATAGGTCAGGCCGGCAACGAGAGGGAGGCGGGGGGGCATGTGAGGAGGGAATGTCGGGGTGAGCGGAAAAAGACATATCGTCTGGTGCTCATAGGAGGGGGGTAAATTTGCAGTCTACCAAGAACCAGGATGGAGGGGGATCTAATGCAAACAACCGCCAACGACAGGGTGCAAGGCAGTCACAGGATAAGGAGGAGGAAGAGCGGGGCAAGGGGTGAGAAAGAGAGAAATCAAGCTGTCAGTGACCAGAGGGAAAACCTACCAATACTCGTACTATTCTGTGTTCCACCCACAATGCTCGCCCCCAGCGGCATCCGATGCACTGCAAACAGGCTACTTCCCAGACTCTCACCCACAGTCCTCAGAGTCTCAGTCCACAGACCGGTTCCCTCAATATCAAACTCTTTCCTCCCTTGTCCCCCCCCGCCTGCCCCCACCGCCGCCGCCACATCCTTATTGAAAAAGTACGCCCCGCTCCATGCCCTGCCCGCCAGGTCCGGCACGCCTTCCACATCCGCTGGCACCTCGGGATCCTGCGCCCCCGCCAGCCCGCTGAATCCCCCCGTGTCCACCAACACGCTTGTCGACCCGCCTTCGTCATTCGTGGTCACCCGCATGCTCACATTATTCGGCACACACACCGTCTCCGGCGTCACCCAGAGCAGTGTCTCCTCCCAGCTCGCACCATACCTCTTCCGCTCGCGGTCCGGAACCGCATGCGTCCGGAAGCCCACGCCGCCGCCGCCCTGCGTATTCACAATCAGCCCCTCGATCAGCTTGTAGCCCTGGCTCAGGACGAGCGTCTCCAGGAAGCGGAACTGCCCGATGGCGTAGCGCAGCCCATTGGAGAGCCTATGCTCGTCCTTCTGGAGGATAAGGTAGTTGCGGAACTGGATGTCAAAGACACTCGCCACGCTCTCGCCGTAGCTGGACGTGTTTCCGAACAGTCTCAACAGGGGCGCGGGCACCTCCCCGCCGATGCGGTACTTTTTCACGGTTGCACGGCGAGCGAGGCGGGGACGGGGGGCGGAGGTAGGCCTGAAGTCGATGGTGACCACCTGCATGGCGTTCCTGGCGTTGCCGCCAGCAGTAGTAGTTGCCGCAGTGATGACTTCCGACTGCGCCGCCACCTGGTTCGTGGGGGCCGCCTCACTCACGGTGGTGGCCTCACTCACGGGGGCGGCCTCGCTCACGGGGGCCGCCTGACTCACGGGGGCCGCCTCACTCACGGGGGGCGCCTGGGTCACGGGGGCCGTTGGCGGAGCACTGGAGACGGGGGCCGCCTGGGTCACGGCGGCCGTCGACGGAGCACTGGAGACGGGGGCCGTCTCACTTACCGGCGGTTCCTGGGTCACGGCGGCCGTGGGCGGGGCACTGGAGACGGGGGCCGTTGACGTGGTAGTAGTACTCGTTCCAACGCTGGTGCTCGTGCTCGTGCTGGTGCTCGTTCTGCTGGCGCTCGTGCTAGTGCTCGTTCTGCTGGTGCTCGCCCTCGTGCTCGCTCTGCTGCTGCTCGACCTCGTGCTTGTCTCCACCCATACCGGACTGTCATCCTCCGCCGTCATCACTGGCTTCCACGGCGCGACCTCGAATCTGCCCTCCTCCTCCTCCCCCGTCTCGCTCTCCTGCCCTGGACACCTATCATCGCTCGCGCCACACACCCTCGTCAGTGAATACTCGTTTCGCTCGGCGGTCCCGAGGGAGAACGAGTCGTTGTCCACAGCCAGCTCGAAGCGCAGGCCGGGAACGTCGAGGCCCTTGTAATCGTCTCTGACGCCGAGCGGAATGAGAACACTGGTGAGGGTCATGAGACCCGCCGCGGCGATGCTCAAGTAGGAGATGAGCAGGACGGGGCGTGCAATGTACTTGCTGGGAACACTGTCGGAGCGGAGGACGGCGTGCAACCAGGAGTTGTGGAGAAGGGTGGAGATGACGGACCAGGTGTTGGCGGAGCAGGCGTTATCGATCACGCCAGCGAGGAGGATGCCGAGGAAGAGGGGCAAAGTGTATTGGACTAGAGGGCGGGGGGGGGCGCTGTTAGTACAGTTTGGTGCGAGGGGGAGATGGAGGGGACTGAGGGAGGGGCGGCGGCCGGCGGGGACAAGGAATCGTACTCATGATGATGCCGGCGTTGATGATGGACAAGACACTCCCAGCCTTAGGGATGTATTAGCAATTGTATACCATCATACCATCCTGATTCTCGGAAGGGGAGGCTTACGTTCAGCTCATACCCCAACATGTTGGACATATTTTATCTCTCACGCCGAATTCCGGCAGTCGTCGTAGTGTGTGGGGTTGTATATCTATCTTGGATATAATATTCAAAGTCAGGATTAAACGCGGCGAGCAATGCCCTACTCTGAGCTGCCACTGTCGACAATTAGCTGGGGATAAGAGCATTCAGACAGCAGCAGCAGGGCTAGCTATTAAATTACTTCTTCCCCCTTCCCCCGCGGCTCCCCTCCTCTCCTGTGTCCCCCCCCCCCCCCCCCCCGCGGCCTTCCCAACCCCTTCCCACCCTCCCACCCTCCCATATCGCACCCTCCCCCCAAGCGCAGATACAGATAGAAATTTCAAACGACACTTGGCCATGCGGCACCGCACCCAGTGAGTCCCGCGCGCAGTGTATGGCTTCTGCGCTTTTCAGCTCCGCGTCGCGATGTGAGGTGGTTGGTTGCTGCGACGGGGTGTCTCACCGCAAGGGACGAATCTCTGTGGTGGTGGTGTGGTTAGAGGTTCCAGTACCCAGCTTTCTCTCGACCCCACACGCGCACCGCCTGTAGGACGGGACATGCTCTGAATCCGATGCTGTGCGCATTAACAATATACATGTACTCTATACCTACTCTACTGAATTAAGCTTTTAAGGTGCGCCTTTTAGGTCCACAGTATGTATGTATGTACAAGTTTTCCGCCCAACAAAAGAAAAGAAGAGAGAAAAAAAGCCTGAACTCGTATCAGCTGCTCATCCCAACCCTAGCCTGGCCGGTTGAGCACTAAGTTGATGCGCTGTAGTGCTAGACTACACCAACTGTGTTCCAGTATATACAGTACCTTTTATCAAAAATAGAATCAAATAACAAAAATCGGTCAAAGTAGAGTACTCGTTGGCCATTACAGTGACCAACATTATGCCAAATATTTCCATTGACAAGGGAAGGTTATCAACGTACTGCAGACCCTCGCCAACCATGGGGAGTATAGGCAACAATTTCCAAAAGGTTTTTCCCCCCCCCTCCCCGGGTTAGTAAGGTAGTTGGTCAAGTCGGCGATGAAGACCGCAACAGGAGTATTAACAGGGATGTCAACAATAAAGGCTTTTGCTATGCATAATGCAAATTACAGAGATTCAGAGCTCGTTGGAGGTACAGTAGCGGTAGGGCCCAATTACCTTGAGTTCTACTAGGAAAGTGAACTTTTTCCTCAAAAGACATAAATCTAGCCTAGATATCGGATCCTTAATTAAGCCACCATGCCGGTAATGAAAGTCAGAGAAACAAAGTACAATTCTTCTTCCCGCAACCCAAGAACGGAAACAGGTAACTGGCGACTTCGCGACTTAGTGGAAAAATGGAGGCCGAGTTGTAAATGGGTTTGGTAAAAGAGCTAAACAGACCCGCACATATTGCTCTTTTCCAAAACCTCTGTATGCGTCGATGTTTGCTTTGATTTGTATCATAGAGAATACCCATTTAATTGATCATTGACCTATCATTGCTAAACTCTTTGAGACATCTGCCGAGCGTTCCGGGGTCTTCCGGCCACCACGAAAAATGGTCAGCCTGCCAGACGAAGAGATACTAGGGGGTAGCCTTTTGGGGTAATTATTCAACCTTATGGGGTGATGATTCATATAACAGGTAACCTTATCGAGGCCGAACTGTGTACAATCTGCTATGTATCGCTTTTAGTTCGAACAATATCTTTCTAGTTTCAATGGACACCAACCCTCTACTCGGCCGGATAATCTGCCATAGCTGCCGACTCGACCGTGGTGGTAGCCTAATCCATATAGACGTGCATATGAAACAGCGCCAGAGAAGATTTTGAATGTTTCTCCGTACTGATCATGAGCTAGGCATACTTCACACACACCTCATAAATACCGGGCATAGAAAAAATAATGGTAAAAAAACCTCATACTGAACCCATCTCCCCGCGAGTCAGGCAACTCAGCGCGCATTATCCAGCCATTAACCCCAACCATCAACAGGTGACTCTTTTGAGACATAACCTGCGCATGCTCAAATCTGTTTCCCCCATGAGACACCGCGCGCAGCAGCAATTGGATCCTCCCGGATCGATAACCAGCGAGTATCCCTTCGTCTGCCAGTTAAATACTGCCACGCCAGGAAAAAGAAATTTCGGTGTTCTTTACCAACAGATCTCGTTCTCTCTACAGATCTTCGATAAAAGATTTATTCCTCTATTATCCGGCCTTGGGCTGGTGTGACATACAGATTCCCCGAATTCCTGACGAGGAAGCTATGTGGGTGACTAAGTGACTTTGCCTCTGTAACATTGATCATTTCCCCGCTGGTGGTGGCAGCAGCCATACCTCGATCAGGGAGTTGTGGGGTCTGCATGTCGCACCTGTCCCAGGGATAAGGTGGCAGCATTAACAGAAGACGAAGGAGAAAACAAAGTACACAAAAGCAAACATTCATCGAAAAGAGTGTGATGCTCAGCCCTCTGATCTTCAAGCACAGAGTCCAGACCAGCGAGAGGTGGCCTACATAAAGTGCAGAAAAAGAGATAACAAATGCGCAAGTGGCTGATACGGCAAACCACGGCGAGGTTCACCTTCAACCAACCCCCGCAGACCCATACCTCTTCGAATACGATCGATATTGCATGGATTGACGAGAAGGTAGAGGGATATCTATCCCTTAGACGACACAGTCAAATTGGCAGCTTGGTCCATGCACGCACCTCTGTGGATGACTTTCTTTTCTTCTCTGAACACCAATAACCAGAAAGCCAATCAAATTCACTGATAATTGCTAAACAGGGCTGCATTAGCTCAACGTGGCGAGCGAGACAAGAATACCGCAAAACCCGAATTTTCGCCAGCTCCGTCCAGATATTATCTCTCCAGCTATCGGTTGTATGGCATTGAGCTACATCAGATATCTTCACACAACTTTGATCTCACGGGGTTAGCGGCGGTGAACGGTAGGACGGCCTTCCGGCATGGAATTGGTGGGCTGTTACACAGAGTAGCCAGTAGACGTGCTGTTATCCACATTATCCACTCGATCAGAGGCCTCCATAAGCTGACAGCAATGGAACCCAAGTTACCCTCGTAGGTTGAGTGAGTGGAGGTTATGTGGGGAACTAATTGGTCAGTTGTGTACACCTCCAACACTGTAACACTGCACCTACTTAAACAGCGGACTGCACACTTGTTGGCGATTTACTCGCGGGGGGGAATGAAAAGGAGTCTAGGAGGCTTGCACAGGGAAACATCACGTTCGGGGGAATTTAGTATATAGAGTCCTCTACAGAATGGCCTGTCTAGCTGGTGTACTTAGGAGGGGATGGAGTGAGATTGTGCTGTGATTGGACAAAGGGTGTGTGTAGCGGAGCCTACGATTCAGGGTATGGCGAGAGGCACTAACTAGGACTAGTATTGTTACATATGGCTTAATGCTCTCGATTATTCCTCTGGTCAATTTATATATGTCACTGATAATACATGGAAGAAGGTACTTTTATTAGTACAGCATGTATTAAACCACGTTTTTAGACCCGGTTTCTACAATCATTGACTGCAATCCTGCCGTAAAAGGCTCTAATCCCGTCCTTTAAGGGTGATATTTTTCGGTTCTTCTGTTAATCTATCCTCTTGGCAACCGTCCGAACGAACTCAGATTTTACGATACCTCATTCGGAGAAGAACTTACCCCTTGTTGTCGGGTATGTTTATTATAACACACCCTACAGTATAATTTGCAAAAGAAATTTTACCTGCACTAACCCCCAGGGATAGAACTATTCCAATATCAGACCTTCTCCCCTGTGCCATTTGACCAGTCGCTCCATACGGTGCTTGCAGGAAACCCAAGAGCGCGTAATTCCCACTTTCGTCAAATTATCCACATCCCACTATCACCTGTCCTCCCTTTTCCCAACCTTGTTGAGAATAGGGTGCTCGGCCAGGACCTGTTTGGCCAAGGCCCTATCCTCGCATGCCTCCCAAGGGTCATCTTTCTTTTTACTAGGAGTAGGAGAAAGAGTCTCAGGGGTAGAAGTGCCCGATAAAATATCAAACAAATCGATCTGGTACCTCGGCGTTCCGCTGTCTCGTTTCCGCGTTTCGTTTCCGTCTCGTCGTTTCGTTCTGATTCTGGATACTGCCAAACAGTTCGAGTTTACAGTACAAAAGGATGTGAATATATTATTCAGAAACCTTTGTATAGCCTCCGCACCCCTTCACCGTTTCGTTTAGCCGCATCGTTTTGTTCGTTCGGCAGTTTCACTGTTTCGTTTAGGTAGTATAGTTCTCTTAAACAGTTACAGTCGGATCTCCCTATAAGGTTACCTACTATGAATAATCGCTCTATAAGGGTAAGTGTTTTAGTTCCTTACTAGGCTTCGTAGGTACAAATTTACTCTTACTATAAGGGTAACAGCTCTATAAGGGTACCAAATTTTGGTCCCGACGTACCCTTATAGGGAGACTCGACTGTAGTCATGTAGCCTAAAGAGTGGACAGAACACATACCTAGTTGATGGTTCTTGATGAGTGAGTGATAGTTGATGGTGCGAGATAGCTGATCGTAAGATTATTGTAGAAGTATGGGAGGAGTCTTATTGGCTTGCCCAGCCACAGAAACCCTGTTTTTAGACCCCTGTTTCTACAATAATTTTATCTCTCGCTGTAGTCGACGTCTCGTACTCAGCCCGTTCGTCCTCTGGAAGCATGGAAGTAGACGGGTTGGGGACGAGCCTATACCAAAGGTAAAGTGAAAAGCACTTCCGGACCTTGCACCCTGTTTCTTTGCATTCTGGAGAGCCGGACCTCGCGAACGCAAAGTGTCTAGTACCTCTCTACCCGCAACTACTCCCAATAGTACCTCTACTCGCAATAGTTCCTCTACCCGCAATCTGATATCACGTGACGTCTAAAATTCGCTAGGACAGGTGGCGCGGTCCAGGTCGCGAATTTGACAAAATTCATTCACCCGATACAAAAATACTTAAGAATACCTTTTGACATTTCACAAATAGCGGTGATCAACTCCCAAATGACTCTCACTCACTGGCTTCATTCCCTTTACAGAACCCGCCCGGATACCAATGCTTACACCCGCACTACAGCAAACCATCAGTTCCACCTATAAACCATGTACCTTCTCACTACCTCTCCATTAACTGAATGAGTCCCGAGGCTGCCAGCTGCCACGCTCTCACGACAGCCCTCGTCGCGATACAGGTATGCGATATGTGGTTCCGTGGCGTCCAATGTAAAGTTGTCGACTGCCGCATAGCGAGTGACATTTTGGCAGCCGACATTACCGCTACCAGTATAGGTGACAGCAGGAAAGCTGATGTAGTTGATAGTGAGATCCCAGGCGTTGGCGGAAGGCTTCAGGGCAGAAAGGAGGAGAACGGAAATCATCTTGTGGGGATACATAGAGGCGTGGGAGCTAGGCGATAGGCTGTGCAGAAGTATTTATTTTGCAGGAGCAGTGGAGCGGTGGATCAATCAATGAGGAAAAGCGGGGGAGGATAGGTGTTTTTATATATAGCTTTTTTTTTTTTTTTTTTATATATATCATATAAGTTGTTTCTATAGCTTGTTGTAGGTGACTATATACGGACTTATTGTAATACAAACATTTTTCCCGCCAATCGATATTCGTGCTTGACGATACATGACCCTCTCAATAGTTGAGTACCCCGAGTACTGATCCCGCCTATAGTTTAATTTGCCACGCCCTTGGTCAGAGTGTATGGAGGCTCGTATTCTCTAATTATCCACCTACCTGGATAGCAGTACGTCGATCGCAAATGTTGTGCAACACATCATCGTTGTCTCCTACGAGCCCGCCGCCACTAGACGACTTCCCATAAGCAATAGAGCGCGTTCTATTGCAATAGCAGGTAGTTCTTAGATAGATTCAGTTCCCATGAGCAAGTAAGATTTTTCTATTCGCCGGACTTGTTCTAAGACAGATAAGGTACAGTAGCAGTGCTTTCCTAGTTAGTTCCCTGCTCTAACCGAAGAAGGAAGGTAAATGTACTCAAAGTTCTATTCAAGCGGATAGAAAATATTCTATCCCATAGACCCAGTGCTCTATCAGATTTCTTAGACATCCGTGTTCTATTTAATAGAAAGACAAAATCAGGTCTATTGGGCGATAGAACGCGCTCTATTGCTTATGGGAAGTCGTCCACTGTTACACACAATAGCTCACGGGGGTGACGGATCACACCAGAGTGTAACAACCAAACCACTTGTATCTTCTAGAATTCTTCTATGGGACAAAAAGGCCCTTCCCGTCAACACCCAGTGTCCGTCAATACGGGCCAGTGAATAGCAGTACAAGTTGAACTTACATATAGCTACCGCATCGATCCGAACCAGCGGCCGGTCACGTAAGACGTCAAACCTGACTCTTTAGTAGGGGTTTGACGCTATCCTGGGTTCGTATAGTTGAAGGCGGCGTATGATTCATTTCATATCAATGAGAGAACTAAAAGTCCCGGTTTCCGTTGCCGGAAATCGCACTCTCATTGTGGTACAGACCGGCAGGAAGTGTTTGTTTCTTGTCGATCAACCACTGCAGTACAAAGGTTGTCAAGAATCAGCTAGTGCCGTCTGCTGAGGAAACGGATCTTCTCTCTCGATGTCTGATGTTAGTGGAAACGCTCTATACTCGCTATGATCAGGGGTTTTCTTTCTCAGTCAAATCACTGGCTATCCCTCTCATCAGTCCTGAGTTCCTACAGGTTTATAATTTAGTTGACCGCTATCCATCTCCAGACGAAATCGTCTTACCTCAGACATAGATGAAGTAGATCAATCTGGACGGTGGAAATAAATCGATACATTTGGTTGCAACCCTCCGCGCGAATTTATTTGCGACAATAGCCATTCCACGCTCACCCAAAGCCTTGACAAATCCCCTTGCGAGAGAATACTTGAAAAGAAAAAACAGAACGGAGAAGACAAGCGTCACGCCAGAACGGTGGAGGACAAGACTACACCTTATTCCAGAACTCTGACACAGAAAACAAATTGCAATGGCTTTCTCCAATCTCTACGCCTCAAATCCCTGCGTTTACACGATACCACACAAGAGTTATGAATTCAAATTGAAACAGTGATATAAAGAAAGTGCAAGCCTATGTTTCTACCCTTATGACCTACACGTACCCATCGGGACTATCTAGACCGAATCAGTCATTATTCGCAACCGCCGTTATCTTTGCCGTACTTGCAGCCCTTTCTCCATACTAAGCCCTGTCTCGTGCCCAGCCAAACTCCTTGGCGCCAAGGTTTGTACCTCACGCAGCTTCTCCGATTATTGACCAATCAGAAGAAGGCTGGGCACGAGACAGTACTAAGCCAACCCTAGCCCCAGATACCCGGTGTGCGAGGAAAGTCAGTATCTCTGTCAGTTTCGAGAACTGTAGTCTGCTCTATGCTTTTTATTATACGCGCTTTGTTTTGCAGAAGGCCCTGTATCATTGGTGTCATTGATCATTTCAAGGAGAATATTCTCTCCAATTGAAATCCCGGTACAATTCTTAAGCAGTGCTTCCGGCCCTCCCTAAAGCCGCCGCTAGATTGCAGTTAATAGAACCTCATCGGAGACATTGATGATATTGTCATGTGGGGACGGAGAAGTACTCGTATTTCTCTGACGTTTGTGGACGCGACTGATATTGCATGCCATACAAAAATACGCCAAACTCATGATTTTGGGTGTATGCAATAATGGCCCAGTTCAAAAACGTCAGAGAAATACTAGTAGTCCTATGACATGTCCGCATTCGAGTGGCATATTCCCCACCGCGGCGACCAGGACGGCGGGAGTAATCTTCAAGCGATCATTGAGTTTCTCGAGTAGTATTTCTGTAAATATCTTGCACCGCTCTCGGTAACTCGCCGCAGCCAACAGAACGGCCTCAGTAACCTGCATATCGGCGTCGCAGTGGCTGAGAAGTAATGATGAAGTCTGGACACTCCGAATTCAACTGAAATCCGCACATCAACTCGGGTATACACCAGCAACTACATTTACTACCGCCAGAATAGCAGCCTCTGTCACCCTTATCTTTGGGGTGCCATCTCTGAGCAACAACTCCGCGCACCGTTGAGAGTTATGGTGCGCACACTCATAAAGGTGATATGGTTTTATACGGAAGTGGAACAATCATGGCTGCAATAGGGCCTCATGGGCCAATAGGGGGGCCCGTTTCTAGCCATTCTGCTGCATTACTGCCACGGATCAGTCAGGTTAGCTTTTTGGGGTATAAATGGGTATAATACTGTTCCACTCTGTTCGGTCTTGGCGCATTTTACATACAAAAATCCACAATTTCAAATCCCTAAGGATTTACAACCCAGACAGATATCAAAAATCTGCAAAAATAGAACTAAACTTCATCTCTTGAACTAGGGTTCTATCTTTCCGCTTTTTTTTTTACCATTTTTCCTTACGAAGCCTTAGACTTTTGAGATTTTGTCGCGACCCGCTACCTTCATGCGTAGGCGCACCATACTTGCCGCCGCTACCTAACAGCCTCTGGGATATTGACATCTGAACCCACAGCTTTGAGCAACAAGCAGATCATTTCAAGACAATGCTTACAATTTCCCGCCGCCACCATCATAACAACCTCTGTGGTCGTGAACTACTTCTGTTATTATGGTGCCTGGACCCACAGCGACATGCACGTAGAAATTCGATGACGCCCGCACCCCGATAGGAGCTGTTACGTATAACCGCCGCTTCCACTAATATCTACTCCGTTATTGTGACATCTAACAATTCGATGCTCCTTTTATTACCACTGGACTCGCTCCCCGCCCCCGCCACCAAAATCTGCTCTGTGATAGCTACCATTATTTTTTATTGGGTTGCGGGTTTTTCTCACAGGTTGCGGCCAATGAAAACTGCCATCTGCGAACTTAAGTCTCTACTACGAGTGGAAATGCATCAATTAGCACATTTCCCACACAAAGGTTTGGGAAAAGGCACATGGAAATGGGCTTACAGGGTGACGTCTGTTGGAAATGTACACTTTCTTCCTTTCACATCCCCTGTGGTATTTTTTGTGTCTTTTCCCATTGTAGACCCTGACAGAAAGGCTCCAATTCCTTGGTATCGTTAGCAAGGGTTAGGGTTTACACAGGAATTATTGTTATTATTTGACTGAACGTACTAATTTCAATCATCAATCGGGTTATGGCCACCTTTTTAAGCCTAAGACTGAAGATTATGCTCCCAACCTCGCTTGTAATAACGAATTGGCATCACACGCTATCACTCGGTTCATTGTATCAAACCGTTCAACCCTCATCAATTATATACAGCGCGGATTCTAACTCCCTTGAGTTGTCCGAACAGCCACGCCCGGTGTGAATATAGTCAAACCAACCTATACATCTCAGACTGGTAAACGCCTACAACACCCAAGCCAAACGTCTGTTAACACTTTTTGAATCATAGAAAAGGTACAGCGACGAAGCTCAACGCTCGGCTTTCTTACACGATCGCCATACAGGATAAGATAAGACCTATTGGTGGGTAAGACTAGCAGGCTCGACAAGAATCTTAGGCAATCTAGAGGAATCTGCAAACACTCTAAAATATTGAAAAATGGGAGGGAGCTACAGTCGCCTCTGGGTCAGCGACGAAACCAGTTCGATGGCGAATAGGCCAATCGAAGCCAACAAAAGCCAACAAAAGCGCCCCGACCCTTTTTGCTTCGACTGACTATCAGCCCAAAAAGTAGCCACTCGTCATCGAGCCGGGTTCGTCGTTGACCCAGAAACGACTGTAATGTCAATTTACCCAGGGTCTCGGAAAATGATGCACATTGAGTGATATCTCAACCACGAGAGAATTAATCTGTACATAAGTCTATCTTGAAGTTAATTTAAGTGTGTAGATTCCTTTCATAAGAAAAAATAAATAAAAAAGGTCTGTCATCGATACTTTTGGGTTTTTTTTACCACTGATTTTCGCTACTGGATAGTGACTTCTTGCTTGAAGAATGGCTACTATGTATTCAATTAGCACCAGATGAATTCTTAGCCATTGTGGAGACGCCCTACACTCGAAATTTGAATTTAGGGAGTGTGTTGCGTTGTGCCAAAATATAGGTATTTGGGGTAATTGACCTGTCAAACCAAAATGTGCATCACTTTCCAACACCCTGGGTATTGTGGGTTGTCAAAAATAATGGGACGCAACAGGCTTCATTGCAACGTAATAATCTCTCAACCATGACCGACCACAAAGAGAGCACACACAGGATAAGTGGTAATAAGAACTACTGGAGACCCAAAATGTATTTTCGTTAGTATTGTCGTTAGTATTGTCGTTCGTTGGTGCGGGGTTGGGTTGTCGTTGCTGTATTCGTTGCCCCGTTGCGTCCCATTATTTTTGACAACCCGCAATACATTAATATTTCAATGTATATACATACGAGTGATGGTTTGTGATTCGCCGTCCACGACAAAAGTCCAAGCCCGTATTTCTACTTTTAGTAAGTAACCACCAAAATCTACATATATCTACACCACAAATAACCAAAGATAGCAATATCTACATGGAGAGGGTGGAGCCAAAGGCCCATAAGTGTAGAAGGAAAGAGAGCTGGAAGAAAGCTGGAATGGAAGCAGGGAAAGGAGATGCCAAAGGAGCTGGCAAAGGATCCGGGAGGAGAGCTGGGAAAAAGTAACAACCCGCGGTCGCGAGGCGGATGGACCCCCTAGTCTTTCAGCATAACAAACCACTCAGTGGAGTAGGCTGGTTGCCATGTGGGTTAGGTTTTCTCGCTCTCGGCCAATTAGGTTTCGGGCTCGCGCGCAAATACAGCGTGAGGTAAAATTATTGTAGAAGTATGGGATGAGTCCTATTGGCTTGCCCAGCCATAGAAACCCTGTTTTTAGACCCCTGTTTCTACAATAATTTTCCCTCTCGCTGTAGAGCTTTTACAGTAGATACTTGCGGGATTTTTTTCTGTGCCCAGCGAACCTATTCTTCCTGATACGGAAGAGTCGCAATGACTTTATCTCACCAAATAGCTATCAAATTCACGAATTTTAGGGCCGTTACTTCGTAGCACTCCCATATTTCCGGATGAGGAAGAAACAGCTGGACACAGAAAAAAATCTGGCAAGTATATATTAACACCTCGCGATGCGGTTCTTTTGGAGAGATAAGTGCTTCGGTCATGTGCCACAGTTTTGGGGGGATTCCCTCCTCGGAGCCAATTCACTCTCTTTCTTGATGTTGAATTTTCCAATAGTTCTTCAATCTGCCCTAGTTTTTCGGAGCTGGAGGCCTTCAGCCCCACGCCCCCGGGGGGGGGGGGTCCACCTCCTCCCAGTCAGTTCGCCCTTTCTTGATATATTCAATAATGCATCCTTTGATTGCGCGTTGCGCCAGCTGCTCAGGATACATTTGATGGGTCGTGCTTAGTCAACTATCCTACAGTTGTCATTAATCCCTGTCAATTGCGAGACCGACCAACCAAACCTCCAAATGTCTCAGTATGTGTCTCACTGGTACTGTCATTCACGGGGTATTGGCGGACACTGGACCGTGTTGACGGATTGCAGGCAAAACTTGGCTTGGCTGTCCCCTTTTTGGTTTGAGGGTTTGCAAAAATTGATAGAACCCTAACCCTAAGTCCCATCATCTATTTCTTACTCAATTTCTTAACTCGTACCAATCGAAAGTATATAATAATGACAAGCAACGCAAACAACATGTGAATTTCTAGCCTGCCTTCTTCGCTTCTAGATAAGTATAAATTAGTAGCACCCCTCTTCTGTGTGCATGACAAAAGCCGCAATACATATAAAGGAGTACTAGTCGCGTTGGTGTATCGATTCAAGAAATAGGGACGTTCACGTTTTGCATTTAGGTGCCATAATCGCACGAAATCCCGGATATCAGTTGTAGCGCTTATCTATCCCCCCACCCAGACCACAAACTGATCTAAGCCTTGCCCTTTTACACCCACGCTACGATAACGTGTAGGAGGCCTTTCAACATAATTGGAACAGCTAATACAGCTGGTACGTAAACATTATTTATCCTATGTTACAAAATGAGAAAAGAATAAAGACCAATAGATTGCGACAGAAATATCCATATAAATAATGAATATTTATAGAAGAAATATGAAACTTTTAGACATGAGCTTATCGCAAATCCTGTGAAGATTATTTAGCATGAGATAGAACGAACCTTATACCAGAACCAACCTAGGACCGAAACACACCCCTCTCCAACCCCCCTCCGTCATATGCCGATCTCACTCATACGTTCAGTGTACTTGAGATATCTCTGGACTGTATAGTATTTGGTCGTATAGGACTTTCATGAAAATTCCCGTTTTTTATTTCGTAGTGAATAAGGTCGGAAATAAAATCGCTCCTTAATTTCACGGGTAATTAGCGAATATACAATTAAAACACTTATGCCATCATTCTTCTAACTTACCTAAACTCAAAAGCCACACACACCGCATATGTGATTGCAAGAGTCATAGACACAGAGGTCGCCACTCTGTACTCCATCCATTCTGATGGATGCGGCATAAACGGTGCGTCAAACGGAAGGGTTACCGCCAAAAAGCATATGAATATCACGACCCCGGAAATTGTGGCGAATACAAGGCCGTAGAACACACCTGGGGCGGTTTTATCTTCCCACTGGTGCTCCAATGACAACTGGCAACTGTCGCATTTATTCCTGAGTTTGCGACCATGCCAGTACTTTGAGCTATTGGATTTGTTTTCGACAATGGCTTCCGGCATCCCCGTCAAGATTCGTATTATCGCAGCTTTCTCCTCTGGCAACTCATAGGTGATCATGGTTATTCCCGTACTTGTTTCCAGAAATCTTCCCACAACAAGACTAACTGTCCTAGATATCCACATGACGCACATAAACGCGGCCACGAATAATACGGTCCACTCGAGAGAACCCCCCCAGATGCTTCCAAACATAAAGGTGAGCGCCAAAATTGATGCGGACTGTATCATACCATCCAAAGCGGTTTTAATGTCATCTGAGCGGTTGGAGTGGTGTGCTTTTCTGACTACAACTATCCGTGGATGTGGTTGCCCCAGCCTATCAATCGTGCGATGCAGCCAGTTCATCCTGAGAAATGACAAACGAGGGCTAAAATCTCAAATCAGCCAATGAAGTGGGGGTGTGAAGATTAGTGTAGCATACATTCTGCAGCGGAAAAAAAAGCCCCCCATCTCACCAATCCTCGCTATCGCCCGCGTGACTCTAGAAGATTTCACAGGAGCGACTTCGACACGCATCACCGAGCATTTCTGGCATGCGGTCCTAGTGTCCGTAGTGTCCGCGGGCTGATTCTCTATAGGAGATATATGTAGTATTTCGTCGTGCTTGGTGATCGAAGAAACGGCAATGGTGCGAATAATGGCGGAGAGTACGGCAGTTACTGACAACCAAGAGTTAAATATTATCGTTGTAGTCTCTGGACAACCCCAGATAAACCGTATGGATTCGATCTGCGGAAGAGCTCGAACCAGAGTGCCAAACAGGAGAATCTGTATAACGTTGGATGTTGTTATCACTAGACTGATGTAGATGGACCGCTTATTTTCGGTTGTGGGGGCCGCGAGAGCGCAAAGCTTCGGGTTTCCCACGCCCTGTTCGTATAGTGCACCCAACTCCTCAATCTGTTTCGCCAGCTCATGCTCATCTGTAATTTGGCGAGGATTTGCTAACAGAGACAAAACGTAAGCCATTAGGACATATAGAAAGACTATCGCTCATCTGAGGATATCTATATATATACCGTATTTTTGTATCTGGTCGGGTTTACATAGCTCAGGAACACTCATGATCTTCTCATCCTTCAATGTCTTCTTGTATGTCATTGTCAGGCCTAATGTCAAGGCGCTCGTGAATAGCGCTAATCTTGTGTTTATGAAGTTTAGTGATCTGATACTCGCCATCGGCATCGCCGCAAAGGTCAGCATGGCAGGGACTAGAGTCATGACTGTAGTCGCAGCTGAGGAGGCCGCTTTGTCGTATTCATCCGAGTTTTCGAGAATTTTGAGATAGGCACCCTGGCAATCAGATTTTCCAATCGACATACCCCAAATCCTCTCGACGTACTGACCAGTCTCATTTTTGACAAAATGAAGTCGCCTAGGTGATAAGGAGGGAGTGTCGGGAAAGCCATCCTGCGCGCTGGTACCCTCGAACATTGAAAACAAGATCAGTAAAACCGCATAAGAGCAGTTGGAGAGTATTCGGTTGTTTCGGAGATGATAGGTCATGGTATAGTTGATGCCACGATATAGCTGTGAATGGGTCGACCTGTAGAGGCATTAATTCCAGTAGTACTTGACAAAGCGGTAAATTAGGAGATTTCAAGATTAGTGAATAATGATCCTACCGAAACTAGCACCTACAATAGAAATTCCCAATTCAACCCTTCAAGTTATTTCCGGAGAGTAGATCCGTAGAGTTAGATCTTTTCACGCGGAGGCCAGGTGAGCTAGACGGTATCCGTACTACCGAGTATCGTGAATATATATTGAACTTGCTGACTTTGTTGAACTTTGCCTCAAGATCACTCCAGTGTGGAGACCTGGAGAAAGAGAGAATTTAAAGGTGTCAAATATGGTGACGGACGACAGACTATTTGTTAGATCGAAGGCGCCCAAGACATCCACATATATATATCCACATTGTGTGAGCCCTGTGCCAATTGGAGAGTGATTTTTAATCCTCCCCCACAAGCCCTGCATGTCGCACAAGTACTCTGCATATCGAGGGTCAGATTGCAAGGCACCCGCCCGTGTGAATAAGACTTGATTCTGCGTGACCCTGGTACTCTATGTAATTAAATTCCCATCGCATCAACACCACAGGCCGCAAGCGCCGCGCCAATATGTGGGTACGTACATCTAACTACTTTATAATATCTCCTGATATCTAGAGTAGAATATTTAGGAGCCTTATTTTTCACACCTCTACTTACTTGTCCAGGCGCGGGGAATCTCAGCACACGGTTGCCCATAGCTACCATTTTGTATGCATGTCTCAGGTAGCCGCAGCTGCACATCATCGAGTGATCATAGAAGCACTCGATATGTGTAAACATTACGGGTAACACACCCAGGTAAGCTTTCGGACACGATAACAGCATTATATTTAGCCTTGGCAATGTTGAAATATTCCAGACTATACCGTTTGCATCGTGAACCGAGTGCTCTCTTGTGATTGAGGGTGGCCATTTTGGCTATATTCGAACATTCTGATTGACGCCCTACCCAACAGCAAACAGCACTTTCGTGACTCCTCGCTCAAGAAGTAAATCAAATTCGGGACTTCCCCCCGATGGCGAATCTTCACGATTGACTCGTTCGTATACCTCATTGACCACCCCGGATTAGAAGCAAGCGCATCCCCGACCACCGCTTAGAACAAACCCTTGCAAACTAAGCTTTTGTATATAACCGCTGCTTGTCTCGATAATCTTTCTCAACAGGCTATCCCACTCAATGTGCAAAGAGCCGGTTGGTATCTATCGCTCGCCTTATATCGAACCCCCGAAAGCTTCGCGCAGGTCACATACCCACGGGATGCGCTCTTAAGTGGTATGCACCGATCTACACGGCACACATGCACTCTGTGCTCCAGATCAGTACAACTAGTAGACCAGTTTGCTCTCCTGCGGTACATATGTTTTGTATAAACAAAGGTTTACTAAGATACTGAGAAAGAAATAAATCTGCTTTTATTGTAAATATCTCCGGCAATACCATCGAATATATTAATGGCTAAGAGAGTTACAGCGAGAGGTGGAATTATTGTAGAAGCAGGGGGTCTAAAAACAGGGTTTCTGTGGCTGGGCAAGCCAATAGGACTCATCCCATACTTCTACAATAATCTTACCGCAAGCTATACAAGTATTGACTGACAATGACGCCTAGGTACTGGTACTGACTGATACGTGGCGCCTAACGCAGTGTGCCGAAAAAGAAATTTTTTTGGCAGAGCTGGGTTGGCCACGATTGGCGAATGCGCAGTGTCTCACTTGGAACTCATGCGCATACCTAAGACATACCGCTGCAGCTAACCAAGACTTCGGGTCGAAACACCAGCTGCGCAGCTACACCTACAGATAACAAACATTTGAACTTGACCCTGGTCACGCTATCTGAAGGATGCCAGCCTCGTACTTAAAAAAACCCACTACAGAACCGAGCTTTGGTGTCTCAGTGTGCCTATACCCTTCAAACCTGTTGCTTAGCACTCGTGTTCATGTCGGTAAGATCTAATGACAGCCGAGTGGCGAGCTGAAAATGCTTCATTCTCGGCAACCCATCAATTGGCCAACGATAGCCCGCGAGCTAGAAGAAAGCTTAAAGGATGTTACCTGCGCGGTTTCGATAGAAACTCGGTTTGGGCAAAATAGGAAGTGCAGGTGTTTCTGTCCACACGCCCAAAAGTGTAGCTAGCTGAAGCAAAAATTCATCGCGCCTCTCTGCACGGTGGCACCTACTCTAGCTATGTGGAGGAATAAATGCGATATATATGGCCATCGTATTATGTAAAGCAAAAGTCGAACGCTATGGCCAATCCCACCCTCGTGTCTGGCATGGAATTCAAAAGTAAACCTAGCTATGTACCTCTTTTACACCACCCTCTTATCCCTCGGAACATTCATATCGCCCTGTGGAGTGGAAAGGTTTCGTTCTGGCACTCGAGCTATGGGTTAGGGTGTTTACACACCAAATACTCTGGAGTACCTGGTCCATATCGATATATATAGCACCTATTTCATATCTGGTTCAAAGATGAAAACCAAGGTACAACTTTCTTTTCTAAAAAAGAAAAGTAATATACCCGCGACCAGCAACAAGAACCCGAATATGCAGCTGCAAGTCTTTGGTGTATTTTTGACTTCTACTCCAATGGAAGTTGCAGATTAGGACGTGCATTTTCGGGTTCTTGTTGCTGGTCGCGAGTAGTCCTAAGCGGCCTTATAACCCTGCACGCGTTTCCTACTCCACAACCTTTTACTGAAGGCACATTGATTCTAAGACATCATCTACTCCGCGACAATCGGATTGATCTTACTCGGCGAGATGATACAACCATTCACGTTTTATTTTCTTTCTTTCGTGACCTAACTGCCCACTAATATTCATGCTCAGGCGAAACCCGATTAGTTACATATAGCACTTTTCCACACCTCCCATTGAGTGGATAGGTGGGGAGGGTGCTTTAACAGGCGGGGAAAGGTATCAACGTGCGGGGCGTGTATCTAGTGGCTTTTCTTTCATGAAAGAGGCCTTCCTATCATGTTACATACTGTAGGAGGCCAAATTTAGATATGTACTGCTTGCCTAAAGTGACAAACCACTTTGTGAGATAATGGAGCATGCCAAGCCGCACACGACTGTTCCTCTATTCTCCGTTTCCGAGTGATATATCGTGACGCAGCGCCGGAAGTGCTGAACTGGGAGGATGTGGTCATCGTTTACAACTTTCTAGACGACTTTACGGGGGGTATTCAACACGGGGGTATGGTCAATTCCAAGATTTTGTATGGAAACCAAAAGAGGTAGTGCGTATTATACCTTACTCTGGCGTATATTTGAGATTGACCGTACCCCCGTGAAAGCGTCTACTTTGAAATGGTCCCAGGAAAGCCTTAACTTATTATTTATTGCCTTGGTGCCTAACCACACATACCCCGCTCGTTCTAGAAACCGCCATCACGTGACTTGCAGATCATTATCGAAATATCCATGTGTTCCCGATCCCCTTAGCTCATATGTACCTGTAGGTACAATACATGATGGATACTACGGTGAGGTATATCTCTGCACGCCCACCGCGCGTGGTGTGCCATGTAGGTACATGTAGCTATCCGCAACAAGCAACCCATGGGTTGCCTGAATTATTGATAATTGATATGAGCTGCCTGAATTATTGATAATTGATATGAGCTGCCTGAAAGCTAAAAGTCAGTCATCATGGCATATGAGCGGCGGAAACACAAGTCTCTACAGCTCTTGCTCGAGCATCTTTCCTGTGCCTAGCCTCTATAGCAAGTATCTCGTCGCTTGTGTCCGAATCCTCCTCAGATATATATACACTCTATACCTCCAGATCCATATTCCATAGTTCTCTTGAGTGCGATCTTGATTACTAGTATCGATATCACCTATTCCCAATATCTCAAACTCACTCGATAGTCGGTCATAGCATTAGGCCAGCAATCCTCTTGGAGTGGACAGGAATCTACCTACTTCCACATTGCTCTCGTGTGATCATATACAATCAAAGATGGCATCTTCATCTAAACAAAAGTATTACTAGATTCCCCGTTTATTGTCCCTATGATCATTTCTAGTCTAGAACACTACTAACGAACACCTATTAGAATCTGCAACCAATTCTCCCGTACTGGTACATGTACCTTCCCCAACTGTCGCTATACGCACAACTCCACTGGGCCACCTCCCCCGAAGGCTCCATGCAACTACTTTCTTGCGCGCGGTCAATGCCGTTTTGGCGATGCCTGTAAATTCTCCCATGATACAAGCGTTACGCGTCCGCCTGAAGATCCCACCAGCGCAATATCATTGTACAAAGGCTGGTCCCAATTGCTCGGAAGTCGCACCTCCGCTCGTACCGCTCGCGGACTCCTCTCTGACCTGACTGTAGACCAGATGGAACGTTTTTTGGTTGATGCCCATAAGATACTGGAGATTGGGACATCAGAGTCGGTGCAGCAGCTGATTGGTGACCTGGGGTCGGAACGGGGGTTGAGGAGAATTCTGCAGCTGGTGGAGTCTAACTTTGCGCTTGGGTACTCGTTAAGTGGGTTGGGGTTCAGGAGACATTGTCTCGTATTCTTGAAGGTTGTTGCACATGAGGAGATGCGGGCATCGTTGGTGCTCGAGAAGGAAGTTGGAACGATCTTCAACTTTATATACGGCCCAGGTGGACGACGGGGAATCGACTTCTTCACGAGAGTAGCCGATCAGCTTGAACGACTCGCCGAAACAGACACGAGGGAGGAGCTTGAGGGTGCGCTGCTCCCAACGGCGACTGCGCTCTTTAACACGCTGAATCTGAACGACGCGGCGGCGGTACAGGAGCAGTTCAAGAAGATTGCCAATACCCTCATCACCCTAAGCACAAGACACGGAGACTTGGGCGGCCCCTTCAACTACACATATAGATGTGTACAGGAAGAGCTCAACCGCATCAAGGTGCTCCTTCAGATGGCGGACACAATCCCGAGCGCAAGCTCCAGAATGCGAGTCGCGTCACATGCGCCCCTACAGAGCTTTGCGAGGCATTCCGTGGACCTTCCCGGGGAGCTATCCAGGGAGGGGCCCAGGCATGATAACGATCATGCGGATATATCAAAAATCAAGATTCTGCCTTCGAGTCAGGAGATTAGTTCCCATAGAAATGAATTCCTTCCGCAGAGAGCGCTCGAGTATCCCCACCATTTGGAGGGAATTGCCAGAGTTCTGGATTTCCAGTTTAGACTACTCAGGGAAGATACCGCCGGACAGATCAGAGAGGCGGTAAGGGCTGTTCAAGACGGGTGGGCGGAGCTTGTGGAGGAAGGTGGCAAGGGGAAGCAGAAGGGAAGGAACTCCGGGGTGCGGACACTACTCTATCGGAATGCGGTTATTGAGAGGATCAAGTGCTCTCAGAGAGATGGACTGGTTTTGAATACCACCTTTGATCAGCCATCGAAAGTACAGGCATTGACTGATAAAGCAAGGAAGGAATGGTGGGCAAAGTCAAAGTATCTCCAGGTTGGATCGCTGCTATGTCTGGTGGATAATTTCAAGAGAAGCACCTTCTTGGTGGTCTGTGAGCGTACTGCCAACATCGCGGATAATAAGAAGAATAAGTCGGTCCCATCTCATTTGGAGGTGGAGGAAGGGATTCAAGACCTAGGGAGCAATAAGCAAAGGGCAATGATAACTCTCCGCTTCGCTGGGACAGTCTCGGAAGTTGATATCGAGAATGTATTCAAGGACGTTGACAGCAGGGAAGAAACCACCCAAGTGCTAGTCGAATTCCCGGGACTCCTCTTCACTTCCTTTGATCCAGTTTTAAAGTGCCTCCAACAGGCCTCAAAAACAGGAAATGTTCCGTTCCCAAAGTGGCTGGCTCCATCACCAGTATATGAATACGCATCAGAACCAGGTTCAAAAGAGGTGGATGTTGCTCCTCCACTTTACATGACCAAGCCTGGGGTGTCTCTAGACCTGAAGAGCATCACCGGCGAAGGCCTACCATTGAGTTACTCGGTAGGACAAGAATTCAATATGGTGAATCTTCGACAGAGGACCACCCTGGACCATGGACAGTGCGAGGCCTTGATTGCGAGTTTGAGTAGAGAACTTGCATTGATCCAGGGACCCCCGGGCACAGGAAAGTCTTATCTTGGCATTCAAATCGTGAAGGTCTTGCTGGATAACAGGGAAAAAACAAACATTGGTCCCATCATCTGTGTGTAAGTCTTGCCAGGCCTTTCCATTTGTATCATTATATAAAGACAAAAGCTAATTCACCACCCAGTTGCTACACGAATCACGCTCTTGACCAATTTCTCGAAAACCTGCTCGCAGACAAGATCACCAATATCGTCCGCATCGGATCACGCTCAAAGTCGGAAGCCGTCGCTGCGCTCTCACTCCAAAACGTCTCTCAGAGGGCCGACCGCACACGTCTCGAACGATATCAAGTTGCCAAAGCCCGCGAGAGTATCTTGGCCATAGAATCATCCATCGAAGAGGCGTGTGGGCAGCTCCTTAACCCAAAGGATCCAAAGATTCTAAAGGAGTTTCTTGAAGAACACCACCCCACAGCGTTCACCGAGCTGTTCAGTAATGAACCGGATGAGGATGGATGGGTACGAAAGAGGGGAAGAAGAGGAGGCCGCTCGGGCACGGGGGAGATCCTGGGTGATTGGATTGCGGGCCGGGGGATGGATCCTAATCGTATCCCGCGAACAAACCGTCCTGTAGAGGCCCTACTCACAACTAGTGTCCTCGCCATGTCCCGTATCGAGAAGTTGAAGCTCTTGGACCACTGGTACGACTCAATGAAGGAACTTGCCAGCTCGAAGCTCCTCAAAGGATCGGAGGACCACACTGTGGAGCGTTTAAATCTCACCCGCCAGTATCAAGAGCAGGAGCGGCGGTGTCTACAGGAGAGCCATATTATTGGCGTGACAACTACCGGCTTCGCTACACACTCAGATCTGATCCGTTCAGTCAATGCAAAGGTGTTAATCTGCGAGGAAGCGGCGGAGGTCCTCGAAGCACATATTCTCAGCGCCCTGTTGCCAACCGTGGAACATGCAATTCTCATCGGGGACCATCTCCAACTACGACCACAGATTATGAACCATGATTTTTCGGTGGAAAACCCGCGTGGAGGGAAGGCGTACGGGCTTGACACATCACTCTTTGAGAGAACTGCTGATGTGGAGACCTATGGGGGCAAGAGATTTCCTGTTGCGAGCCTTGATACACAGAGACGCATGCACCCGTCGATTGCAAGTCTTGTTAGGAATACGCTGTACCCATATCTAGTTGATCATCCCGATACTACGGCTCATCCCGCTGTCAAGGGGATGGCTCGGAGAATGTTCTGGATGGATCATAGGGTGCTCGAAGATGGTGCGGATAAGCTGGAGCTCATTCAGACATCGCATGCGAACGAGTTTGAAGCCGATATGGTCGTTGAGCTGGTAAGGCATCTTTCAAGGCAGGGCGTCTACAAGAGTGGGGAGATTGCAGTTCTCTCGCCATACCTAAGGCAGCTCTTTGTGTTACGGAGGAAGCTGGCATCCATGTTTGAAGTTGTGGTTGGTGATCGAGACCAGGAGCAGCTGGACGAGGAGATGAGCGGCGATGAAGAGATGCAACCAACAACAGTACCAGTGTTAGTTCCATCCCAGCAGGTGAAGAAGGGGAGTCTTCTGAATGAAGTAAGGGTTGCTACAGTAGACAACTTTCAGGTTTGCACAATCTTGCCCGTGTATGGTGCAAGAGATTATTTCCATTCTAATAATGTGAGTGTTAGGGAGAGGAAGCAAAAATCATTATCATCTCACTGGTGAGAAGCAATAAAGAGAAGAAGTGTGGATTTTTGAAAACATCAAATAGGATAAACGTGTTGCTCAGGTTTGTACACCAAAAGTCCAAAGCTAGTCTTTCGATGCACATCAGCTAACCCTGCGCCACAGCCGAGCACAAGATGGGATGTATATCATTGGTAACGCAGAGACATGCGGGCCCATCGACATGTGGTCAAAGGTGATTACCATGTTTGAAAGAGGCCAAAATATTGACAGAAGACTGGAGCTCTGCTGCCCTCGCCACCGCGAAACTCCAATCTTTGTCGCCGAACCGGATGACTTCCATCTCTTCTCCCCCGAGGGAGGCTGCAGTGAGCGCTGCGAGTGGCGGCTAACGTGCGGTCACCCATGCTTGAAGAAATGCCACTCGGAGGTGCTTCACCAGAGTACAATGTGTCTGGAGCCCTGCAATCGGACATTCCAACACTGCGCACACATATGTCCCAAGCCGTGTGGTGTGGCCTGCGGCAAGTGCGACGAGAGAGTACGCGGGGTGCTCCTGGCTTGTGGCCATGCACCGCCCTTCCTGCGGTGTCATCAATTGCAGGAACTCTCGGAGATTCGTTGTAAACAAAGGGTTCAACGGAAGCTCTCAGCCTGCGGTCACGAAATCATGATGGAATGCCACCAAGACCCTGATGTTCACCGGTGCTCTCAGCCCTGCGGTGGTATTCTACAATGCGGGCATCCGTGTCTGTCTCGTTGCACTGAGTGCACGAGGGTGAGGAACCAGGGCGAAGAAGGGGCCACGGTGATCTCGGTCCATGGGCCATGCAAGAAGCCATGCGGGAGAAAGTACACAAACTGCCCACATGTCTGCATCAGCAAATGTCATGGAGGAGAGGCATGTCCGCCTTGCAAGCAGCAATGCGAAATTCGCTGTGAGCATTCGCGGTGCGGAAGGACTTGCACGGAGCCCTGTGCTCCCTGTGCGGAACGGTGCTCGTGGACATGTGTTCATCGGGAACGCTGCGAGATGCCTTGCGCGGTCCCGTGTGACATCAACCCGTGCTCTAAGCGATGTGAAAAGCAACTTGACTGTAGCCACCAGTGTCCGTCTGTGTGTGGAGAGCGGTGCCCACCTGCAGAGTTCTGTCAGGAGTGTGGGACGGAGGAGGTGTTGGGCAGGGTGGTGGATCTGATCATGTTTGAGCCGTACTCTGAGATCAATGTCGATACGGACCCGATCATTGTACCAACCTGTGGTCATTTCTACACCATGGAAACATACGATAATGTCGTGGGTATGAAGAATGCGTATGAGATAGACGAGCTCGGGAATATTGTTGGTCCAAAACCACTGGATGGAAGTGGCGGAGCCACCCGGCCTGAGGGTAATAATGAAGAACCACCGGATAGGCTGGTGGTGAAGAACTGCCCAGACTGTCGGTCTCCCCTCAGAGACATTCATCGATATAACCGCATTGTGAAAGTGGCCTGTCTGGACGAGTCAACTCGAAGGTTCTGCACGAATTCCCAAGCCAACTTTCTCCAAATATATCAGGAGGTCTCCGATGCCCAAGATCTCTTCCAAGCAAATCGGGATGAGTTCATTAGAAGGCTTCATGGAACCCCCAAGGTACGTGGAAGAGATGAAGGGAAGATTCCACAGGCCGTTCAGGAACGAACCCGTAGGACACTCATGCTAGGAACAAAGATCCAGCGTTTTGTTGGAACTGTCTCCGAGGAAGAACAGCCCTATTCCAAAGTTCGACAAATGGCCATTAGCGCCCAAAGAAGGCGGAACGCCCAAGGCAACTTTGTGGTGGATAGCTCTGCCGTGCAGATGGGGTTCCGTTTGAAAAGCCTGAACTTACTTCTCTCGTTCAGGTGGGAAAGCCTGTGGGATACGCACTTGGTTGCTGCAAGCTTTCCCGAAAATGACAGTTCTGTTGCTCTTCTTAGGAACCAAATGCTGAGGGAGCTTCGAAATTTGCATGGTCTATGCTCAGATGTCATTGAGGAATGCCAGACGGGAAGGCTCTCGAAGTATGAGGTCGAAGCAAGACTCCGGCGAGCGCAGTTTTTCGGCCTATACCGGTTGGAGTCCAATGCGCAGAGTCAGCAGCAGCAGGGGAGTAACACCCAACCAAACCCGCCAAATACAAGGGGCTTCGACGAGAATGGTCGGCAAGAGGAGGAGAGAAGTCTGGATATATGTGACGCTCTATGCAGAAGGCTTCCAGGCACTGTAGGGCCGCTCAAACCCCAGATTGATGAAGCGCGAAGGCTACTCAGAGGAATAGCATTCTACACCACAGTAACTGCCGAAGAGAGGAGGTTGGTACATCTTGCGATGTCAGCAGAATTCAGCAGCACGGGTCGGTGGTATACTTGCGCAAATGGTCATCCAGTAAGTTAAATCTCAGTACACGCAATTGACCTGATAGAATACGACTGATATTCGTACCATCTCTGTAGTTTACGATCGGGAATTGTGGAGCTCCAAGGCAGTTAACGAGGTGCCCAGAATGTGGGGCACCGATTGGAGGTGACCACAGTGGGCTTGCAGGTGGAGTTAACCGCGCGGCTGAATTTGCCGCCCTTGATCAGCAAATGGGCCAGACAAGAATCTAGATGATTGGGAGGGACAAGAGGGACATGAGTGGAGAGATATTTCAGACATATAAATCAGTATTTGAGTTCTTCTTCAAATTGATCGTGAGGCTTCTTAAGTCAATTAATTTTCTACATTTATCTTGAAAGGAAATGCTGATGGAGGGAAAGCAGAAGTGAGGGAAAACATGATTAATATTAGATGGATTGACTGTTGCAAATAATTCATTGTCTGTAAGAATACATATCTTTAGTTTCTCAATATCCTTCAAGTTGCTGCGTATACGTAGTACTGTACAGCGAAGGCTTGCACCAAGGGGTATATATATATACACTTTAGATATGTAGTTGTAAAGGTCAGATCGATCAATGGCCCGGCCGGGTTGCGGCTTAATTCATTCTAGTCGGTGATTATCAATCTAGCTTTGCACTCAAAAGTATGTAACTATGTCCTGTTGGTTATGGTGGTGATTTGTGGGCCTAAGGAAATGGTGAGGTCGATGGTTGCCATATATATATATCGCGAGAGATAATACAATAGTAAGTACAGCTTAATTTCACCGCTTACCGTTACATGCAGCAATTACCCCGTCAGTCTGAATCTTGGTGCCTGATCATCTAGCTATGAACAAGCATTCAGGCTTGGACAGATCTAACAACTCTGGTTCGTGCACGTTGTGGCGCGTGGCTATGCTAGTAAGGGTACGTTGCAATTGGAAGAGGATCGCATAGTCAAACGTCAGGTCAACATCGATTTGGATTCATGACTGCAACGCGCACACACTTAGAGTAGTCAGACAACCTACAGGTATGTATTTACGTACGTGTCATCACAAAGCCGATTTACAAAAGGTTATCATTATCTCGGTTAGAAATAAACAGGAATGCAAGTTTTGTCTCTGGCATGCGCAGTATTGATGCCTAGCGATAGTGTGCGCACTCATTGGTGTACCAGAACCTGCAGCTGGCGTCTAGGTAGCAGGATACCCCATAACTGGAACACTCAACGTCAAAAAGAAAGGGTCTTCGTTGCAACCAGTTAATTCTATACCAATCATACCCAACTGTTTGGGTGAGGGGGGTGTTTGGTGGCTTAGGGGGATGTGGTATTTCTTTGATAGCAAATTTTGATTATCCTCAGGTTTAGGACCTCTCCGAACTACCACGACCAGGCGTTGAAATAGTTATAAAAACTTCATTCTTCCAAAGATATAGACGCTTCCATCACTCACCAGGATGCCCCCTCCTCGCCCGGACAGTTGCCATAACAACAAGAGGATCTACATTATAACTATCTTTTATATCTCTTCTAAACCAATCAGCATCAACTTTCCGGGTGAGGGTGTCCGAACCATAGCTTGAACCAGATCGAAAGACCGGAAGCGAATCCTGGGTGCGATTCATGGTTGAAAAACATCACATACAGCTATCGGTAGAATTATTGCGGAGACAGGGGCAATTTTTCAACGCCACACCTCCGCAATAATTCTACCGATAGCTGTACAACCGTACCAATAGCGTCATTTTAATCATGACCAACCTCATTACCAGTCACATTCACGATAGATTCTGCACTTTATGTTTCACCTTGGACGACTTTGGCTTTCTGTACTGACAACAATTTCGATAGGTCGGATACTCGGTCTTGCTACTCCATCCATGCGATAGTATCTTCCCCTCAATCCGGGATAGTAGATTTCAAAGATGTACCCACGAATATTGGATAAATACCTCGTCTCTGTCCAATTTTATACTCCTCTCGATGACCCCCAAGTTATAGTATATATATACCCCATTCGATACCAATCCTCCAAACTGACGAAAACTGCTCTATCTTCGTCGATTAGGTTGATTGGCCGACCTCTTGAGAAGTGACGGCATTTTTTTTTTTTTACAGGCTTTGTTCTCTCAATTAAACGCACCCCCGCTCCGATATTCTTCAAGAAAGGTACAGGATCCCGAATAGCGATGGCCAATAAAGCCTCTATTCCTCACGAACCACTAAATGGCCCTACGGATTCCCTTATTGAACCCGGTGGCTCCCGTGACTCCACATATACGGATTCCCCATCAGAGCCAGAATCTATCTACCCTATAGCACCATGGGATATCTGCTGGGACGATAAGCCAAGGACGGCCTTGTCCTTATTTTTGATAGGTCTTGGTTGTGCCATCGGGCAGCACGTATTCTACAGTATGAAGGATGGAACTCTGGCTGAGCATCAGGCGTGGACAATTCGAATCGGGACAGGTCTCGCATATCTCCTCGGGTTTTCGATGGCTGCCTTGGTTGGGATCTCACGGGATCAGTGGGTATGGCGTACCCTCCGAACCCGATTCTTCCCCTTGAAAAGCATAGATGCCTTATTCGGAGTCACCTCCAATGTCACCTGTTTTCTGGATTTCAACATGGTGCGGCACGCCAAAGTCTCGACAGCGCTGGCAGCTTTGAAATGGCTTTTCCCGCTGGTGACAATCTTCACACCAAGTACCATCTCTGTCATATCGTCGCCCTTCCCGTCCGAATTCGATTGCGAAGTACCAACTCTATCATTCTCGAAGGCTAGTGGCAGCACCGATCCCGGTGTGCATGCCCTCAACTACGTCAACACCAATCATACCCAAGATAATACGGGTCCCAACCCCCGCCTGAGATCGAGGGCGATGGCCGCGACGTATGCAATACAGAACAGTCATGCGTTATCCCAAGAGTATAGCGCCGTAGATACATTCGATCCCGCCGCGTACGCTGAACAAAACCTCTTCATCAATAACCACTCTGTATCCATTGATACAGAAATTGAAAGCAAGGATTGCTATGCAAGCTCTGAGGCCCTTCGATACCTTATAATGTCGGCATACTCCGATGAAGTCATCTTCCCTCGGCCCCCCGACAATCGTGAGCACATTATATCGGAGCAGTGCTCTTCCAACTGCAGCTACTCTTACGAGTTTGTTGGACCTACGGCCAGCTGTACTGAGTTTGAGACCCTTCCGCAGATACTTTCTGATATCTATCATAACATTAGTGATAAGAATATCATCTTGTTTGCTGCGGGGCAAGGGTCGGATCTGAACACGACAGATCTTAGCTCGACGTATAATGTGCAGACCAATGACAAGCTATACTCGCCCGATCGCCTGTGGGCATTCTATTCGTCCGCAAACGATAGCCTTCAACCACGCGACGATCGCAGTCTACATGCCTACACATGTGAATTTGGGCCCGCACGGTACTCGATCAAACAAGAGATCACCGACCGCTTCTTGCAGCCCGAGATAACCGTTGGCCCGATCGACCGCGAAAAGCTGAGCTTGGATAACACGACTACATGTGTGCTCCTTCAGTCTGTTCTCGAAATCCTCAGGGGTTATTTGGTAATCACATATGACTCTCGGCTTTATAGCACGAGCAAAGAAAGTGGTCAAACGCCGTTGATGAACTATACGGTCACAGTACCCATCGCCTCCAATCGCACACATATTCGCTCAACCAACCTCATCGACAAAACGGGCTTGAAGGTGAATAATCCCCTAGGCAAATCTATTGAAAAGCTAGTCAGCAAGATGGTTGTCTCGTTGATTGCAGATGACGGCCTCATCATCGCCGATAAAGTCAAAACAAAATGTCACACAGAAAGGATACAAAACACCTACGTATACAAGCCATTCATCTTGGTTCTGGTCAACTCAACCGCCATGTTTTTCTCTGCGTTGGTAGCGGTGCTGGGAGCTGTGGCTCTTGTGGAGAATGGCGTGGCGAGTGACGCTTCGTTCTCGACCTTCCTCCGAACGACACGAAATCCAACACTGGACCAAGAGTTGAGGGGTGGGTGCTTGGGTGGAAGTTCGTTCCGGAAGAGATTTCGTAATCTAAGGCTTAAATATGGGGAAATTTCGGTCAAGGACGAGGGGATTTATGGCGATGGTGTTCGCCACGTGGGTATGGGTATCGAAGGAGAGGTTACCACCATGAAGAAGGGTAAGGATTACTATTGATTTTTCTTCCAAGCCACTTGATTTCCAATTAAGATTGCAATGTATGTATGGATTTGTCTTTCTCTGAGATTTTCCTATGTTTCGTTATTTGTATAGCGGGTTGGTTCGAGGTATGACTTTGATTGTTTCTATGGGCCAGTGATCGGGGGTTTTTAGTGTCGTTTCCATTTAAAGTTTGTGGATAGAAATTATGCCATGCATACGGTAGAAGGTTTGGGGGTGTACACATGGTGGGTTACCTTTCAGTGGGTTTTTGTCATCCAATTTGCATCTCACTTTATCATGCAGTGTCTATGTGTAAAATCATTTATATATATATATTATTTACTCTGCGTCGTGTTTTGATAAACTGCCCCAGTCTTTTACGCAATCCATCTCCATAGGTAGCAGTCGAGGCCCTCTGACTTTGAACTTGTAGTGATGTACAGAAGAGACTTTTGCATGAACTTATTAACCCCTGCCTGGAAAACGCTCCGTTTTCAACATTTTTATCATATTTCGGGACCTCTCGAGATTGAGATCCTTTGTTTAATGTGATAATTACTTACTTTCGAGATCTACATATGTACTTATCCATCTCCCTTATCATTTGGTTAGCCAGACTAGCTTGATTGAGCGTATGCTGCATAGAGCGCGCGCGCGCTCAAGCCTGTAAGATACTAGTGTATGTGAGAAAACGGTACCCAAGGATGCAGTCGGGTAGGAGAGGATAAACAGACCACTATGACACTTGCTCCACGAGTCTTTAAAAGAATATCCTGTAGTGGGTACTCTAGGGTTAGGGTTATGGACAACTGCAAGGAGTAAGTGTGACGGGCAGCATAGCGCAACCATCAACCTAGAGCATGTTTTGGATGAGGAACTGCAGAATATCCCGACACAAATAGTTATCTTGTCGGTGAGGAAATGCGACCATTAGACCGAGACGTGATCTTCTGCAATTAAATATTGCAATGGCGGGGAAGGAGGTTGATCAATCTAGCTAGTGCTATGAGAATATATAAGGCTGGTCTCATTTCTTTGGATGGGAATGTATACCTATGTAGGGCAGACTGGAGCAAGAGGTCATGAACAGGTAAAAGTAGCGACCACTACATGTAGTAGAGATTGAGTGAATTGATCTCTGCAAAAACATGTATATATAGCTACATACATACATATTCTGAGCACTACTACGAACAGCATGATATGTCTTCCACACAAAACTCCATCCCTAATTCACCCTCTACAATAGTCCAAAAACGCTGCCAGCATCGACTTCATGCCCTCCCTCTCCACAATGGTCAAGACATTCTCCCCGCGGCAATCCTTCGCATCGATATCGACCCCCTTCTCCAGCAACATGTCCGCCACCCCGAGCTCGGCCTCCCCCTCCACTCCCGCACCGACCAGGACATGCAGCGCCGTCTCCTCCTCCCTGTTTCTCGCATTCAAATCGATACCCGCGTCAAGCAGCAGCGGGACCACCGCCCACTCACCCGCCCCCACCGCCACATGCAGTGCCGTCTCGTTGTCCACATTCCTCGCATTCCTGTCGACGCCGGCCTCCAGCAGCATGGCCACCACGCTCTTATCGCCGCGCCTCACCGCCATATGCAGAACCGTCTCATTCCGTGCTTTATCGCGCGCATCCACGTCGACCCGTCTACCCAGCAACACCGCCACAACCTCCGCCGCCCCGCGCACCACAGCCCCCATCAGCGCCGTCTGCCCCTCTGCATCCCTCCGGTTCGCATCGGCCCCCATCTCTAGTAGCCAGCCCACCATCGCCGCCCCGCCAGCCCCCGCAACAGCCACATGCAGCACCCCGCGCCCCTTCTCATCAACACCGCCCAAGTCCCCGCCCCGCTCGGCCAGCAGCTTCGCCGCCACAATCTCGCCGCCGCCCACCGCGAGCAGCAGTGGCGTCATCCCGCCATGCCCCGCAATGTCAAACATCGCCCCACGGTCAAGCAGCAGCCGCGTGATGCCGTCGCACCCCGCCGTGCTGACGGCCCAGTGCAGCGGCGTGCGGCCGACCTTATCAACGATGTTGATGTTAGCCCCGCGGTCGACAAGCGCACGGACCGCGCCCTCCTGCCCTGCGCCCGCGGCACAGTGCAGCGGTGTCTGGCCGTAGCTGTCCGCGGCGTTTATTGGTGCTCCGGCGTCGAGGAGGGCTTTGAGGAGGTCCTCGTAGCCGTAGACGGCGGCGCGGTGGAGCGGGGTGCGGAGGGAGGTTGTGGTTGTTGTTGCGAGGGGGGCGCCGGCGGCGATGGAGGAGAGGGCGAGGGGGAGGTCGTTTGTCTTTGAGGCGTGGAGGAGGAGGGCTGCCGGGGTGCGGTGGGTGGCGAGGAGCTGAGCGAGGAAGTGGAGGCGTTTGCAGGTGAGGAGGAGTGAGAGGAGGGAGGAAGTGGGGAGGTAGGAGGCGACCGCCTGGATGAGGGGGGCGGGGAGCGAGAGGAGGGGGAAGGGGGGGTATGGGCGTAGCATCTTTTAGAATTGAGGGAAGAGCAGTTGGAATTGAGGGGAACCAGTTGGAGTTGTGCTTGTCGAGGTAGGCAGTATGGTATGGTTGGATGTCAAGAGGTCTGAACTACAAGAGAGGGGGAATGGGGTTTACTTGTAGCAGATGGCCATGTCGCCACCGGGAAGCGCATGTGCATACCCCTCTTATCTGCAATATCTCCTCTTCATATGTACAGGGAGAGAGATAGATAAGCACTTGCTAGTCTTGTTCCCCTTGTCCCGGGTGCAGAGGGCGTCTCAGCACCTGGCATATGACGTTTACCCAGGCCCTCTTCTTTTTCAGGCAGCCAGCGCACCACAATCCTCGGAGGTGAGCAGCAACAGGCATGGGGTGCAGATCACCGCCGGATCGAGATGCTGTGACCAAAACAATATTGGCGATATCGTAATATGAAAGAAAGAGTGTTATTTTTTCGTAGATGCACAGGTTGAAGGGCACAATGTCAGGAACACGAAAGAGCAGCACAGTTGGGATGGCATGTAGTAGTAGTACCTACGTGTTAGGCGCTGGGGTTGATTTAAGCAATGATAGCTGAGACGTGATTGCTCGCTTAGGCACGCGCGTCTTGGCGCGTGGGGGGTGTCAATGATTGTGTGACCGTGGGTGTCTTGGCAGACGAGTGATGTTCCATGACTGGAATTCCACTCAACACTTGAGACTACGTGCATACATGTATGTATGCAACGTTGCATGAATGGGTTAAATACAGCCATTACGCATTTCTACACTGGCATAAGCACATCATCACCAACGAGTCTCAACCCTCAAGTACAGGTAGGTCAAGTACATAAGTAGGCACTTGTAATTCTTTTATTGCAACTTCGGAAAAACACACCCAAACTAATTAGTTCGTGGTTTCATAATTACTTGAAGATTAAACACTTACCCCCCCACAATGCAATTGAAATTTGATGATTTTCTTAACCCCTCCCCACTTGCTGCTTTATGCTAATAAATCTCTCCCTGCGGTCCGTTATATTCAACGTGATGACCTTGAACGGCTTATTCCGGCCCTCATGCCTAGGAGCGTTCATCGGGGCTGAGATACCCACAATCCGAGTAATCCCTCTCTTGCACTGGGGACATTTACGGCTAGACGGATTCCTGACTGATAGTATCTGTTCAGCACATTGCTTGCATATACAATGATTACACGGCCGCATTCTGGCATCACGTCTGTTAGCCACCCCACACTATGCCTTATCTCGGAAGGGAGAATATATTAACGCACAAACAATCCTGAATTCTGGTTTTGCAGACAGTGCATATCTGCGGTACCGCAGGGTTGTATGCCGCATCCTCTCTCGCCTGTAGCGTCGCATCCATCTCCGACACCGTCTTGACCTTGCTGAAGTCGCCACTGACAGTGGAGGGCTGCTCGCTGTAGAGCTCAAAGAAGGGCAGCCCCATCGACGCATACGTCTCTGGGCTGATTGGTGTTTTTGGCGCTGCCATCCCTGTGATCTCTTCAAAGCCGACAGAGTTGACGACCTGCACGTTGACGAGTTTGACGTTTTCGGTGTTCCATAACTCGGGGTTGTGGTAGTCGGGATGGATGTCTTGCTTGACCGTGCCGCCGACGGCTATGGCCATTTGCCGCTTCTCGGGCGAGTGGGGCGCATACCCCCCGCGTAGCACCTGCTCTATCGTAATGGTATCTCCATCAACTATGTTATACGCACCGAGCGTTTGTCGATCTTCCAGCTGGCTCCCTCTACATATCGCCCTCACATCTCTTGTATCCATGGTAAAATTTACCATTTCGGCTTGACTTGCAATATCCGTTAGCGCATGATCACATTATTCATTGAACTGAAAATTATAATGGAAATCGCACCAATCCTTTCCTTCAGTGACAGGATCGTGTCTGATTCCGTAGCCTTGATTGTGAAGGGAGGTTTGCTATAGACCTGGATCTGTAGAGTGAATCTGTGGGCCCAGTCGAGCAGAATGTCGCTTCTGGCACCGAACCCTTCGCTCGACGCTTGCGAGAGGCGATACATGTCCTTCCATGTTTTGATCACCTTGCCGTGAATATAGAAGCATCGGCCGAGCCTTGGCAGGCCGGCCTTCCTTTCCATCTCTATGCCAATGCTTTCGAATGGTTTCGTGGAGTCGCCCTTGAAGGTATTAGTGCTTTGTATTAATACATATACTACTTTATACTCACATGGACGGAATAGCTTGACTGCGTCCCCGAGACCCGAACCCTGAGATTTGTGTTGATCATCTTACACAGGTCCAGCTCCAACAGAACACATGCACCTGAGTCGCTCAGCAGATCATTCACCGTCCGAACTTTCATCTTCGTCTCCTTGATCTTCTTGCAGTAGATCATCTCTCCCGGCTGCAGCCCCAGACTCTTTGCCGTCACCATGGCATCCAACGACCCCTCTGCCACCATCTCCTCAAAGAACTGGTCCCTGGTGATGAAATACTCATCCTTATCATACGTCGTAATCACCTCAAACTGCATCCCCCCCACCCTCTCCTCACCCGTAACCTGCTTCTCCACAGAGTATCCCGACCCGAACGGCATCGCGACAAACTGCTTCACCAGCCCAGGACTGACTGCCACGCCGTCAAGCCATGGCTGGGGTGGGACTACGACGTAGTCCTGCTTTCTGGCAGCTTTGTTTGTCCGCCTGAGATAGGTTGCCATGTTGGGTATCATGGGCTCCCCAGAGATCCCGTTGACGCCGCCAAGGTATATCTTGATCGCGAAGCGCCTCGTGTAGGGATAATTTGTACGGAAGGACATCCACATCGCCTCTCTCTCTACACTACGTTAGTAAAGCTCCGCATAAAAAGCCGAGAGGGGATACCCACGGTACATCGGGATGAAGACGCCGCCTTTCTCCCCCATGTCCGCCGGTAGCCTCTTCGCATAATCCGCAATGTTAAAGATCGGGAATTTCCCTAGATACGGTGGAAGCTGGTGCTCTCTCCCGTCGTCGGGCACCCTGATTGTCCTGATGAACGAAATCTCAAGGTTGCCGTTATCGAACGATAGGCATTCGTTGGTGCCCTTGATGCTGCATTCCACCTCTTTCTCGAAGCCTCTGTTCAGGCCGGTAATCAGCTTCTCGTCTTCATAGACCCTCAGCCCGGCGAGCGGGGTGTCGTAGTATGATTCCTTGTGCGGCGTCACGGTGAAGGCGAGGGGGGGTATCTCGTAGCACATAGGGGTGATTATCGAGCTTTGGTTATGGAGGACTACAGTATCGCAAGCTGCGAAGCCTGATCATTTGTGAGGCTTGTTAGCAACGCTCAGGATATAAAATATTGTTAGTATACTTATACTAGATGTAGCAGCTTACCGAGCTTTCCCGTGCAGTGAGCGACGATCTGCTCGGTGGGCATGTCAAGCGGAAGCTCCACATCCACACTCGTCTTCCCAAAGTTCATCTTGCCGCCATAGATGCGGACCTTTACATTTCTGGCCGGCGCAGCCGATGCTGCTGGTTTCTGTGAGCGGCGCATTTTCTAGCCAGGCTCTCTGTCGATGGTTGATTGATGATGATGCGAGAGGTGGTTTGGAAATGAGAGTTTTGGATGCCTTATTGAGGATTGCGGGTGTGTGGGGTTTGCCTGAATTGTGCTCAGTCGACCGTAGTCTAGAGTACTCTAGATGATGGTGGTCCTTGCCAAATAATATTCGAACTAAAGCTCTGGATTCGCCTGCAACGGAGCACCACAACAAATATTTCAAGAGAAAAACCCAATATAATAATAGTACTGCTTTGTTTGGATTCGCGAACCACAATTTGAGGTGATCGTAATCCTCCCTCTCCAAATCACAAACTCCCAGGATCACACGGAGCCTTAGGTAGCAGTAAAGGATTAGTAGTAATACGGTTTGAGACGCGAATTATCTAAGTGTAGCCAAGCTAGGCGCCCAAAGGAAACGTAGCGTTTAGTGCCGGTATTTACAGGTGTCCATCACGACTATGATGTACATGTAGTTATGTAGTTACCTCTAGCTACTATCAGCCCCCTGTTAGTCGAAGTTGATCCATCTCGCCAACAACGTCGGGGACAGCGAGGGTTAGGGTTGCATGCAGCGATATCGCAGTCGCTTCTCATGAGCTGTGATTGGATTTGAAGTTCAGCCTTGCAAGCGCTTAACACTTCATCATACACTTCATTATACGGAGTGGGGTGGCCCCCCGCTCTACATTCGAGAATCCTCTTCATCAACCCGGTGCCTATTTATCCCGCAGTAACAATGGAAGTTGGCGCATCTATAGTCGGTTTACTCTCGGCAGGGGCGAGCATCGCCATCGCGATAAACGATTTCGTAACTAGCTGCAATAATGCACCACTTTTTGCGCAATCGATTCTCCACGAAACGCTCGAATTTAGCTACGCCCTTGAGAAATTACAACATTTAGTCGTAGGACCACAAGCTACCTCTCTTGACCAATCTAGAACATCAATGATTGATGTCAACCATCTCTCATTGACACTGGTTGGATGTGTTTGCACGTTTTCACAACTTGAGAAGGAGATTCAGCGCATGAAGCTTAGCGGTAAATTTGGAATCTTGGATCGTGTGAAATGGTCCTTCATAGAGCGAGATGTTTGCTCGATCATTCAACGCATCCAGAATCACAAAATGTCCTTGATGCTGATTCTCACTATCCTGAAGTATGTGTTCAAATTTATTTTATATATCTTCCTTCCACGCTGAGTGACTTCAAAAAGGGTTTGACTGATTTTGTTAATTTTCCACGTCCTGCAGCGGATCGGCCACCGAAGCAGCGAGCAGTCGGGAGAGTCTTAATACGCATCTGTCCAGAACGATATCCTATACTCCAAGTTCCATGCCTATTGATGATGACTCAAGCTCAGTCACGAGCAACTCTAGCCTTTCCCAGAAGTTATACCGCCATGCTTTCGAGTCCACACTGTTCGTTAGCCGTCCCTACATTAGAGGGAGGAGATTCGACGATGCCCAATCGGCGTTCTCTATTGCAACATCACAGCGGCCAAAGGGGTGGTGGTCTTTATATACCGGGAAGTCCAACGACTCAGTACTCTCCTTACCAGTATCCGTCACAACAATCTCGGGCACAAGCCTGACCGAGATACCATCCATTTGTAACTTATCATTGCCGGTGCCCCCTGATGCCCTACTGAACTCTCTTCCGAACCCCTTCAAGCCCGGAGACCCCGGAGACCCTCCCCCTCCCCGGCCCAGTGGCTCCACCGATCGCGATAGACTGACACCGAGGAATGATACTTATCATTTGGTTTCATTCCGCCCTTTTCTGCTTAAAGCTGCTAGACAAGGGCTTAATACAACAGTGACAATGCTTCTAGACAACACAGCAGATATGAGTATCCAAAGAACGCAGCGTCACCTGGATGATGCGCTACACGTGGCGATGGCTCATGGACACGAAGAAGTCGCACAGATCCTGCTGGAGCGAGGTGCACGCATTTCAATTGAGCCAACCAGTGTCTCGAGTGGTGCTCATGGGAAGGAGAAGAAAATCGATGATACTCCGCCGCGCCAAACCGCACACATGACTAAGCTTCTACGGGTAGCGATAGTTGCGGGAGAGATAGATAATGTGGCGCTACAGCTAGATAATGGTGCAGCCATTGAAGATGTTGATCACAATGGAAATACAACTCTACATCTGGCCCTTGGCATTACTCGGAAGGATAATAAGGACAAAATTATTAAGCTCCTCTTGCACCGAGGCGCGGCCGCTGATACGAGGAACAAACAAGGACTCACGCCCCTACATCTGGCGGCGAAAGGTGGCCATAATGACGCCATGAAACTCCTATTAGACCGAGGGGCGGCTATTGATGCGAGAGCCCCCGGGGAAATGACAGCCCTTCATCTGGCGGCAGAGTACGGCGACAAGAAGCCCGCAGAGCTTCTATTAGACAGAGGGGCGGCTATTGATGCGAGAACCGACGCACGGCTGTCGAAAACGACAGCCCTACATCTGGCGGCAGGGCGCGGCCACAAGAACCTCGTAGAGCTCCTGTTGGACCGAGGGGCGGACATCGATGCGATAGATAATCAACACAACACTGCTCTACACCGAGCGCAGGCGGGGGGTAAGAGGGACGTTATAGAACTTCTCCTGGACCGAGGTTCGGCAATTGAGGCGAGGAACGAAGATAAACTCACGCCTCTACATCTTGCGGCGAAACACGGCTCCAGGAACACCATAGAGCTCCTATTAGACCGAGGGGCGGCTATTGATGCGAGAGCCTTCGGGGAAATGGGAGCCCTGCATCTGGCCGCAGAGCACGGCCACGAGATGCCCGCAAATCTCCTGTTAGACCGAGGGGCGGCTATTGATGCGATAACCTTAGGCCAAACGACAGCCCTACATCTAGCGGCAGGGCACGGCCACAAGAACCTCGTAGAGCTCCTGTTGAACCGAGGGGCGGACATCAATGCGGTAGACAATCAACACAACACTGCTCTACACCTAGCGCAGGTGCGGGGTAAGAGGGACGTTGTGGAAGTCCTCTTGGACCGAGGATCGAAAATTGACGCGAGAAACAGATATGAACTCACGCCTCTACATCTTGCGGCGAAACACGGCTCCAAGAACACCATAGAGCTCCTATTAGACCGAGGGGCGGTCATCGATGCGAAAGACAATCAACATAACATGGCTCTACACCTAGCAGTACAAGTGAAGGGTAATAGGGACATTGCGGAACTTCTCTTGGACCGAGGCGCGGAAATTGAGGCGAAAAATGAAAATGGAGATACGCCGCTATGGTTAGCAGTGGTAGCCGCCGAGAAGGCCACTGTACAGCTGCTGCTGGACCGAGGCGCAGCTATTGAGGTGACAAACGAAGATGGATATACACCTCTACATATTGCTACTTTGGATGGAACGATGGATATCGTAAAGCTGCTGCTGGCTCGAGGTGCGAATATCAACGCAAGATCTCCGACTGAACGAACGCCATTACACTTCGCCGCCCGATTTGATCAAGAGGGTATTGCCAAAATTCTACTTCTTAACGGCGCAGACGTAAGTGCGAAGGATAACGCTGGGAATACTCCCTTGGATTTGGCGACATCCTCCAGTGGGACCCTCAAGCAGCTCCTGTTGCGGCGAACTAGGCGGGGGCTAGTAAAGAGCCATAGGAAGAACGCCCACGGCTGATTCTGAAGAGATCGATCTTGTACGGTTACATACTTATCCTTCCCTCTTCTCTCTTGTTTCCTTTGTCCTTGTCATCAAATTTTAGTTCGAATTTCCATCAGCGTTCCATCGCTCCTGTTGGGCTCTTCGAATGGTGGTATTCAACAAACCTTCATCAGCCTAGCCAGGTGTGATGACGAGCGGGAGGCTTTAGTGCAAAAGGGGGCTCACATAAGTGTGTATCCAAGTCTTCGACATCATATCAGCTCCTTCATGTTTTCATCTTCCTATCTCTACTGCACCTCAACTGAAACACAACCTACTGTCGTCTTACCTTTCACCAGTCGGTCGTACCTCATCAGCTCTCTCAAATCTAGTCTAAGGTATACGACTAAGATGGCTCAGCTCACCACCAAGAGTTACCGGCTACAATACTTTAGCACCCGAATAAGTAATTCATGAGCTGACTTTTCAATCCTACCGGACTTCCCCCCCCCCCCCCCGGGGGGGCTCCGTCCAGCAATAATCTTGAAAAAATGATATATTGTCTTCAACGAAAGGATATACTGTTGAAGTAGAGTCTTACTGATTATTTGTATGTTTTGATATTTACATGTTTTTCTTTCTTCATTCTCTCCAGCCCTCAGCTCCCTTTTAGTTAAAATTGGGGGGGGACAACCCCACCGCGGCCTAGAAGGCCTACCTTTCGGGTCTGTGTTCCCTTCCCTGGTCAAGCGTGGAATCGGTTTTGGCGGCTGCGGGTAGGGTTAAGCGACTTGAGATCCTTCCTTTTCATTACCCATTTCCCTGTCTCTAAAAACCAGCACTTATATCCATGCCAAGTTGTCTCCTTAGGTGTCTTAACTACTATACTTGGAGCTTTAGTTTACTATGTTATAACCAGCTTTTATTCTTCCACAGTATACATATCAAATTTCCTTTCCTCCTCCGCGTTACCATACCTTCCACCGCTATTTGCGAGACCTTCTCTTTTCCAAACCAGAAGAACCGGATAAAGCGATAGATAGGAGTGTATGATAACTGCGAGGGCATCAAAGGAGTCTCCTCCAGATCTAGATGCTATTATATTGGTGCGTGTGGGTTTACTACCAATCCTGTCCGATTATATGATAATAAATATTCTTTCCCATTGTCGGGATCAATCAATAGAATCTGTGTCCTTTCTGTCTCCGAGGTTAGCAAACCCAGATACGACCAAGCTTCAGGAAGATTCCAAACAAGCCTATTACCAGGAGAACGATCAGAACACGAGTGAGGAAAACGAGAACAGATCATCCCTATTTGGTTCAGCATTAGACAAACATTTTAAGGCCTTAGAGCTACTTCTAGATGTAATTTAAGTAGATATATTAGCAGCGATGGCGCACATGTGTTTGGTTTTATAAAGCGATTTATATAATTACTCTATCACAAGAAATGCGGTACTGCCTAAAATTATTAGAATAATACTCTATAATATGTATAATTATATATAATCTGAAAGTATTGATTACAAGTACATATAAACTTACATCATATGACTTGATATTAGAATACTATTGCTAGTTTTCGTAAACATGCCAGATTCAGTTGAGAGTGCGAGAGTTATAAAAGGCTGATTTTTGTGGCAATCACATACTAGCTTCATTTCAATTTTCCCTCTCCGTTCCACTAATGATTACGAAAGTTGACTCAGCTATGTCTAATTTGAATCGTTGTGTGGAAACAAACATATATGCATATATCTTAATTCAAAGAGGGAAATTAGCAAACTTATTATTTAGTCTTGAATCTAATTTGTTCCTTAGTAATATATAATATCATCCTCCCACTGCTAAATCCCCATTGGCGCTTCGCAAATTTGGTATGTATATATAGTACATGTTTGTTCCAAGAATATGTGAAGATTTAATGCCCTCATATAAAGTACAAGGCCATGTATTTCTTTACATAGTCAACATCCTGCTGTATTGGCTTTATTATCCTTTCCGGGGCAGGCAGCGCATGCCGGTATCGCTTAACCTTGCAGAACCTATGGATATGTGTACATGTGCCGCACAGGAATATGCTTGATTAGCCTAGCAAGGGCAATCGCTTCCTGGACTGGGTGGCAAAGTGTCAATCTTTCTCTGGAAGTAATAGGTTAAGAGTAGAGACGTGACAAAATTTGATCTCCGCGAATTCCTCACAACCTTTAAACAGAGACGACCAAATTAGGTACACATTATCAAAAGTATACGTCTAACAGGAATGTTTCCTTCCTTAGCAGTATCCTTCAGGAGCTTACGGGGCCGGCTTGCGGTGCTTCTTAATGACTAGTATTTTCCGTAGCAGGAACTTCAAGGGCCCTCTTTTTGCCATTTCGCGAGGGAAAAACAACTCTTTCTTTATGGTATATTCTCTCAAGGCTTCCAAATCCGGGAAAAAGGTGAAGGGTTTTCCTGTTCGCACGTAGTGAACCAAGTCGTAAATATTGACGTTCAGCGGTGCCAGAGCCTTCAAGTGACAGGATTTCAGAGGTCAATACTCTATCCGTCGAATATGTCAGAGGGCCTTCATTATGTACTCACCCTTCGACACACAAATATGCTTTCCGGGATGGGGTCCACTCCCAACAACACACAGAGATTTTGCCATGTTCCGACATCCTCATCGTCGGCGCCAAACATCGTTTCAAACTCGTCTCTAAATGAAAACAAGAACTTGGTATGTGCTGCTTTAGATTCGAGCCTGAGCTCAGCAGTGCTTTTCTTCTCAATCCCGTAGCCAAAACAGTTAATATCTTCGAGATCCCAGCCCTTCTGTTCTCCCAAGCGTCTGAATTCTGCCATTGGATTTCCCCTAGGGTTATAGGGAAAGTCCGGATATTTCGCAAAGAATAGATCTACCTTCCCCTTGAACTCCAGTTTGAAAGATTGCTGAAACGTATGGAAAGCCGCCAGAGTGTCTTTCTTATTCCAGTTCTTCAACGCCCTCAACCTATCAAGTTGGTATATCGGTGAGCCCTCGCTATCGTATCCAATGAAATCTTTATGGCGCTTAAAGAAATATTTGTGAACAGGAGACTTTGTTTCGTCTACAAGTGTCTTGAGGAATGTTCTCCGAGCCGTCTTGTATTCATCACTTGACTCTTCCCACTTCTCTGCTTTTTGGAGGCGACGGAAGTCTGTTTCGGGTGATTTTTCCGTGTCGCGGACGAAGTTCGGAAAGGTTGCAAAAAAAGGTTTTAGTAGTGGGTGATTTGCGGACTTTTTTTTATTCTCCCCGACGGGACTAGATGGTGATGGTTTCTCGACTACAATGGACGACGTTTTTGCTTTCTTGCCGGCAGACGTTGCTACTTTTTTGCTGCTAGATGTTGTTTTCTTTCCCGCCTTGGAGTACCTAAAGAACGCCGAAACTGAGAAACAGCGTAATTGAAACATTGGGCACCGGGTCCGAACGCTTGAATCTTCTGGGTGTTTATAAAGAGGAGATCGAATTGCAAAGGCACTTCCTTTACTGCGTACACCGTGTAGAGGGGTGACCGAGATGTTATTAGCATATAGGGTTAGGGTTACTACACAGTACTATTCAGGCGGTCCATTAATCTCTTGCCCAGCCTGCACAGCATGTACAGTCGACTCCTTTCAGAACCTGCGGCGGAGTTAGGATCGAAGCTTTACTGCGCTTCGTAGCTTGGCCAGAACTGTCAATTATAATTATGATTTGTCATTTCGAAAAAAGAACCAAGACTCTACTACGGGGGGTAATGCATCAAATGATGCATTTCTGAAATTCTACAGTGGAGGAAATCGATCCAGTGATGCATTTACTGTCGAGGCTTTTGGTAAATGAATCAGCTGATGCATTTGCCTTGACAGGTGATGCATTGGCCTTGACTGGTGATGTATTTGTTGTTGCTGATGTCTTTCTTGATGCCTTTCTTGATATTATTTTTCCGGATGCTTTTATGATGCCTTTTATGATGCCTTTTATGATGCCTTTTATTATGCCTTTTATGATGCCTTTCATGATGCATTTCATGATGCATTTCTATCCATATCTGCTGGATATATAGCACTCTTTGAGGTCAAATATATAACAAATGTTATATGGCTGATATGGTTAAGTATCAGCTAAGGATCAGGAGTTCACAGGTTCAGATCCCTTTTAAGTCAAATCATGTTTTTTTACGAAATCCGATTTATTTGACACATTTCCGATACAATGCCGATTCATTACCAGATGCATTACTAGATGCATTGCCCTCCCATTGCCAGCACATTACCCTCCTATTGCCAGCACATTTTCGATATATACATAATCGATGCATTACTATTCAGTGCGCAGGAAATACACAATTCCTGATGCATTCGTGGATTCATTTCTGTACGTTGGTAGAGAGAGGGAATCCCGGCCGCTTTAAAGAAAATCTACATGCATGTGTTGTATGTACTACATACATCGTATTCGCGGTCCCTTCAATTAAGACTCATGGGATATAAACAAAATCGGTATCTTACCGCACAAATCCATTTTATCATAACATTCCTCCTTAGCATTAATAGAGAGTTTAAGCCACCCGACCTTTTGGTAAACAAAAAAGATCGTCAGACAAAAAAGATCAGCGGTCTAGGGTCAAAAGAGCAAAACTAACGCAGGATTGGTAATCTTTCACGCCGATCTTTGGTGGCTTAAACTCTCTATTACATGCCACATTTGTTTGGGCCCAGTGTAACTACATGTAACCCTACTCTCACTTCCTGGCGAGAAAGACTGTATTCTGTCAAATGAACGACAGTTTTCAATTAGCTTATATCACGTTGCACTAAGGATATATGATCCTACACCCCAGAATATACCTACTACAGCATACCTTTTTTGTTCTTCCCATCGGGGGATATATCGATGGATTATTCCACCAGGTAGAAGGCGCGAAGCACACTTAAGTTATTAGATATGTGTTAACCCCCCCAAAAAAAATAAACACTCTCTACAACCAGCTCTCATGCTCAAATTAAACGCGTTGCTCCATTACTTCTCCCCTTAAATCCTTCAATAACACTATTCCATAAAACGTCGACTCCTCATGCGAGACTAAAAGTCTCAGCGCAATTAGACAATCGAACAGTAAAAACCACAGCATCGGCTCTAGGGGCCACCTCTAGCTAGGCATTTTCGAAGGTGTCAGCATTGTCTCGACGGTTTATAGGATACTCCCTCCCCTCAACACATACTCGGGGTTGGCTCTGATCTCACCTCCCTCCCCTCCTCGCCCTTCTGTCCCTTTCCTTCTTCAAACATATCACCAACGTCGCAAACACCAAGGCGATGTCTACCCCAGCTCCCCCATCCACCGCCAACACTCCCCCCATCAACCACGTGCCCCTCAAGACATATCTCGCCACCGTCAGTACCTCATTCCCCTCGGCGTCCTCAATCACCAACTTTGTCGGGGCCAGCAAGTCCCACTTCCACTTGTACATCCTGCTATTGTACACAAAGCTCATCGTCCTGCTCAGGATCGCCTCCTGCTTGACGGCCACCTCCGGGTGCGTGATCCCGTCAACCCACTTGACCGTCGCACGATGGGTCTCCCAGATCGACGCATAGATCTCCAGGATGTTCGCCCCCGCCGGCGTGGACACCAGGGATGTGCTGGAGAACCGGGTGGATTTTGTGCATGCCAAGAACGGGGGGCTAGTGGCCAGCACGGTCTTGCGGGAAGCGTCGACCTCCTGTTTGAAGTTCTTTGTGTCTGTAAGGGGGGCAGTAATGTGTGGTGTAAGATCATAGGCAGCGCATGACTTTAGGGAAGGGAGCATCGGCGGAGGGGTAATGTGCAGGATGTGGGTTGGCCTAAAGTTATCTGTATTTTCCATTTTCTTCGGTGAGTTTTCGACGTAGGATTTGAGCTTTTCTATGCAGTTGTAGAATCGCGTGGCCTGGCGGGGAGGAGCGGAATTTTCACCCTTCGAGAAAGTGGGGAGATTTTATATTCTCCGAAAATATCGCTGCTTTTCCTTGCTGCGTTTCGACTGCAGCCTTGCCGTGGAATCAAGGATGCTTCGCCTTGTGATCATTGTCCTGTGGTATGAAGATCTGGGGGCTTGGGATTATACGAGTTTTATGTTTGCTTTTTTTTCGCGCGCTCGAGATCTAAGCTTTCGCAACACCAATGAGCATGAAACATCTTTCCACACCTTAGCTAAGCCCCAAAAGACGTTCCTAGGGGGATCACTATCGGATTGTGCTCTACAGAAATTTCTGATAAGAAATAGCAGAGCCCAACGCCAGCGTGTTATTTCAGCTCGCCGGTTAAACCAGTCTAGCTTCCAATTAAGCCACGATTGATATCTCGGCTCTTGAATACGAGCTTTATGTTTTGCTTTTTTTCCCTATCCGGCGGGCCATTTGACGCCATAAACCATCACTCGGTACCTTGCGTGGTAAGCTGTCATACTAGGGATTAGTATACAAGACAGGATATACCCCTGCCGGTATAAAAGATACTTCGACAGTATGAGATGCACGGTAACAGTATAGATAATACAGTGGGAGTATGAAATATACTCCTTCAGTATGTGAAATACCCTGCGACAACACACACACCATATAAAATCCACAGGTTACAGCGCCACTCTATAAATGATCTTGGAACGTATTTGGTACGTTAATATTTTATTAGCACCCCGGAACTCACAGTCTCGCTCCCAGGACCACTTACGATAAGAACAGTAGCTTGCAGATGTGATTGGACTGGAAATATATCCATAGCCGGGGTCTAGCTGCTGGCTCAAAACAACCCCTACAAGATGAATGCCGTCACTAATCTCACAAGGCCTCAAGGGCATCCCTGCACTCTCGTATTTCTAGTATCTTTCGATCCGCGGCCGGCATAATCGAGTCTGATCGATATATCCCCACTCCCTGAATTTTCTTCAACGAAAAACCTCGAGTCGACGCCTCGACCACCTTTCAAGTTGAAAGACTTTAAGCTTTAAGCAACCGATATATATATACAAAAGGTCTACCGTCACCTTAACATCCATTAATCCATCCCCAGCTACAACGATTCCAAGGATTCCATTCATCCATAGGCTTCCCATATATATTGTCAGCCTCCTAGCGGTGACTCAGCAAGATCATTATTAAAAATTCTGTCTTTCCTTCTATACAGGTTTCACCTCTTACCTTTTATACAGTCCGCCTAAGCCTTCCGTTACCTCTTCTTCCATGACACTTCTTGAACTAAGTGTGCGACGCAGGCAACGGCTCCCAGCATAGACTCATGGATGAACATCTAATCGGAACATCTAGCCCCGACCGCGGCCCTACGTGGTGCGCCAGGTTAGAGATTCGAAGAGAGAGCCTCTATCTCTTGGCACGGGCTGCAGCAAGCGATTTCAGGTAACTATGATCATTGACACCCAACGCAATCTCCTACAAAATTTCCAAGACCGATATTTCGCTCAAGCCACTCTGGATACCCGGTGTTTAAAGTGTGCGTACACCTCCGTAATTGTAGTAGTGCTCTGACACCAGTAACGCCCCAACGGCAACAGCTCAACACCAACGCCTCCAAACACCACCATAACCAAAACCAACGACGCCTCAACCCAAACCGCAGTCAAAAAAATCAGAAAAAAGAGAGGATAGAGTTCAGTATCCAGGATTCCCACATGGTCACCCACTGCAGTACTAACTGGACGATATGCTGTTTGTGTATGGCAGAGCGGACGGGATGCCCAATTTTCAACATTCTATGACTGAACACGGCGGATTGAAGGGTTTGGGAGGATTTATATTACTGGTATTGGTATCACGGGCTGTGACTGTGGATGGGACAAAGAGCGGGATTACTGCGCGCGCTATGATTTCTACTAAAGCCAGGCAGGGACAGTCCCAGCGGGCCTTGGGCTCGTTTCACAACATCAAATGGGATACGGAAAACAGCATGAACGGTCATGGAAATGATTGCAACACCCGCTTTTTCTTACACCTAGTATACAAGGCCCACTCTCAACAGCTACAACACCCCCAAACCCCACCTCCACAAACCACAGCCCCCTAGCCCCCACTACCAAAACCCACTATCCAACGCCGCCGCAACCTGCTCCGCCACCACCTTATGTAACGCCGACGACGCTGTCACACCGTTAGCCCCCTTTCCTTTCCCCGCAGTCTTCGAAACACAGATCAAAGGGACATTAGGTCAACTCACGGTGAAACGTATCATACCACATGCACGTACTCGTCTGGCAGACGGTGGTCGCATCCACATACCCATACGCCGCCGGGTTCGAAATCACCTGGTTGAACGCCGGCTGGGTGTCAAACTGCCACACTGTCGTGCCCGTCTTGCCTGCCTTCCATGTCGCGGCGCGGGACACGAGCTGGCTGTTGTAGTCGGCGATCTGGACGACTTCGTTGGCGCGGACGGCGGCGCTGTAGACGAGCTGCGAGGGCGTCTTTTCGACCGCTACATATGGTGGGTCAGTGTTTATTTGAAGTATAAGCGAAAGGTGAGGGGGGTGGGTACGTGGAACACTCATAAACATAAACTTCCTAGCACCAACGTCATACAGCTGCTGCACGAGTTTAAAGATCTCATCCATAAGCTTCGCATGCAGCGCGGCCTGGTCCACGTCCAAAGCGTACGAGTTCCAAATATCGTTGATGCCAATCCAGAAGACAAAAACGGAGTCGTCACTACTCCACGGCCCACCGGTGCCGAGGTACTGCAAGAAGGTCGCGACCTGGGTGGTGAGCGGTGTGCCCCAGGACGAGACGATAGAGTTGTTGACGGCCGCGCCGCTGGAGGCAAAGTTGTAGCTGAGCGCGGTGGTGGGGTTGAACTCGGTCACGAGGTAGCCGACCCAGTTGGCGCCGCCGGAGGTGGTGGAGCCTGGGAAGGTGGGGTTACCCAGGGGGTTGGAGGCGCTGGGGGCGGTGCCGCCGACCCAAAAGCCAGTTGCGGAGTAGGAGTCGCCGCTGGGGGGGAGGGGGGGGGGGTTGTTAGTTACAGCTATCTGTTGATCGTAATTGAGAGAGTTGGGTGCCTACAAGCTGAAGATGTATTTTACACCGCCGGTAGCAGAAGAAGTGCTCGCGGTGGAGGTTGTGGTGGTTGATGTCTTCAGCGTAGTGGTGGACGTTGATGTTTTCAGAGTAGTGGCCGACGTCGTCGAGGCAGTACTAGTAGTACTGGTGATGCACTTGTCCACTGTCAATGATATTCCCACCACTCACGAGATATCAACCAGAGTTAGAGCTAGATATAGATGTCTCTCATACCTGGCTGTACCACTCGTTCTGCGCAACACAGGTCGAGCCACTGGCACACGTTGTAGCGCCAGTATATCCTACAGTCCCCCACCAGTCAATCAGCACATGCATCTCTCCCCGTAATTCACGAGCCCAATTAATTGCACTGCAATTGACTGAGGCTAACATGATGCAACCCACCAGAGCCACCACACTGTCCCCACAGCGCCACCGTCTGGCCCATCACCGCCGGCATCACCGCAAGCATCGCAATCGCTGGAAGAATCATTTTCGCCGTTCGATAAGTGTCCACTGATCTGGTTTCAATTGCACTCGAGAGTCGATCGCCAATTAATTATAACCCACCAACAAACAGCAAAGAGCGACCACTTATAAGCTCCGGATCCGCCCACAACATACCCTAATATCGGCTGTACGGAGCGGGGGGACCCCGGGTTACTACACGTACTCCAAAGACCCTTAACTATTGTTGTGGTAATATAATGAAATGAATTGAAGGGTATATATATATATTACATAGCTAGGCTATTCTGCGGTTGCAAGGGTTTAACGTAGCCCACGGGCCCTACTTCCGACGTCGCTCTCGGCAGAGTTTACGCAGGGCCCGAGACACAGCGGGACTACTAGCCGTGTGCACGATTGGGATAAAATCAATCAAAACTTTTTTCTTCACAACCAGCACAACTACATGTATGTAAGGCCCACTCCTAACAGCTATAAAAACACCCCCTCCGCAAGTCCCCAGCCCCTCCCACTACCAAAACCCACCATCCAATACCTCCGCAACCTGCTCCGCCACAACCCTATGCAACGCCGACGACGCTGCCACACCGTTAGCCCCCTCTCCCCTCCACGCAGGGATTTCAACTCACGATGATAGCTATCCCACCACATGCATGTACTCGCATGACACACGCTGGTCGCATCCGCATACCCATACGCCGTCGGGTCCGCAATGACCTGGTTAAACGGCACTGCAGTGTCAAACTGCCACACTGTCGTGCCTGTCGTGCCCGCCTTCCATGCCGCGGCGCGGGCCACGAGCTGGCTGTTGAAGTCGGCGATCTGGGCGGCCTCGTTGGCGCGGTCATCGGCGGTTTTGGTGAGTTGCTTGGGCGTCTTTTCGACCGCTGCAGACAGATCGATGGGGGTTAGTTTAGTGTTGCGTTTTAACAGAGTCGAGACAGGAAGGGGATGGGGGGAGGAGGGGCAAGCTGGGGGAGGTACGTGGAACACTCATAAACAGAAACCTCCGCGCGCCAACGGCATACAGCTGCTGCACGAGGTTAAAGATCGTATCCATGAGCTCCGAATGCAGCGCGACCTGGTCCACGTCCAGATAGTACGAGTTCCCGATATCGTTGATGCCGATCCAGAAGACAAACAGTGAGTCGTCACTACTCCACGGCCCACCGGTGCCGAGGTACTGCAAGAAGGTCGCGACCTGGGTGGTGAGCGGCGTGCCCGAGGACGAGACGACAGAGTTATTGGTGGCCGCGCCGCCGGACGCGAAATTGTAGTTGAGCGCGACGGTGCGGTTGAACTCGGTCACGAGGTAGCCAAGCCAGTTGATGCCGCCGGAGGAGGTGGAGCCTGGGAAGGTGGGGTTACCCATGGGGTTGGAGGCGCTGGGGGCGGTGCCGGTGATCGAGAAGCCGCTTTGGGAGTAGGAGTCGCCGCTGGGGTTGTTAGCTACAAGTATCTATTGATGGAAATTGAGAGAGTTAATTGGCCGGGTGCTTACAAGCTGAAGATGTATTTTACATCGCCGGTAGCAGAAGAAGTACTCGCGGTGGAGGTTGTGGTGGTTGATGTTTTCAGAGTGGTGGTCGTCGAGGCAGTCCCGGGGATGCACTTGTCCACTGTCAATGATATTCCCACCGCCCACGAGATAACAACCAGAGTTAAAGCTAGATGTCTCTCATACCTGGCTGTACCCTTCGTCCTGCGCATAACAGGTCGAACCACTGACACATGTTGTAGAGCCAGTATATCCTACCGTCCTCGCCCGTCAATCAGCACATGCATCTCTCCCCAATTAATTGCACCCAACTGATTGAAGCCAAGATGGCGCAACCCCACCAGAGCCACCGCACTGTCCCCACAGCGCCACCGTCTGCCCCATCACCGCCGGCACCACCGCAAGCATCGCAATCGCTGATAGGATCATTTCGATAAGTGTCCACTCTGATTTGAATTCAACTGCACTCGAGAGTCGATCGCCAATTAATTATAACCACCCACCCACCAACAAACAGCGAAGAGCCACCACTTATAATCTCCGGATCCGCCCACAACGATGATACCGGGAGCGGGGGAAGGATAGGAGAGAGACCGGAGGGTTACTATATGTATTCTAGAGACCCTGTCCTTGTTGTGGTAATATAATTACAATGAAGCGTATATTTCATACGATATTTCGAATTTGCCTATTCCTTTAAACCAGACATCGCAATGGGTGGCACCCAACCCGGGCATCGCCCGGGTAGCACCCGGCGGGTATCTGTTGGGTACGGCCTTTCCTTCAACGGGTCGGGCCAGGTGTGACCCATCTCTTGACCCGGGTATCCCCAGCTATTCCATGGGTGAGAAAAAGGCACTTTACAATTAAAAAAATTAATATATTTCAAATACAGTACCAAAAATGGGGTGTTTTCACTACCGCTAGAATGCTGCAAAAAATGCGGCTAACCAAATGCGGCCTTACTACCTCATTTCAGGGAATGCTGTATTTGCGACAAATGCTGTAAGAATACCAGAAAAGTGCTGGTGTCTGTCTGGACATATTGTATAGCAGTGTGACTGTAACGAGGCGAGTGTGACAGCAGGAGTTCCCGGCACAACACCACCATTGAATGAGCGTAATCGTTATTGATACAACCTACAACTATCAGCGAATCGATTGACTTCAACGTCTCCACAGGTAATCAAGCCTCCATCATGATAGTCTTCCGGTAGAAAAGAAACCCTCAAATGAAAAAGTATTTCCTTTAAAGCCCCATACTCGTATAATATTAATCCATACAACTATTGATGGATATAATTCTCATGATGTTGATGGTTATGTGGCTTCATCGAAAGAATACTGTAGCCAAATACCGTAGTACTAAGGCATTCACCAATAAATACGTATACTTGCACCCGCCACGGTATTTGACGGGTAGTGAGAACATCCCGATTTTTGGTACTGTATCTCCGAAATTACATGAAAGAAATAGTATATCCCCCATATCTGATGTCTGGCGGGCCCTACTTCCGGATCCGACGTTGCTCTCGGCAGAGTTTACGCAGGGCCCGAGACAGAACAGCGGGACTAGCTATAGCTATAAGCCGTGCGCACGATCGGGACAAATGATCAACAGCTTTAGTACTTAGATGTCGATCTCTGGATGTATGTATCAGACGTATACGGGGGCACATATCATATCAACTCCTGGCTGGGCAGCTCTCCTGCTGTGAGTGGCTGCGCCAGCTGTCAGGGCCAAGCCTCAGGCAGCCATGCCATGCTATATCCGGTAGAAACATGTATGTATAAATAGTAACCGTGCTATCTCCGATTCGACAGAATTTTAAAGAGAAAGGCGCAGCCGCCCATTCTATTGCACAATTGACGCGCTTAAATAGACTAGCGACCTCCCCTCCCCTCCTGGTACGTCTCTCCAGCACTTCTATCTCTACCCAGCCAGATCCAGATCTCCCCCCCCCCCCCCAAACCCTTTACCCCTTCCCCCCTTCCCCACAACCAACCCCCACAACCAACCCCCACAATGAGTAGCAGTAGCAGCACCCCCAACCACCCCCGCGAACACCCCACAACCCTCCGCAAGCTCCTCGCCTCTCCCACCCTCACCCGCCCCAAAGACTGGTGGCGCTCCCAATGTGTCCTCTACGAGCTGTCCGCGCCCGCCAAGGGCACCATCAAGACATACCGCGACGCCCTCGAAGCAGCCATGAAGCGGCCTGGCGGCCTCGACGGCGTGGTCCGCCCCGTGTTCAAGGAGCGCAAGGACCCGCTAAAGAGCGTGGTCGGCGCGAAGGTGTCCAAGACAAAGCCGAAGCCGAGATCAGGCGCCACGGGGAAGAAGGGCGCGGAGCCAAAGACGCCGCAGAGGGCGCCGGGGACGCCGAAGCCGAGGACGGTGCTGAAAACAACGAGGGTGACGAGGAGTATGAGGTTGGAGGTGACGGAGGAGGTAACGGTGGTGGAGAGTGCGATGGACTTTGAGATGGAGTATGAGACGGAGTATCGCGAGCAGTTCCGCAAGTTGAACACTGAGGGGAGGGTGGATGAGCACGTGAGGCGCCGGAGGGAGACGCTGTTCTACGGCGTGGATGAATCAGTCGAGTTTTGAGGTTTTGTAGGCCATAGGACGATTTACATATGTATCCCCTCCCCCTTTTCTTCTATTTTTATGTTTTATGACACTCCTTATGATTGTATTTACTTTGTAGAATGGATAAATGAATCAACTGCGGGCAGTAGAATCACAGACCGTCACTCAGGCCCAATTATTACATTTCTGGAATAGGCATGGCGCTGATCGACACTAGTGACAGCAGCCAATCGGAATTTGTGTGTGCCTGGCGCTAGTAATAATCATCTGCACGAGCTAGAACTATTGCTACTATTACTATCATGCCCTTAAGAGGCTCCTGGGACAGCTATATGTGTTGCTGTTATTCACATTCTGTCGCGGAGGTCGCCCGCTGTCGTTCCGGGCGATGTTCCTAATAGTTATGCCCTTGATCACAATTCCGGAGTGTCTTTGATTTTTAATCAATCGATTTTAATTATAATGCTGTTCGAATCCATGCAAAGACCAATCACCGCACTAGAAAACAGCTCTGCGAGGTAGCAAACAACCTATGGTCAAAGGGCCAATCAACGAAATCTATAATCAATCCTTCTGCCAATAACATAAAACCTATAACCTATAACCTAAAATCCAATGTCGTACCAAATCTCACCACTAACCAATCCGCCAATCATTCGACACACAACTCTCCGGATCTGCCAGTCTAGTTAGTACATCTCGAAATCCCTCATCCCCATCATCCTCTGTCTCCGGAACGCAACAAGACGAGCTCTGTCAGTGTTTCTCCACCTGTATCTCTCGTCCGCAGAATCTTCATCCAGTGCTTCTTCCTCGCCGACCAATTTAACGCTAGCTTTAGCGGTGGTGGGAGGTTTATCTCCTGTAACGGCTGACTCTCCGCCTTCCGAGCCGGATTTATCCTCATCCTCACCTGCTTCTTCCTCGTCACTTCCTTCTCCCACCTCGATATCGTTTTCTTCACCGCCATCCTCACCCACGGTTGCCCGATAATGAACCTCCTCCCCATCACTATCAATCCAGACGAATATCTCATCCCCATCCCCCCTTCCAAGTCCCACTCTCCACCTTCATCATCTGCTTCATAACCCTCACTATCACAATCGCTATCGCTATCTGCATCATCCCTCACAAAGATCGACACCCCGCCCTCCTCTTCATCCTCAGACTCTTCAGTATCGCTCTCGTACTCCTCGCTGCCACTGTCGGTATCAGCACCACGTTTCTGTGGAGAGCGAAGCTTGTCAAGTTGCCAAGAGCGGACACGCTCCACGAGGGTGTCGTATTCGGCTTCGCTGTCGTCAGTGGAGCTGACGTTGGTGATACGATTTTGCGGGCGGTGGGGGGTGCGCGGTGCTTCTTCATTGCTAGAGTAGTGGGAGCCGCTGGAGTAGTAGGAGCCGGTAGAGTTGGATGCACTCAAATAAGAATTGCTGGCTAGAGACGACATGGTGATTTTAGTTACTGTTGGTTGTATTGAGGATGCTGTGGATGTGGATGTAGATGCGAATGCGGATGCGGATGTTGTGAGAAGGGATAGTTCTGGAGGGTGGTTATGATTATATACTTGCGCGAAAGCGAAAGCGGTGTTGAAAACTATGCTGGCCAATATGGCAGCCTTGAAAGTTGACAAGGGAAGTTTCATGGTGTTGTTTTTGAAAAGTTGAAAGTGATGTGATTTTGAATATGATTTTTCTTGATGCATTTTAATAATAAGATATGAAATATGCGGATGAGTGCAAAGGAAGTTGCGAAGATGCCAGTAACGAGGATTCATGGTATGAATCTCGTAGGTTCGCGAAAACTCCCTGTACTGATGCTCTCTAGAAACGTTAGTTTTCGATACCAGCACCAATCCTAATTCTTTTTCTCCTCGTACTTATCAACTATAGCTACCTCCAAGTATATTCCAAGATACCTCCCTATTCCGGTATGGAAACCCAATCCCCAAAGCTATTAATCGTTGCAGAAATATGCTTCACCGCACCGCCTTTGAAACAGATTAATCTCTTTCAGATATAGAAGACGATAAGATGTTTCCCACACATACCATTATGTCCCGTCAAATCCTCTTGAATTCAGAGCAACGCAACTCATCCTCGAACCCACCCTTAACTTCAAAACGCACCCCCTCATAGCCGTCATGATCGGGGCCCATCCGCGCATCCTCCAGAATAGACCTCCCCATTGTCCACCCTCCACCATGCAAAATCCAGATCTCCACGCCTCCAATACCCAGTAAAGAATAGCCCGCATATTCCACACCATTCAAGATTCCCAGCCGTATAAAAGGCATCCCTCCCCACCCCCACCTTAACCTAACCACACAACACACACAATCATACAAACCAAACACTAAACTTATTATCCAAACCATGAGATACGGCTCTTTTAGGGCCGTTACTCTCTATAAACTCATGTATGCCTGGTACGCACTCCGGGAGATAACCTCAGGGATACATAAAAAGAGACCATCAAGAAAGCAGTAGAGGCAGGGTACGGGATATGTGGGGCGGCCGGGGGTGACAGGATGGTGCTTGGCTCTACAGAGAAAATCGCCTGGTGGTGAGAAATTAAATGCGGTTTGAGCGATAAAGGAGGGGATCGACTGCTTCTATCGGATGGATGAATACAGGGAGATGCAGGTCATGGCTCTATCACCGGGATACAAGAGATGGTTAATATCGACCTGACTTCAGGCCGAATCTTTTGCTATGATGGGGTGGAAGTATGGTGTTAGAAGTGAGCTGCCTAAGGACACCTTCCAGTACATGCTTGATGTACTTGATTGCCGACGATACTAATCATGCCAAGAATGACTAGGTATCCTAAGGATATAACTACACCTTATGACTCCCGTCTTTTGAAGAGCACGTTTTCCTTTCTTTTTTTGAATATTGCATTTCATTTGCTGAACTCTCTCGTAAGAGTAATATCATTATAGGACGACCTACTCACCGTCTTGAATAAAAGTAGGATTGCTATATGTCTACTCTCAACATAATCAGTGTTTTGGCGCTTATGTCGGATAATTAATCAGTACTTATACCTATCAAATTGAGCTTGATAAACTTACATATATCAATTGGTTCGAGATAATTTCACGCCGTTACTTGCACCAGGCCAGAGAGTAATCATCTCCGCTCGCCTAACTTCGATATTTGAGTATGATAGTCATTTCAGGCATGCAGCGCAGCTAGCTAGCAGTCAAACGAAAGTACGAGGAGATAGTCATATAAGTGAGTAGAGAGTGTGCCAAAGGCAGTAATTCCGATGCCTATCGATTGTCAGGCCAAAATGAAATGTTAGAAGCCTCTTTCTCGTTTGATCGATGATATGTGGGGACGCACATTGTGTGCGTTGGAACCAATCACCAACCACATGAAGTCATAGAGAGGGCCGTGTCATTGCTGCCCATGCTCCCAGACATCACGATTTCCGCGTTGCGTTACGTTACGGCCGTGCACATATTCTTATTTGGCCTTAAGGTCTCAAAGACACGGTTGGTTTTGGCATTGCAATTAGGACCGACGTCAAGAGCTTATTATTCGCGTCGACCCCATATCGATAAAGGCCCCCAATTTACATATCTAAACCCACAGAGTCCACCTATCCTACTGAAATCAAGGATTGATCTTCATATCTCATTATTCAGTCCTCTCTCCAGAAGGATGTTTAGTTTTACAGCTAATACCACACCCATTCCTCCTATTATCACGCTTCATGATCATGATCATCCTCCCGAACCTATGGACTTAGACACAGAACCCTCAATGAACGAGACACAAGCGATTGAAGGAGAAGGGGCTTCTCAAGCTCTCACGCTTTACACTCACCCAAACACAGAAGCCTCAATGAACGAGACACAAGTTATCGAAGATTCTCAAGCTCTCACGTTTTGCGCTAGCTGCTCAAAAATCAAAGCTTCAAAAACCCAGGGTACGCAAACTATAGAAGAATCCCCTCAAGCCCTGAAGACCTATGTGGATCCAAACACAGAAGGCTCTAAGGCCACTGGTATAAATGAAGTTATTCAGGTCCCTGCTACACCACCAACATCCCTACCTCGTTGGCGAGCAGTCTGGAAAGTTCCAGACTCAGGCAAAGCAACAACCCCACCTCGACGCGAGAATATCGACCAACACCCCAAGAAAGCGCGAAAGGTCACTTTTTGCGACCTACCGCCCGAGAAGGCCTCCAGCTTAGGTGCACCAAAAGGGCCCCTACGCCGCAAGAAAATTAAAACCCACCAGCAGACAAACGCAAACACACCAAAGATGCCCGCCCACTATCCTCGTGACACTACTGTGACTAGGGCATGGGGAAAGCTTGTCGCGATCACGAGTGGTTCTGATGCGCCCTGTCACGCTTACAACACAATGTACCTACTCGCAGCGTATACCTCCATAGGGCGGTCGCGATCTTGCACATATAGATTCAACTATGTGACAGTCTCCAGGGTACATGTTCGGATAATCTTGGCAGAACCGGATGATGCATGGCCTCTCGATAACATGGACCCGAAGAAATGGCGCGCACGGCCGTCCATGCGGGCTTGGATCAATGTTGAAGCCTGCAATGGCTGTTGGATCAATGGGGAGAGGAAGATCAAGGGCTATATAGGCAGAATTTACGAGGGAGATATTTTACAATTTTTCCAGCCTGAGGGGATCTTCAATTACACGTGCGACTTCGATATCGGTGACCACGAAAGACCGCGGGCTTCGATTGATGATTGCGCCAGGACAGTTGTTCTATATTCACCCGTCAACAGGAAGCGGAAACGAGAGCGAGAAGAGTAAGTAGGTGGGAGGTGGTGGGACTGCGGAAGCTGGTGGAAATAATATTAATATAGGTTCGACACACTTGTGTTGCCAGAATCAGCGGTATAGATGCTAACAGAACGCAACCAGGCATATAGGAGGTACCTTATCTGGAAATGTGTGTACCCGTGGAGCTGCACCGGGGATGGATTGCGGTTATTTCGGGCGTTGGAAGTCTCATAATATATATATCGTTAATTCTCACGTAGCACATGAAAACGACTTATTTATAGTCCATGCATATCATCACTCCACACTCAAATCCTGATGCCTGAAGCAATCATGGGAGGCCTTGACATCTTTAGTAGTTTCCGGCTCCCCGATTCCTCGAGAGTCTCTGGGTCGGAAATTTAAATACCGAGAATGCATAAACTCATGGCGCCTTAAGGAGAACAGTAGATAAACCATAATTATATACCACTGTACTACAGTAGAATCCCGATAGTAGCAACCTCGATAATAGCATATCCTCGATAGTAGCATATAGTTGGGCAATCCCAAACGAGGTCGGTACGGGCAAAGCTGTTCCCGATACAAGCATATCCCCGATAGTGGCACACGAAAATCCGTTCCCTACCATATGCTATTATCGAGACTCCACTGTACCAAGGTCCGGAAACTTGGATCTGCCACGTTCAGAGCAGACTCGTCACAGAAAGTGTAAGCCTAAGTGTAAAGATGGTAAAGGTTTCGTTGGAAATTAGTAATTAATCCTAGGACAGTTTCCGAACAACACTCCGAGTGATATATTATGATGCCACGGATGTGAGTCTGCTGTTAACTGCAAAAGCAAAAAGAGGGTCTTTAGTATCGTGATAGTATATTATTTCCGTAAAGTCAGCCCTATCACAAGATTCTTAGGATCCCCAAACTCGTTGAAAGTTTCACTCCATTCACCAAAATGCCGTGATAGTTCAGTGTTAAGCCAAATGCCAAGCTATTTGATTTCTGGGCAAGCCTCTTTCAGGACGTCCCTACTAAATCAGAATCACCCCGACGCCAAAGAGATTTCCGGAGTCAGCTCGGGACACCAGCATCCTCACTTTCACAAACATTCCTTTCTCTTTTTGGTCCATTACAATCTAATCACAGGGAGTCGTCTCCTAAATACTAGGGCACCAGTTAGAGGCAAGAATTACAGAGCACAGGCACGAAACATGTCAGCCTAGTGGGTACATCACCTCCCCAGGAAACCCGTTTCTCAAAAGAAAGGGGAAGCAAAAAAGATGAGTTCGGTACCCAGGATTCCCACATGGTCACCCACTGCAGTACTAACTAGGCGATATGTTGTTTATGGATGGCAGAGCGGACGGGATGCCCAGCTTTCAACATTCTATGACCGAACACATTGGGGCCAATGATTGTGGCTCCTTGTTTTTTACGACAGATCCAGAGACCATCACACATCGACACAGCAATGGCTGGTACTCACTCGAAACCTTTTAAAAACAGGCCGACACTTTAGTACCCCAAGCACCCTTTGTGGTCTGGCGCGAGACCGCCAGTGTTGGGTAGGGTTGTCTATGGTTATTTAGGTTTGTTGTTCAAATTTCTCATCCATGCTCGTCGGAATTGCCCGCCGACCGTACCCTCACCTTCACCGAGCAGGCCCTCCAAGTGAAACCGGAAACCAATACAGACTTCCTTCATCAGCTTTGTAACTTGCTCACCCTCGTACTAGTAGGTCTGCGCCCACCCAAGCCCGTTTATTTCCGTGAACGTTCGCCCGTTGAGGTAAGTACATACTTACTTAGTAGTGAATTCATTTCAAGTTGTTAACGTTCGTTCGTTGTTGTTCGTTCTAGGTTCCTTCAGCGGTACATTATCATGATGACGTGAATAACGATGTGATTATAAGGCTTGAAAGGCTTCGCTTTCTTTTCCATGATTCTTTTCCCAGAATTTTATCTCGACCACCTGTATGGGCTGGTATTAGGAAGACCGTGCAGCGGGAATAGGTACAAGTACTTTCTTGCGAAGAAATCTGAGTACTAGTATTATGTCTGCTTTTTGCGAGACAGATCATCCTCCTGGTAAAGTTTAATATCTGGCTTCGCCCTGCTGACTTCTCGATGTTTCCCACGTATGGGATCGCCAGTACGTTGTTCACAAGGGTTCATCCCACGCTCAGGGACAACCACTTAGTGGTCTTGGCAAACCGCATAATTTTCGCACCTTGCCTGACCACCAAACAACGCTCCAAACCACAGCAAATTTCGCGCGAAACATCTCGGGTTGAAAGTCGTCCAATACATGATACGGCCATATGGAGAGACAACTCGAAACAACACCTTTCGGCAAGGTACTGGCAAACTTAGTAATACTCCCTCCCCGGCCCGCCCGCACTGCTAGTATTAACAAATCGACAACGACGTGATCCTTGCACAACAGCAGCCCTGCTGGCGCAATGGTAGCGCGTCAGACTTCTATCTTGATATCTGAAGGTTGCGGGTTCGAGCCCCGCGTGGGGTTGTTTGCATACAATCTTTTATCCTGCCCAAGTACATAGCTTCCTACCTGCGATCCAGTCATTTCCGCCTCATGAGACGCACTGTGTATCATTGAGCGGGGTACGGATCATGTGGAGGGGCAGCCGGAAAGTAATCTTATAACAATTATGCTTATCTTACATTACTCAGAACCCTCTTCTTTTTGGGTGTCTCGACTGCCCTAAGTAATTAACAATTAAATTCCCCGGGTACGATTAAAGAGACAGCCGTCAATCATCCCACCAAAGCTGTTTGACCGCCGTTTCAACCTACGCCGCCACAATACCTCAGGTACCACCACCCACCACACCCACACCTACACACTACCTACTCACAGACATGCATGAAGATCCATCGATCAGGCACGAACGGATGTATGTGTGTGGTGCTGGGCAGGGTGCATAAGCATAACCCGTCACTCGGCCCGCCCTCTGCACTGTGCCACCGTGGTGCTCTCCTCTCCTCACGTACCTCTGTAACGATTGGAGGATTGCAGAGACGTCATCGCAGGGCGTGTGTATGCCATGAGATGCAGAGTTTCTTTTTGGGCTGCTATTAATAGTGACGATGGAGGGCAGGGAGGGTGGAGGATAGAGGGGGGGGGGGGGGGAGTATTAGTAACCGGGCCAACTAACAACTAACCAACAACATGGAGAGTTGCACTTTCAGAACTACATATATCGGGATATATATAGTAGCATCATATCAATACGTAGCACATACTACATACTACATGAAGATCTGGTGGCAGCCAGTAGTAGAGTCTGTACCTAGGGTAGATATGGTGGTGGAGCTACATAGAGACGAGAGTTAGACATGCTAGCTAGAGGTGTTTATCTGTGCTACACACCGGCGCCGGAGTGCCTGAACGTTCCTGTCGCGTGTCGCGTGTGGGAGCCATGAGGTATAAACATGCAAACACCTAGGCAGGTACACTCCCCACCTCTCGGTTATTTAAGGTGTGCGTGTGGGTGGGTGGGTGGGGCAATTGAATTGAAAGGGGGGGTCGCTCTAATACCTAGAGTATACTTGTAGGTATAAGATCCAACACTCTCACCGTTAACTGTTAAACAGGAAGGTGGTGCACGACGTTATTATATACAACGTCTGTCCGTTGTTGGTGATTAAAAACACTCATGAGCACAATATAAGTATATACGCAAGTGGAAGTGGAAAGGGAAAAAAATTCCTAATAAGATAAAAAAATCCGTAGAGCACATTTCAATTAAAAACACGCCCCTAAAAAGACCTAAATTGACGCCCCCGACCCCGGTCCCCAACTTGCTCCGCCCCCCACACCCAGGTTTATAGATACAGCCAGACAGCGGAACAAAGGTAAAATAAATACACGCAGAAAGACAGCTATGCCGAGAAAGCCAAAAAAATTGTTTTATACACAAAAAAGGTGGATTATATATATGGGGGAGGGGGTATACAATGGTATCGTAATATAATCATGCACAGTAAACGAGATAGAAACGGGAGAAAAAAAAGATATTACAATACAGAACTAGAGACACCACATAAGAAAAGAAAAGACGGGCCTCTCGCGCTGCGATAACCCAATTGCAACCATAGCCAGGAGAAAGAGAAAATAATTGATTGTAGCGAACGTCGTAGTATGGTGATGATGGTGGTGATGATGATGATAGTAGTGGTGAAAACATCTATAGCGTAGTCTATAAGGTCCGCGAGAGTAATAATACCGCAGTAACGAACGTCTCCGTCTCAGTCCCCGTCCCCGCATCCTCTACCATCCAAAGGTCTCCGAATGCAAATACACCTCCTCCCTCTCCTCACACGCCCAAATATCCGGCTGCATCTTCGCCACCGCATTCGCCACATCCACCTTCATCTGCTCGGGCCCACACACATAGATACATGTGCGCTTCCCAAACGTGCTACTCCACGGGCCCAACCCATCCTTCAATGGCGGCCTCCCAAACTCCAGCAGCACCTCGTCGCCCAGCGGCGGCAGCGCCGTCGGCGTCGTCGGCTCGTTCCCCGTGCTGACCCCCGAAAACCGCTGCGTGTTGATACTCATGCCCGACAGCCTCTGCCCCACGCTCGCGCGCCGCCCCATGCTCGACCGCTGCTGCAGGCGCGGGCTGGGTGGGAACTTGAAGATTGGGCTTGCGCCGCTGCCGTCGGTGGTGCTGCTCTCGGGCTCGGCGCTGCTCATCGTGTGCATCTCCTTCTCCATGCCGAAGCCCCAGCCGAACGGGCGCTCCTCAAAGTCGACTGAGTTAGCGGTCGGCGGGCGTAGCAGCGCTGGAGGGGGCTTGCGGAACGAGGGCGTGATGGGGGTGTTGGGCCATTCACGGGTGGCGGACACGGCGTGTTTGGGTAGTTCTACAGGAGTCTCCTCGGTGGCGTAGTACTGGCAGAGGAGCATATTGCGGGGGAGGGCGCGGGCGGCGGCGGAGATCTCGTCTTTGAACCATTCGAGTGATTCTGCATGTCGTTAGCTTATTACTTCACCAAGTCTCATTCGGCAGAATGTTAATCGTTGGCATGCATATTGGGTCAAACATACCAAAGTGCTTGACCGTCCACACAATCCTGATATCCCGCGTCAGTGCCTCCCCCTTCTTGATCTTCTGCACCAAGTGCTGCAGATGCGCCACAATCGGCGTAATCCCCGACCCGCCCGCAATCATCAGTACCGTCTCAAACGCCTCCAGCTTCCTCGACAGCCCTCCATACGGCCCGTCCAGGTAGGCCGTAAACGTCGCGTCCGGCATGCTCCTCGAGATGTTGAACGCCTTCCGCGTGAACCCCTGGTGCGGCTTGAACACCAGCACCAAATCATTATACCCGTCGCCGCCCGCCTCATCATCGCTCATCACGCTGGACACCGTGAACGGGTGGTTGTCGTAAAAGCTGATCCCGGGCATCCTCAAGAATATATGCTGCCCTGCCCTCCACTTCATCTTTGTCGGAATAGTCACCTTGACACCGTCGTTCGTGAGCGCCGTAAAGCGCGCAGTATCACCTCCAAACATCTTTCTTGTTATGAACCAGTTTGTACGCATCGTGAAGCGGAACAGCAGATGCGTGGCCCAGATACCCACCGTGGCATACAAAAAGTGCCACGACTGCAGCATATTCGCACAGTGCCAGAACAGCATCGCAATATACCCCACGCCGCAAAAGATATGCAGATGCACCCAGCCCTCGTAGCACCACTTACGGATGAACGGCAGACTCCCAAAACATAGAAAGAACACGCACAGCAGCGCGCCCACGCCGTTCCAGTAGACGATGTGGTTGCGGAACAGTGCCGCAAGCGTGCCCGGGCCGCCATTTCGCAGCGGCTCGATGATGAATGGCACGGCGTGCACAAGGCTGAAGAAGCCGAGGAAGTATCCTAGCCAGCGGTGCAGCACGTTCAGCTTCTCGTGCCCAATACCGGTGATTACACTGATGAGGTTGCTCTTCATGCCGAGCATGAGCACAAACGGGGTCATTGCCAGTGCAGTCATGCCGCCTCTCCCCGCGAGCGGTGGAGGCCCGAATCGGGGCTCACGCTCGTAGTACGGGTGCTGCGTAAACACATACAGACTCGGGTATGCGAAGCCCAGCATGATGAGGACGCCGAGCCCGAAGCTGGTGGTGCCGATGCGTTTCCAGGAGCTGCGGGTGTAGCCGAATGATCTCAGATGCAGCAAGAGGCGGTCGAATGTTGATCTCTCCTGCGAGAGGAGGTACTGCTCGTGGTGCCGGTCATTGGCGTGTGTGTACGACAGCCTCCGGCGGTCCAGCAGGATGTCGTGCAGGTTGAGCAGGCCAAACAGGACCAGCAGTGCCAGCGCAAAGTAGACGAAGGCCATGGCATGCTGTCCCGCGGATGTCCATGGCAGGGCTTTCCGTCGCTGGTAGAATATCACCTCGAGGTCCGAGTTGTTGTATAGGTTTGGGTTGAGGACATCGCCGGGTCGGAGGGGTAATGACATCTTTGTGGTTTTTTTTCTTTCTGTTCTATTATTGTGATCCGGCAGGCTACACGGGGCCCTTAGGACGACTGCAGTGCCCGGCTCGACAAGATGAGCTGGACGATTGGGTGTTATGGGGTGCTGGAGAGTGGTGTTTCCTTGTTGGGTAGTTGCTGCTCTCAGAGCATATCCAGTCCTTCACATGTATCTCTTTCTCCGTTAACGTTATGTACGTACTTCTTCCAGGCCAGTTGGAGAGTGGTCTTTTTCTGTATCACGGGCGACGGGGGCATGCCGGCTCTACTTATTCATATTACTCCTGGCCCGTGAGTGCCTGCAGATTCTTTCCCAGTGTGTCTGTGGCAGTGGCAGTGGTGTGGGTGTGGGAGTGTGTGTGTGCCTCCTCCTACTCGATCCCACCCAGACAGTCTTTCCCTCCTCCACCTCATCCTAATCCTCCACCTCCCCCCCCCTCCACCCCCCTGCCAGGAAGCATCCCCTCCCAAGCGAGAAGCTTGACGGGGGGAAGCGAATATTAGGACCTCCTGCCCCTGCGTTCCCACGCCTCTAACCCCAAGCAGCTCCCACCAACTTCGGGGCCCAGCCAATGACCAGCCCGCAGCCCACTTTGCACACACACGACAAAAGCGGATTGCGGCCATTCCGGAAATGACCATTTTTTTTTATTTTATTTCGCAAGCTTGGGCCATCAATTCCATCGCGAAGACGCAACGATTGGAACAGCGGCAACGAGGGACCTTCCCAGACCCTGCTCGTGCAGCGCGGTGGTCGTGCATGGGTTGGGTCCGTCCCTCTACCTACTCTACCCTCTAAGCGCCCGGTTCGGATGGCCAGTCGAGACCCTGGCACAGCTGTTTTGCAACACCATTGGTAACCACACATACTCTCTACTCTACCTTCCTACTTACTTACTACGGTGGAGTATGTACCCTACGGACAGACAGGCAGGCAGGCAGGCAGGCAGACTCGCACGGAACGCAGCAGCAGCAGCAGTTCATCCCCCACAAAAAAATATCAGACGAAAATTCAATAGAAGCCCGTGATCTCAGCAGTCTGCGCTCGAAGCGCTGGTGGCCATGCCCACCTACATACATAACCTGGACCATGGAATAGAACCGATGGAAGCTTCGGTAGAATAGAGTAGCAGGCCCAGTGTGTCCTACGTTACGTAGGGCAGCAAGCGCTTGACTGTCAAGTTTTTTTTGTGACATCGGATGAAAAAAAATAATAATGAAACCCAACGTATAATAGCCATTATGATGATGATGATGATGGTGGTGATAATCTGCATAACGTGATTTTCGATATGAAGATAACGCCGGGGAGGATTTAAATTCTCCTTGACACTCACACACACCCGACGGGCATGATCAGTGATCTATCTATGTATCTAGCTTGGGTAGGTAAGCGATCACACATCATGATAGCACGGAGCTGCTGCTGCATGTAAATCATTGCTCGAGCACGGGAATCGAATCGGGTGCTCATCAGGGGCACTAATATCTGTCCGTCCGTCCGTTCGTATGTAGAGCACTCTACTCTAGCATCAGTATTGCGCGAGCTGGTCTCGCTCGGACGGATCATCCCGTGAGTACAGCTCCCTAGGCGCAGCTCCAAAAAAGCCCAACTCAACTCCCGGCGGGCTCGCAAAAGAAAAGAAGCTAGCTGGAGCAGCTAGCTAGAGTACCTAGGAGAATGTGCAATTCCTCTTGACGCCCTACCTGCTCTGCCAACTCTAGATCAGTATTCCGCATGTAACTAGAGGAAAGCACACAGGAATGACAGGTAACCCTTCAAGCCGTTGTATGACGCCCCATTTTCAATTCTTCACAAGCAGCTGCCGGGTACTGTTGCTCTTTTCTTTTTTCCTGCCCTCGCCGGAGGGAAAAAAAGTGTGATGTGGGTTGAGTTAGTTTCCCCTCATCACCAACCAACCAAACAGCACCAACCGGGGGTGGGCCAACCAACAGTGGTCTCACCTCGGTGTCGTCGGCCCTGCTGCAAGCGAGGCGGAGAGAGGAGAGAGGGCGAGATAGAGCAGATAGACTCGCAGTGAGAGAGGGAGAGAGGCATGTGCAGGATCGGATCTATCTGACTGTGGTCTTTTCTGTTTCGTCCGGGTGAGAGGGGGGGGACAAAGTGCTGAACGTGGTCGTCGTTGTGCAAGTACTAGCTAGTAGCAGGTATGGTGACTATTTCGATGTCGAGATGTCTCAAGTGTATACTCTGCGCTGAGTACGTAACATACTTATGTCTATCGGTACTGTTCTCTACCTCCACCTGCCGTATGTCTCGACCCGCGCGCGATGGTCTACATTCTTTTCTACACTTCTTTTCTCATAAACCCACATACATGTAAGTAAGTAGGTATATGTATGTAGTCGTCGATATAGATACACGCCCGCCGTATTATGGTCACGATACCTACCCCAAAACCCCAATCCCATCAAAAAGCCCCATTCATCCAGCAACATAACGCCTTACGCCTCGCACCCCGCCTCCCAGGTTCACCCCCCCTCTCCCAAGTCCCAGTCCCTCATTCTCTGCACAGCTGCACAAACAATTTATCCACCCCCGGGTCCTCTCCAAAAAAAAAAAAAAACGTACATACCTACTCTAGAGCAAGTAACGTGAGCACTTGTCGCGCCCATGGTTGGTTCGGTAACGACCGACGTACATGTGGATGCAGCAAGGAGAATGCAAGAGGGCAAGCAGGCATCGATCGGCCACTGTGCATACACGGCCGTAAGTGGAAGGCCAGAGTGGATGGGCTCGGGTCGAGTCTGTGGTTTGCGGCGGTCCCGGGAATGTGGTCTGGCCGGGTGGGATACGAGGGGAGGGAGGATTCGTGAGAGTGTCCGAGGTGGAACTTGACTTGGAGCTGGAATTCAGTTCTGCTGTCAGTCAGTGTCAGTGTCAATACCGTATTATCTCCAGCCTGGTGTCCAATAACGGTACTTACAGCAGTTCAGATCATCGTCAACTCCGAGTAAGTACAGGGCAAAGTAATCATCTCACTACACACAGTACTCTACCCAACTAAACCCTTGATTCCCCTCCCCCCCCCCCCCCCCCCCCCCCCCCCAATCCCAGCACCCAAGAACTCATCCCCGACCACGCATTCACCCATCCCCATTCACCCCATCCATCCTTCCTCTCAGCTCGGAACCCAAACCGGATCTCCGCCCGGCCGCATCTCCGCTAGACTCGCAGAGTTAGAGTAATATCATTGAATTAATTACACTTCCCAATCAATCGAGATTATCACATCGCGAATGACAATAAACAAGCAACACTCGACGCCGATCACTGTCCTTAACCCTAGAGTATTCCATCTATTGATTGTAATCATCAAAAATAGGGGTTTGTCTCTCTATAAGCGAATAGTAAGCTCTCCTCCAGCTGTGTAAATACTTACTAATAGATAGCCCCATATTCCCAGATCTGAATAACCACCATCCCAAACACTCCAGTTCTATACCCAATATCACCAAATGTCCGTCCCCTTCCAAGCCCTCCACAACTTCCGCGACGTCGGCACATCCATCAACAGCCATGACAGGAAACGGTATTATTATTCCCCTCCCACCCACACACACACACACACCCCGCGGGAAACAAACCCTAACCCTGCCCGCGTGCATGCAGAATCATGAAACCACACATGCTCTACCGCTCTGCCCGCCCTGGTACGTGCCCCCCCTTCCCTCTCCCCCTCCCGTTCCCGCCGCAGCACTAAAACACACACACACACACACAGACGACGCAACCGCGGTCGATCGCGAGCGATTGATGAACGAGTATGGCATCCGCACCGTCATAGACCTGCGCACAAAGTATGTTCCCATACATGTCTGTGACCATACATATCTATGAGAGCTAGATACTGATATAGACACCTATAAGCTCGGAGCATATCAAGCAGGCGCGGCAGCGCGCAACACCCGTGGTGCCGCTGGAGGGCGCGCAGACGGTGCGGATTAATTTCATTGGCAGGCGGTTTGAGGTTGCGTTGTTGAAGCGGCTGGGGTGGTGGGATTTGGTGTATGTTGGCCCCCTCGAATTTCGCTTTCTCTCTGTGTGTGTGGGTGTGGTGGTGGTGGTGGTGGGGTATCACAGCATGCCTATATTAGATATTGGAATTCTATTATACATATGCACACACATCCATCCATATCAAACAATGATATAGCGAGCGCTAACACCGAGTATCTAGCTGCTTCCTCGTCCTCTTTATCCTCCGATTCCGCCTTACCGCCATCTCCCTCCTCGGGCGCAAGGTCCTGCGCCCCCGCGGCCTCCCTGGCCTCTGCCACGACTCGCTCCTCCACTGCCAGTCCGAGATCCGCGAAGTACCCTCCCCTCCCCTCCCCTCCCACCCTGCTTCCAAACTCACTATAGCTAACACCACACTCTATAGACACTGACAATCCTCAGCGACCCGTCCTCCTACCCCGTCCTCATGCACTGCACGCAGGGCAAAGACCGCACGGGTCTCATCGCAATGCTGGTCCTCCTGCTGCTCGACGCGTCGGTGCCCGCTGTGCAGCGGGAGTACGAGGAGTCGTGGGAGGGACTGGAGGGCGTGCGGGAGAGCATGGTGAGGGAGATGTTGGAGGTGGGGCTGGGGAGCGAGTTTGCGGGGACGCCGGAGGGGCTAGTGGGGGAGGTGGAGGCGCTGTTGAAGGAGGGGTGGGGGGGCGTGGAGGGATATTTGGAGAGCGTGGGGGTGGATGTGGTGGGGTTGAGAGGGGTGTTGGCGGGGTAGAGTGGTGGAGGGGGTGGGGAGAGGACGGAGAAAAAGGGGGTGGGGATATAGAAGTGGTTATATTGCTATATTCTCCGTCTACGTAGTATGCACACGTACATCATACATTAACTCAACTCCAAAGAGTCCCTTCCGCCTTGCAGATCATAAGGATATACCACACATCGAACCCTGATCATCGGCGAATATAATAGTAGTCTTATAGTAACAGATTCCAATTAATCGCAAACGGATGTTAGGCCAGCACTGTAGGATTACAATTAATGGATAAGAGTGGAACATACACATATGACCAAGGCCTTCCGACCCCAGGTAAAAAAGAAGCGGGAGAGTGCGCAAGGCTGCGGAAACGGATGTGTTTACGAGTGTTACACTGGAGTTAGTGCAGGTGACTGCAGAAACGGATGTGCAATTTTCAGTATTTATGTACATTCTCCTTGGTGCCTGGTGTGGGAGATTGTACTAGACTTTTACATTATCTCTACTGAGAAACGGTATAAAATGTGAACCAGTACAGTAAAGGTGCGGTGCGGTGCGGTGCGGTCACCAAGCGCCGATACCCAAGCTTTGCGGGGAGAGATTGCAATTGGGGGTGGGAAGAGTGATTACTAGTGCAAGCTAAGGAAGATGTGTACAAGTATCATGCACCATCGGGATTTATCTCTTGTCTACTAGTGTAACGTGTTACAGTGCAAATTGCAAAGACAGTGCGGGCATGGACACACTAAGGCCCAGACTTTGAGGAGAGAATTCTGGATCCTACAACTACATGTAATATAGATTACACCACAAAAAACAGACTCAAAAAACAGTCTCAAATCAGTTAGTACTTGTAGCCACTCTCTATTCTAAATAGATCTTAGATTGCGCCATAGACCCAACTACGCCATCAATGTGAGTGAGTACAATCGGGCTTGCATATTTTCCGACCTCAATTGGCGCCCCACAAAGCCATATCATTTCCACCACCACAGCGAGCTAGCCCCTGGACACAAACAAGCCTTGCAATTAATTGTCCAAGAGCTAGATTAGTACGTAGGCGAGGTACAAGCAGCTGGGGTACAGCTAGTAGTAGAGCGCTTATTTCTCGCTTAGCGCAGACTGTGGGGGATTGAGGTTGGTGGGATGTTGGTACGTGGATGAAAGCCCCGAAAGGGGGACATGTCTTAGATTCGATAAGAAGGGAGCTGGGTTAGTATCAATAATCAAGTGTGTTAATTCGGCTTCCTGTTTGAGCATAAGCCAGCTGCAGTCCTACGTTATGGTTTGGTGCATTGTGATGTTCGTTTTCGTAAGGATTGGTAATAGTACAAGTATTGCAGTCTGTCATCCAACGTGGTATGATTGATGGCCACTAGCTACTTCATCGGTTGGTTCGTTAGCTGTCTTTTGACCGCAATCGGGATGCACGGCATCGAGTGATAATCTATGACTATATCACCTGATACACCTGCTTTTTTTTGTTTTGTTTAATTCATTAATTACCTGATACACCTGCCGATAACATGCTCATCCCCAGTCCTGCCTGCACTTCGCTAAAACCCAGTTATTGCGATCGACAGCCATAAGCTTTTGCGAATATCGTCAAGGTGTTCTGAAGAATTTTCATGCCGGACCTTCCGAGAGCTGGGGTAGGGAGTGCTGGTGATTACTTCGTGTGTTGGGCCATATATGGAGGTGCGATACGACGGGTATGTATCGGCAGATTAGAGTAGATATTACCGATGTTGTGTACTGGAGCTCAATGGCCAATCAAGTAGTTCCGAAGCAGAGCTTCGCCGTATGTTCTGGTCTATCAGCCAATGATTAACCGGATATGGGGTGTGAATCGACGTTGAAGACTTCTTTTTCGAGTTACATGAGTTGCGTTTAGGCTTGAAGTATACACCCATACCGATATCGATGACGTCTCTACCACACTTGTTGTGTACCTACTCCCCAATATCTGAATGATATGACCTCACCAGATGCTATGATTGTGTTGCGAGAAACGCGAATTGTGAGCTGACCTTATATTGAAGAATTCTTATCCAATTTGTATCCTTAAAACCAGGCACGTTGTAACAGGCTGTCTAGTTTATCGACTTAGCTGATATGTGATGGTACCAGTGCTTGCATATATGGGGAACGTGCCCTCCTGTTATATATCAGGGGTCTGATATGGGGACATAATGACTCCATTCTACAGATTTGGCAGTGGGACGTTTTCGCGCGTGCGGGAGGAGGTTGGCGGGGACGGGAATCACCTTAAAGGCGTTAAAGGCGAATGTATGACCAGAATTAATGAGCTTAAATCCGGAGGGAGATGTCAGAATATTGGTGTTTATTTATCGGGCCTTAATAAATTGCCTGAAGTCATTTTTATATGGAATGACGTTATCAAGACCGGCCCTTAGTACTAGTGCGTGTCGGGACGGCGTCTTCACGACGATGGATCCATGGAGTCCTTGAAAAATGATTTTAGGATCGTTCGATAAGAGAGAGGCCTTTGGAGCAATCCAAACACCTCTTATAATTACTGAGCAAAGAGTACAATATACCGCCGGACTCTTGCCTGTCGTTGCCAACTACCCCCAGCCGGGTGCAACATGCCCCCATGAAAACCCTTACCCTGTGTTTTCCAATGACGTCTACCAGGCTCGAATGTAGTACGGCAGTCGTAAATAATTGATTCTACCATTTACTACATAGTAGCTGCTTCTTGCGCAATTGCGCCAGGAGCAGACGAACCGACTCGAAGAGTTTGCAAGTAGCTGACTTATGGCCATGTTTTTTGCTATGATTGCTGCATTTGTTTCACTTTTGATAACCTTCGTTGCCGCCAACACCCGAACAGTATATTTGCCCTAATGATATAATGAGAACTACGACCTTAAAGAGATCTGGGAGGTTTAGCGACGCTACTGTGTGGATTTATCTGTGGGGAGAGCTAGAGGCGTTGTACTTTTATGAGGGTATTAATTTCGCACCTAGAGAGTACTTGTACATAACAGCGACATGTCGGCAGGCTGTAAGGGTTCGGGGGTAGATTACAACTTTGCTCTTTCTTATTATGATAAACAGGAAAATCGATAGTCAAATGGGACAGGCTGCTCATATCATGGGGCCGTTATAATTGAGTATTAAACTCGTCCCAAACTCGCATGGCGGTTCGTCGGGCGTTTCCTAGCGGGTAATCTGCACAACAACTGAATTGATCAAGGCAGGCGTCGTGTATCTAATTAAAGGCGTTGGAAGTGAAAACCTTTGATAATATTGCTCGATCGGAAAATGAACTAGTGGAGACTGTCAAATGAGAGTTGTGGAAAAGGTGACCCAACTACGCATGTGTTTCTTTAAATAGAATATCCGACGTAAACGTTGCGGTGATCCCGACATCCATGAGATGCGGGAGGGAGTAAAAGTAAAGGGGCGAATGATCATGAAACATCACTCGGTATCCAGTTCCAAGCTGAAGAAGTTTTTCAGCAGAATACCAAGACTTTTTTCTTGATTATTATTAAAAATATAGAGCTATATATTTACCCAAAATAACTGCCAAGAAAACGTTCTACGCTATCACTTTACAAGTAACCACGGAAGAGGTTCTTGGTAGATATACTAGTAACCCGAGGCAAATTATACACTCGCCCAAAAGCGCAAAACCAATAATTATTAAGCCAGTGGTGTCGAGTGATAGAATATGACGCACTTGGTGTCCAGTGCATCTTCAATCATCCATGCCCACGCCGCAGAACCCCCTGCCCTGACCTCATGTCCTGGGACCTCGACTGGGACACAGGTGACTGAGTTTTACATGTATAAATTACTCTTAATCAAGTTCCCTAATTGCCCACAGTCCAAACTATGACAAACAACTGACATTCTAAACACCCTCGTCGCCAGCAGTACCAGCCATTCAATGACTATTTGATAAAATAAAGTTGCCGGGTACATATGTATGTAAGTATTGATCAGACTAAAATGATTAGCCTGAGGACTTATGACGTTGGCAATAAAATGCTGGTTTCAACTTAACAGGATAAGATCAAGAAATGGTACCGAATGGTTATTATCCTAGACTCCATACTGAGTGTTTTCTGATCATGTACATGTACTTCCCTGCAATATTGTTTTGATTACAACCTTAGTATGACTTTTCTCAGCAGTAATCCATGCTTTCGGTGGTTTATATCCCAATGCAGTTGTCCAACCTGTTTAGGAATGATCTCAGTCATGTAATATCACTCGATGGCCTCAGAAAACCGTGTCGTCGAGTACAGGGCAAGTCTTTTCCGAATCCTTCATCCTACATACTTCTTACTCGTACTCTTTGATACCAGATAGGCCCCTAGAAAGTTGTTTCACCGCGCTACATAGCCTCTCATAATCTCATTATCCGTCAAGTAAGGTTTATAGAAAGCTACAATAAGTAGCCTTTTTTTGTAACAATTATTTACAAGCTATGTATTTTCTAGATGACGCTACCGGTTTTCAGTCTCGTCGTGCGCATCTATTACACTCGTTCTTCATTTTCGTTACTACCTGCAGTTTAAGTATTGCTAAGATAGCATTAAACATAGTAAATACTTAGTCCAGTCCGCCCCCGATGAACTTTACCCAATACTTATCTTACCCACTACCTTAAGTAAAAGATTGCTGCTGCTCACCAAGGCTTTGGCAGACGCTCGTTGAGGGCCGGGCCCGCTGGGAGGGTACAGGCCGACTGGCCTAGGGGAGAACTAGACCGTTTCCAGCATTTTGTGTGTCTTGGCAGATTTCTAAGACGAAAACCTAATTTGTGTCGGGAAACAAGACTTCACGATCACTCGTCTTGGGGAGAACACTAAGAGTGCAATCTTAACTGGTATTTTGTAACAACCTCCAACACTACAACCGCCAAAACTAACGCTCCACAACCAAAATCGGGGCCAGAAAATCCACAAAAAAAAATAATCGAGTTCAGTATCCAGGATTCCCACATGGTCACCCACTGCAGTACTAACTGGACGATATGTTGCTTGTGTAGTATGGTAGAGTAGACGGGATGCCCAATTTTCAACATTCTATGACTGAACACATTGGAGGAAGCGGATAATGCAATATATTTTGAGTTATTAGCTGAAATTATCATCATTGGGGTGGACATTCACCCCGGAGATTTACAGTTGAATACAGGATGATATCTTCGTAGTTATACCGGTGATATAGTGTCAGTAATACTTACTTATGTACATACTCAAATTATTATTCTCTACGATACTAAGATACAAGACTGTGAGACGAGACTAAGGCCCAGTTCTGTCTTGCCCGTCTCGATGAAAGCTTTATAAAAGCGAGTCAAGACGACCCAAGGCCTCTTCAAAAACATTTTCAAATATTACCTGTTCCTCCTCTAAATATTTGCTCAAATGATATCTAGTAGACATCCCGTTGTGTCCGTCACACTCGTCGTGTCCGTCGTGTCCGTCGTAAGACCTGATATTCCTAAATTAGACTGTAGATTTCTCTCTTAGAGCACCATATATTCACCAGCTGAGTATAGAACCTAATATAGTTGGACGAGCTAGGAATGGAGGAAGACGAGCTTCGAATGAACAACCAGGGTCCAGAGACTCCTTTTTCCGAACGGTCGAGCAGCTATGTTCGATTGAAATAGTAGTTGTATGGGAAGACTACCTATTATGCGGTAAAAGATTTTCTGATTTTGGTAGTTACTAATATGCCTGTAGTTGGTGCGTTGGAGCGTTCCAGAAGATACGCCTATCGTGACTATCTATACGATAAGCAATGTATATTAGAGTAATAAGATCATCGGAACACTTTAGGATGCACTATCTTGAGTTTACAACTCGTTATACTCTAGGTCAAACGGTTCCAATATTGAAATGACACTTTAATTTTGATAGACGTAAATCCAAAAGATATATTCACAGCCCATCACTCGGCCAGAAAGCAACTATGAACATTTCCAGTAAAGGGTAATTTCATCACTGAGATCTTTTCAGGACATCCACAATTAGAATCCCAGTCTTTGCGCCTTTCAGACTAACCTGACCATCCTGATAGTCCACCTCCACCGTCGACTTAATCTCTCCCTGTTTCTTCCAGTCCGGAATATTGACCTTGATCGTCTTCCCCGGCAGTGGATTCACCATTAAACTAGCGCCATCCTCCCAGTCATACTCCGCGATATCCACCCGATTTCCCATCAATACCGCCGATCCGGGTCTGAGCAGCACTGGCATCGAGAAGAAATCATGTTTCTCTTTGAAATACCCGGGCCCCTCCCGAATCTTGTGGTCTAGTAGCCCGTACCACTTCCCTTTTGGTACGTAGAACTCTACGTCCCCTTCGTCATTGAAAACAGGTGCAACAAGGACGTTATCACCGAGCATATACTGCGTGTCGAGGTGCCAAGTGATTGGATCCTCGGGAAACTCGGCGAACATGGGCCGCATCATGGGGTGACCGTGGGTGTGGGCCTTGATTGCTGCTTCGTAGAGGTACGGCATGATACTGAGTTTGAAGTTGACCCAGTGCCTGAGCACCCTGTCAGCCTGACCAGACTCATCAAGTAGCCATGGTGCCTATATATTTCTGTCAGTCATCCTTACTATAATCGTACCCGTTTTAAACCTACCCTGAAACTCCCACTCCCATGAAGTCTACTATGACTGCTCATACACCCGAACGCTATCCAGCGTTTAAACAGGCCCGGGTCCGGCTTCCCCTCGAACCCACCAATATCGTGAGCCCAATATCCAAACCCACACAAACCAAGACTCAAACCCCCTCTTAGCGTCTCTGCCATTGCTTCATACGTACTCATCGGGTCACCTCCCCAGTGGACAGGGAAACGCTGGCCTCCTGCTGTTGCAGAACGCGCAAATAGTGCCGCGTTATTAGGGCCGAGCTTTTTCTCCAGGATCTCGAATGTTGTTTTGTTATAGAGCTGTGTGTAGTAATTGTGCATGAGTTCTGGGTCTGAGCCATCATGGTAGACGACGTTTCCGGTGGGGATGCGCTCGCCAAAGTCGGTCTAGAATGTCAATGATTGTTTTGTCATGAAAATAAGTAAGGGACTGACTTTGAAGACGTCAACACCAAGGTCAACCAGATCGGCGAGCTTGCTTTGGTACCATTTACAGGCAGCTGGGTTGGTGAAATCTACGAATGCCATTCCCGCTTGCTACTGAGCATTAGTAATAATCATAAGAGTGGATGGGGAATATTTACCCAGGCATCGTATTGCCAGACGCCTCCATCAGGTCTCTTTACAAAGTAGCCTCCCTCAACTCCTTCATCAAAGATTTTACTTTCTTGTGCGATATAAGAGTTTATCCATACGCAAATCTGCAATTCAGGTCAATACTATACTCGGGGTCATACTGCTTTTAAAAAGCTTTCTCTAGGGAGTAAGGGAAGTGGAAGTACCTTTATCCCCCTATCTTTCAAACTCTTCAATTGTTTCTTTGCATCCGGAAAATACAACGGATCAAACTCGAAGTCGCACCAGTGGAACCCTCTCATCCAGAAGCAATCATAATGGAACACTCCTACGGGGATCTCTCTCTTTTTCATACCCGCCAAAAAACTATCGACGGTGGCTTCATCATAGTTAGTCGTAAAGCTCGTACTCAACCATAGTCCAAAGGTCCATGCAGGCACCAAGGCAGGACGCCCGGTGAGGAGTGTATATTTTGACAGGATATCTTTAGGTGTTGGGCCGTAGATGAGATACATTGAGAGGGCTTCCCCGGGGACACTGATGTTGACGCGAGTGGTGCGCTCGGATTGTACCTCATAGGAGACGAAGGCGGAGGTAGGAATAAAAATTCCGTAACCGGCGGAGGAGAGGTAGAATGGGATGTTTTTGTAGGCAAGCTCTGACGAGGTGCCACCATCTTCGTGCCACAACTCCACAGTCTGGGGGGCATGAATATATTAGTATATAGATACTTTGCTAATCTCTCGATCAATTGTTCTTATAAATTATTGCAACTGAGCATATATATCCATGGAACACTTGAACATACCTGTCCATTCTTGATAAATGGTCCAAATCTCTCCCCTAGCCCATATATCTTCTCTCCGACACCAAGCTGCAACTGATACGTGAACCACCTCTCCCCCTTATCTGGATCCACAAGTTCGGTATTGGGATGAGCATCCGTTCCTTTCTGGACGTACCCAACGCTGCGCCAACCAAGCTTTGTCAATAGCTTATTTCCTGCCTTGAAGTCGACATTGAAGGATTTAGGACGGATATTGATACTTGTCGTAAGCTCTCCCGTAGTTAATGTTAGTAAATCGTCCGTTTTGGCGGTAGTAACGGGATTAACACGCTCCGGAAGGCCATCGGGGTAGAGTTCGAAACGAGGTCCAATTGCGGTGCTGCGCTGGGCTTTCCAATGGTAGGAGGAGAGTAAGAGGATATCGTCGGAAGGTGAGGAGGCTGTAATGGTCAAGGTTGGGTTATTAAGAGTGTCGCCGCGGTGGTTTATTGCTCGTGAAGACTAATATCGGTCTATTAGCGCAATGTACCTCATCTCTATTGGAAAACATTATTGATAGATCATCCAGTCAGGCGATCCCCCTTAGAGTGAAAACAAAAGAGGAATTCCTAAACTGGTGGATCCATCATACAAATTCCAACTTGTAAGGCCGAGACATACCGCTACAGTGCGAATCGACTCAGGGAGTGCTTCTGCCTTGACAGATTCAGTAGCCCAGCGGATTATAGTGTCAGGTGTGGCATGCCACATCCCCTTGGAGAATTTGACCATGATGGGAGAAAATACAAGAGCTGGTGGAGGTTTTGGGGTTCGCTGGTCGAATTGAAGGTTGAGTGCAGTAGCCAGTTATATATCCCGTTAAAGTGGCTGAAACTGTTTGAACATTTGTTTCCTTTTGGCAAGCGGTTTCAACGATGATTATATGATCGGATGCTCATCGTGAGGGGTTCTTCTCGATGGCTTGATTGACAGTTGAAAAAGCAAATGCGATAAGCTTCGGGGAAGCGGGAATACCCTACATGCTAGCGTATCTTTCTGCAAAAGGAATTAGGAGCTCAATCGCGGGGTTTACGAATGGCAATCAACGCCCTGTGTCTGCTCAATCGAATCAAGTCATGATACATTCCATCATCATACAGAATTATCCAAATAGGTTAAAAGGGTAAATGAGAACTCACGGCTCTCGCTATATATTCCCCGACGAACCGAGTCCCAGGTTTAGTAGTTGAGATTTTGCCAAGGCCATGATTAATAGGCATACCCCGCAGTAGGCATGGTTGAGCTGTTATCATGCCCGGTAACGAGCTGATAATTGCATATTGAGTACAGCACGGACGCAGCGTATGAAGATCCCGCTCTAAGAACATGGTTATCCCCGTTAGTATTCCCCCGGATTATTACCCCACAGCTTTTATCTCCCCATAGTGCTAGATGATTAGACATATATAGACTAGTCACTCTGATGTATAATTACTAGGAGCACCTGTCTATTATTCGGGGAGAGTCGGTACCTTTGAGTTTCTTATGAAGTAGAGATCATAAGATCCGTTCATAAGATCCATCCACAAGTCCCATACTCATTTTCTAGCGGTGTAATCAATTAGATACTGAATTGGCGCCCCGGCATACTTAATACTCCTCGGTCTAGCCAGCTTGAATCATAGAATTATCGGCATGACGGATCACAGCAACAACTCAATCAACCTCTACACCTGGGGTGTCTCTACATTCGCCGCTGTAAGTGTTTATATATACTGTAATTTTATGCCTCTAATATCGTTCAGGTTGGGTCTCTCCTATACGGTATCGACTCTGGTATTATTTCCACTACAATCGCACAGGACACCTTCCTAGAATACTTTGCGCCGTTTGACCGTACGTATCCCTGCCTGCTTACACACCCGATTCCTTACACAGTGGTGTATAGCATCTATCAAAGGCGCTGTTGTATCTACCTTCGGTGCTGGCTCCTTCTTCGGCGTGTTATTAGCTGGATGGTCAGCCGATAAATATGGTACGTGCAAGACCATCTCAGAACCTGTCCAGGGCTCGCCCGCTAATTTAATTATAGGTCGTAAGAGGACTATACAGTTTGCCGCTCTTGTGGCCCTGATCTCTGGAATTGTACAGGCGGCGGCAGTGGATGTGTCAATGTTAATAGTAGGCCGGATTCTTGGTGGATTCGCGGTTGGAATAATGAGTACGTATACACAACTATTTCCACTTCGTGAGAGACAGAATTTAACAAGCCCCCCCCAGACTTGACAATTCCCATTTACAACAGTGAGATTGCGCCACCGTCAAAAAGAGGCATGGTGACTGGCCTCCATGCACAGTTTGTAGGCTTTGGGTTCGCGGCCGCAAACGTACGATCATTCTTCCCGGGCTCTATAAATCTTAAGTACTGACAATACCACGCAGTGGATTGGATTTGGCTCGGGCTACGCCAGCGGCTCTTTCAAATGGCGCTTCCCCCTCGCGTTCCAATGTGTCCCAGCGATAATTCTCCTGCTCGGTAGCTATTGGCTTCCTTTCTCGCCCCGCTGGCTCCTTGAACGCGAACGTGACGAGGAGGCGTTCGAGATAATAAAACGTCTTCATTCCGGCAGTGGACGAAATGATGTTGAGCTGCGTATGGAGTTTGACAGGATGAGGGAGCAGATCAGGTATGATAATGCGGTGAATGTTAGGAGTGTGAGGGAGCTTGTGACGAAGAAGAGCTATCGGAAGCGATTAGCGCTAGCTATTACCGTCCAGGTTTTTACACAGCTAAGTGGTAAGATAAAACTCTTTTGAGAGGGTGCGGGTGCTGTGGCTGACTTCAGGTGATAGGAATTAACGTGATTAATTGTGAGTTATTTATGCCAATCGATATCTAGAAATGGGACTTGAACTGATAGTAGAGAGAGGAAAGACTACCAGACTGACCTCTATAAATCCGTTGGGATAACCGGACACACGGTCAATCTACTTGCCGGCTGCTACGGAATGGTTGGGCCGCTCGCCAACGTAGTATCCCCCTCCCACCCCTCTCCAACCTCTGCTAACATCATAGATAGATCATTTGCCTTCTTTACGTCGACACCTGGGGTCGCAAAAAGTCTCTATATATCACCGGTCTCCTAATGGCCATCGACATGTCGCTCATAATGTCACTCACCGCCGCCTTTGCCACCGGCACCAACCGTGTGGGTCAGGGTTGGGCCATTGCCTTTATATTCCTCTTCTCCATCATTTATTCAATGGGCTTCAACAGCATCCACATCATCTATGTCCCCGAGATCCTCAACCAGGCTATCCGTGCCCAGGGTAGCAGCCTGTCCATCATGTGCAATGTGTTAATTAATATCCTGTTCAACCAAGTCTCACCTATTGCATTCGCAAACATTGGGTGGAGATACTATAGTGTATTTATAGTCACGAATGTGCTTGGGGCAGTGACAGTATGGAGCTGGTTCCCGGAGACGAAGGGAAGGAGCTTGGAAGAAGTTGGGGCTCTGTTTGGGGAGGAGATTGTAGTTGAGAGTGATATAGCTGCGGCGAAGCTAGCAGTAGCAGAGGAAGAAGAGGTTGGTATTGCGAGGAGGGGAACTTGATGATGGGGTAAATAGGGGGATTTTGTGCTACAGAGTGATGTGGTCTTTGGCGTGTGTGATAAATTGATGAATACACGTTTATCTCGTACAAAATGACAGCCTCGTGTCCATTTCAGTCATGCCAAGATATGAGGGTTTATTACATGTATCACAGGCACAAAGATACTGCATGTAATACACGCAATCAAATCTATGCCCATCCTCAACGGATTAAAGTTTTTCAGTCCCTATCATTTAGATGATTTCAATTGCCTCACATTCCATCACTCGTTCATGTATTATCACTCGGTAAACCAGCGCGACAAATTGAGTTACTTCCGATTCTATGGTGACATTAAGGTTGGATTCGTTCAGATTTTTACCCTTTGTTTCTTAAGCTACATGTAGTTTCCTCCTCTTTATTTCCTGTTCCTGTTGCGAAACCCTTGACCCAACGTTTCTAACGGCCAACTCCAACGGTTTATGGAAACAATAAAAACGTATGGCCTCGCTCAACTGCTTCAATTCACCTTCTGATTACTTGATACTGAGTGTGATTTCTCAGTTTAGTAACTTAAGACTCATTGCACGGGAGAGCACCAGGAAAAAATTCCTAGGGGGTATTCTAGCTGGGCAGCGAAACTTTCTAAAATTGTAGCACCGGAAGCTCGGAAAAAGAGCCAGGCGCTGGTGTTGCAATCAATCTTGTATGGGAAAATATATCGTACTTGTTTCAACACAGGCTTACAACAGAAGTACAGCTATAAATGAAGGGGGATTTACTGTACGTACTTGCCTGTTTACTTGGTGGTGAGTCCCGCTTCGAAAATACAGAGAAGTATCAGGCCAGAGTTGTCTTCTTCCAAAAAAAAAGGATGCAAAAAGGTGAGTTCGGTACCCAGGATTCCCACATGGTCACCCACTGCAGTACTAACTAGGCGATATGTTGTTTATGTATGGCAGAACGGACGGGATGCCCAGCTTTCAACATTCTATGACCGAACACATGAGCATTAGCTGATTTTACATTCTTAATTTAGTGGAGATGTTTAGTCTTGATAAACCCAGACGCCAGCGAAACCGCCTGTAAATAATCCTATCAGGCGTTTTAGCGTTAACTACTAAGTAGGGAGTTAGGGTACAGACCCTCCTACATACGCGTAGCACCCGCACATTAACACTGAGCCTACTAGTAGTCTGGCACGAGACTAAAAAGTGTTGGTTGAAAGAGTTGAGTCCAACTCCAAGCTTTTCTTACAAGCGGGTCAGACACCACGCCTCCACTAGATCAAGAATGTAAAATCAGCTACTCCTCACGTGTTCGGTCTTAGAATCTTGAAAGCTGAGAATCCTAGGTACCAAACTCATATCACCCCGCCCTAAATTCACAGCCCGCAATTCCATAGAGTAAGAATCTTATAACCGAGTGATATATCATGATTCCGAGATTCTGCCAACTTCCTCACTCGTTCTACGAGATAGATATAAGCTATTCTGCATCCTCGATTTTTGACAGCCCCGTTTGTGATGTCATGTATGGGCAGTGTTTGAGTGGGGGGAGGTGTAAAGATACGGACTCGGCGTAGTAACATTTTCATTGCTGCAGTTTGCTGCAGACGCCTTTCCAAGCTGCATGCGAAGATGTTGGCGAGGCACAGTACAGGTCGTACAAGCGCCGGAAGCGCCCATACTCTTGAGTCTTGAAAAACTGTGCAATCGTAGACATATTTTTCCTCTGGGGGGGGAGCGCTGGAACCAAAAAAATCGCAGACGTGCGCATTAGCCGTAGTTCTCCGCCGAGAAGTAAAGCCCGAGGAAATTCTTACGGTATAAAAGCTTAGCTAAAGTCCCCATCCCTAACATGTAGTCTACTATGTACTAGAATACACTTTTTCTTAATTCGTTGCGGTCTGATTGGTCGACACCGACATGGGTGTTTAGTAAGCACGACACATCAAATTCAGAGCGGTTACCCTGCCTGCTTTGGTGCGGTTACCCTGCCTGCTTTGGTGCGGTTACCCTGCCTGCTTTGGTGCGGTTACCCTGCCTGCTTTGGTGCGGTTACCCTGCCTGCTTTGGTGCGGTTACCCGCCTGCTTTGGTGCGGTTACCCGCCTGCTTTGGTGCGGTTACCCCGCCTGCTTTGGTGCGGTTACCCCGCCTGCTTTGGTGCGGTTACCCCGCCTGCTTTGGTGCGGTTACCCCGCCTGCTTTGGTGCGGTTACCCGCCTGCTTTGGTGCGGTTACCCTGCCTGCTTTGGTGCGGTTACCCTGCCTGCTTTGGTGCGGTTACCCTGCCTGCTTTGGTGCGGTTACCCTGCCTGCTTTGGTGCGGTTACCCTGCCTGCTTTGGTGCGGTTACCCTGCCTGCTTTGGTGCGGTTACCCTGCCTGCTTTGGTGCGGTTACCCTGCCTGCTTTGTGCGGTTACCCTGCCTGCTTTGGTGCGGTTACCCTGCCTGCTTTGGTGCGGTTACCCTGCCTGCTGCTTGCCTGCTGCTGCTGCTGCTGCCAGCGCTGCTGAATTTGAAGTGTCGCGCCCGTTGCGGAGTTGCGGAAATGCACTAAAAAATACACGTTTTCGACCCTGAAAATAACCCCCGGTGCGTCAAGTCGCCGGAGCCCTCCTATTTTGCACCGGTTGGTCTATGAGAGCTGGGTGACAACACAAACAACTCTCTGAGACCAAACTCTACTGAATAAAATCTACTGAATAAAATCTACTGAATAAAATCTACTGAATAAAATCTACTGAACACAATCTAGCAAAATAAATTCTATTACATACTGTTCCATAGTGTTCTCACCCAGCTCTCTCAACAAAATGTCAACTATAAAATGTATACAATGTAAACGTGATAAGGAAATCGCGGATTACGATCTTGATAGGCATGGCCGGCCCCGTAAATCATGTCGGACATGCTTGGTGAGTTTTGAATTTTACTACGATTAATTGAGCTCTACTGATTCAAATCGAATAATTAGTCTCGCGCGTGTGAACATACACGTCGTCGAGCGGAAGCCAGACGGCAACGAATTGCGAATAATGAAGAAGTGAGTTGGAACATTTCTTTTAATATCCACTAATACTTGGGCCGTTATTCTAATAGATACTGTGACAGCCATTTCTCCCCTCAATCGCACCTGTAGTACCATTAGCATTCCAATCTGCTCGGGCACGTTGGAGGCAATTGGAGTTGGGTAGAATGAAAGTGATTTGTTCTTCCTGTCAATCGTTACATTGGATATGCGAACGCGTGCATGGAAGTTCAATTGCATTACCACGTTTTGAAAGTTGTTGCAAGAAAGGCGACATTCAGTTGCCGGCATTGGGACAAGCACCCGAGTACTTACAATACCTACTTGAATCTACTGATTCTGTACCCAAACAGTTCCGTGCCAGGATCAGGGAGTACAACTCCGCTTTAACCTTTACTTCTGTTAAGTACAACTCAGATGAACGCGTCGGCGCACAAGTTGCGGGTGTTCGATGCTTTCAAATTCACGGCGAGCTTTACCATCTTCAAGGACCATTAACTGCAGCGGCACAAGATACACCCAAATTTGCTCAGTTATATTTCTACGACCCAGTCTACGCAGCCTATTTGAGGCAACAAGAACATCCCAATCTGGACCTCGCTATCCTGGAACGCTTGACAAATGAACTGAACATTGTAAATCCATTCATTTCATTATACAAAACGGCAAAGGAACGGTTAGACGCTGCATCACAAGGGGATGGAAATGTACGCATGTTGCTCAATCCTCAGCTAAGGTTGGTGATGGAGCATGGGGCGGACAAGCGTCGGGAAAATCTGCCTACCAGCAACGAAGTCGCCGCAATAATACCAGATGAATACGGTGATTCAGGATTCAGGGATATTGTCCTAGCTCATAAAAATCCAGATGTCAATAGGCAGTTTAGTGTGATTGATCCCAACCATGACGCATATATGCCATTGCATTATGTTCTACTTTTTCCTAACGGAGAAAACGGTTGGCATTGGGGCTTGCGATTGCGGGATGAGTTGAACAGACGGAAGAATTTGAGGTTACAACAGCGAGAGTTTTACCGGTATGTTTCAATACCCTTTGTTCTGAATAACCTTTTGACGTATCTGACTTTTTGATTGACAATTCTGTGTATAGATACCGAATACATACGAGGACCACTGAGCCCATGACTTTGTTCCTCTCGCAACGACTTTTTCAGCAGTATTTAGTTGATGCTTGGGCTGTCTGTGATCAGAATAAGTTGAATTGGCTTCGATTGAATCAGGCAAACATCCGAGCTGACCTGTATAATGGACTGGCAGATTCCATGCGGCAAGAAGATTTTAACCCGGAGCAAACTGGGAAGCGCATCATTTTACCACGAAGTTACACAGGTGGAGACCGGTATATGCTCCAGTTGTTTCAAGATTCCATGGCCATCGTTCGACATTTGGGGCGTCCCTCACTGTTCGTTACCTTTACGGCAAACCCAAAGTGGGAAGAGATTACTGCGGAGCTACTACCGGGGCAAACTGCTGTTGATAGGCCAGATTTGGTTGCAAGGGTATTTCATCTCAAACAACAACAACTTCTCCAAGAAATAAAGCGAAAACACATCTTTGGACGGTATCTTGGCTCAGTTTGGACTATAGAGTATCAGAAAAGAGGACTGCCACATATGCATCTACTGATCTTTCTGCATCCGGATGACCGTTTTTTGACAGGGAGAAGATGGATGAAATTGTGTGTGCAGAGTTGCCAGACCCTGCGACTGATCCTACTGGGGAGCTTACTGAGGTAATCAAAAGCTGCATGGTACACGGTCCATGTGGAGAGGCAAATACACGATCACCTTGCATGGCTTCAAAGGAAAACAGTGGACCAAAATCATGTTCCAAACGGTACCCAAAGGCCTATCAACCCGAGACAGTTGTACAGGAGGATGGTTATCCCCTGTATAGAAGGCGTAATGATGGCAGAACATGGACAGTGATGGTAAGGGGATCGGGGTTTGCTAATCAGTATACAATGGATAATAGATGGGTCGTACCATACAATCCATATTTGTCTAAGCGTTATAAAGCACACATTAACGTAGAAGTCTGTGGTTCAATCCATGCGATCAAGTATATACATAAGTATATATATAAGGGCTCAGATCGAACAACACTCCAGGTTGGGAGTGACTCGGATGAAATCAAACGATATCTCCAAGGACGTTATATAGGACCTACTGAGGCTGTATGGCGTTTGTTTGAATATGGCATGCATGAGGAATACCCGTCAGTTATTCACTTGGCTGTCCACTTACCAGGCGAGCAACCGGTGTACTACGGTAACGATGCGAACCGGGAAGAGTTGATACAGAGGATGGAAAACTCGAGAACAACGTTGATTGCGTATTTTGAGTATAATACAGAGCACGAGGTTGGTATACAGTATCTCTATCAAGATTTTCCTGTACACTTTACCTATGACGCTAGATCGCGGAAGTGGGCACCTCGAAAACAGGGGGTCGCAATTGGACGTATGTGGCATTGCAACCCTATGATGGGGGAGAAATATTTCATGCGTTTGTTGCTGACTGTTATCCCCGGGGCAAAATCTTTTGAACATCTTAGAACTGTAGAAAACATACCGCATCCTACTTTTTAAAGCTGCATGTATTGCTCTTGGTTTGCTTGAGGATGATCAGGAGTGGGTGCAATGCTTTACTGAAGCGAGCTTATTCTCAAGTGGATATTCCCTCCGTACACTCTTTGCTACAGCCCTACTCTTTGGTAACGTGACTGACCCTTTGGCATTATGGGATAAATTTAAAACAAACATTTGTGATGACTTGCCCCATGCATTGGAGAGAAACCCAGGACTGATTGTACCTCCTGAACTGCCTGATGCCTATCTGGACTATGGTCTTTACCTGATATCACAAATTCTTGCGGACTCCAATAAATCACTTTCAAACTTTGGGTTGCCCTCATACATGGTAGATTGGAATCGAACGGGTGGGAACGAAATGGTTGCATCTGAACTGCGATATGACATGGAAATGGAGGCCGCAAGCCTACAGTTGAGGATTCCAATGCTCAATACTGATCAACTCCAGTGCTTCAACACTATTACACACAGTGTTGAAGAACGTTCATCAGCCCTATTTTTCATACAAGGGCCTGCAGTACTGGAAAAACATTTCTCTATAATGTTATCTGTAACCATCTCCGTTCTCAAGGTAAAATTGTTCTCTGCGTGGCTTCTTCCGGTATTGCAGCACAGTTACTCCCTGGAGGCAGGACATCGCATTCAAGGTTCAAAATTCCAATTGCGATACATGAGACCTCAACCTGCGACATAAAATGGGGCAGCCTCCTAGCCGGTTTGATAGAACAAACTGCTCTGATAATCTGGGATGAGGTACCTATGCAGAATAAGTACTGCTTTGAGGCTGTTAGTCGTACCCTGAATGACATTTGTGGAGTTGGTGATGATTCTCTGTTTGGAAATATTCCGATCGTACTCGGAGGGACTTTGCACAGATTTTACCAGTTGTGCGGCGTGGTAATCGAGCTCAGATAGTGCAGGCCTGCCTTCAACGATCATATTTGTGGCAGCACTTCAAAATCTTGAGACTCAAAATTAACATGCGGGTTCGTGAAGGTGTTGTTAATGAGGAGTTTGCGGATTGGCTTGGTGGAATGATGCATAATGCTCAATGGTACGGTAGAATCTCTTTACCGCCGTTCATTCAAAGCTGTAAAACAGTTGAGGATCTCTGTTCGCATGTCTTTCCACGGCGGATAATCGAATCGGCAACCGTAAATTACGCTGCGTTTTCAAAGCGCGCGATTCTAGCGATGCGAAACGATACAGTCGCTGAGTTCAATGATAGGGTTTTACAAGAAATTGAAGGCGAAATTCATACCTACTACTCAGCTGATACAGTCGACAGCGAAAATTCAGAAGATAATTCGAACCTACTACCTCCGGAATACCTGCAGAATCTGAATCCATCTGGACTTCCACCGGCAATTCTCAAACTAAAAGTGGGGGCGCCAATAATTCTACTCCGTAATTTGTATCCGAAACAGGGTCTCTGTAATGGGACGAGAATGACTGTGACAAGGCTTGGTAGACGGTGCATCGAAGCTAGAATTCTGGATGGTGAGTTTGATGGCCAGCCAAAGGTTATTCCACGCATCCAGTTATCATCCGCTGAGGGTGATCTCCCTTTCATCATAATAAGAAGGCAATTGCCTATTCGGCTTTGTTTTGCAATGACCGTCAATAAAGCACAAGGTCAATCATTGGATGTTGTTGGAGTTGACTTGCGGTCTGATTCCTTCACTCACGGGCAGCTGTATGTAGCACTATCAAGAGTTACCGACGTGACCGGCTTGATGGTATTGCAAGGAGAGGAAAATGCAGCCACAAACCGATAACATCGTTATACCCGGAGTGCTGTTGTAAAGAGGGTATGGTATTCAAATCTACTTTTAATAATGATGTTAACATTGATGTTAGCATTCTGATCATAAACGCTCGGCAAATTGAAGCGTAGTAGTACGGTAATTTTGGGATTTCTAGGAACGTTGTAGGTAATGGTAATAATCATCTCTATCTCAATCTCAAACGAAAAACTGATATTGATATAGATACTTGGTAGCAGAAGGCTGAGGGTTTGGGTTAGTGTTGCGGTTAGGGAAAGATAAAACTGGGGGTTACAAAACGTAAAGGTAAATATCTCAATCTCAAACGAAAAAACTGATATTGATATAGATACTTGGTAGCGGAAGTCTGAGGGTTTGGGTTAGTGTTGCGGTTAGGGAAAGATAAAACTGGAGGTTACAAAACGTAAAGGTAAATATAATTTCTGTTTCCGTTGCTTGCGAAATACTAACTTACTCATAGATTTAGATTGGGATTGCGGGCGGTGGAGAGTAATTTTAGGGTAGTTTTGAAAGGGGTATAAGAGTTTATTGTTATGAGTTAGAATTTTGTTTTTTTCTTTATCTCTCTCTGTATTTTCTTTTTTTTTCTTTATCTCCATTTGTATTTTCTTTTATTTTCTATTTTCTTTTTTTCATTTTTTCTTTTATTATTGTAACTAAATCGCAATGCATCTATTTTCCAAAATTGCAACACCTCGCGGTCGCGAGGTGGCCAACACCTAGTTTCGCAATTGACACTCCACAGGGCCATGAAAATCGAAAATAGATATCTCAGGGAAACTTCTAGCATGATTGACTCGAATCTCAAAGCGGAACCTGCTCGCAATTTGTCATTCCTACAAAAGAGCATTCACGCTGCTCGTGAACGCACTGGTCAGTTTCAAATTCATTTTCACAGTCCTTTGGACTAACGTTCACCTCCTAGGTTCTATCGAAGCTGTTGGTGGAGCTACAAATCCAGGAGCTACAAATAATACTCATCAGCTTACTGGTCAGTATCCTAATTCTCTCCCTTCAATTCAGTAAGCTAACAGCAGCCGAGTAGGCGACATCAAACACCAAAATGAAGCCCGCCAGATGGAAGCGATGAAAGAGAATGATTCCAAAGCAAAAAGACAATGAATGCAGTAATAGCTGGGAATTAGAATAATGACGAGAGCTCATTAGAACTGAATACGATTCCATGGTACTCGAGATACCATAAGATGGACCACTTTTGTAAGAAGACCATTAGATCTTCACCCTCTATCCTGGTATACGAACTCTCACTCTGACTGTGCTTTATACCAAACAGCGTATACTCTTCTTTTCAGTCGAGGTTTTCAACGAATATTAAACTTGATACACTTAACGAGAGATTTCGCTCCAATGAAACTGACAAAATGGAATAAGAAACTATACTTGTTCTAGCCAATGTCACTCACAAGTTCGGCTGATTCTTCTATAGTAGTACCAAATAGATTCGACGGACTCTCTCACACTTTGATAACACTTTTCAAACACTTACACTGTCTGTCTCAACCACTACTGGTTACTCACAAGTTAAATTGAATTCTTTTACTACCTTTTTTGTGAAAACTGTTGTATTCTTTCAATAAATATCACTTAGTCGTACTTCTCGAGAACTCAAAGCTTTGTTCACTAAATTCTCATACTCTACTCCGAAAAATGTTACACTGCGTGATATCTTTGAATACTTTATTCTCTGGTCATTTGAACAAGTCTTGTAATCCCTTTTTTTTTTAAATATTCCAACATAGATTATCACTCGCCCTGTCCCAAAACTTGTCTGTGGAGAACCCAAACCTCTCGAGAACCAACCACTCTCGGATACCATATCCTGCCAGAGCATTAATGTTAGTGAGCAAATCCACATTCACATTCTCTCCTGAGTGCATATCTAAAATAAATCCACAGTCATCTACTGTCACTCGTACCGCCCGAATCCATTCCATCAAGTGAACATATCTACAGTATGATATTTTTTACTTATACCCACACCTTGAGTGTATTTCGGTGATTATAGCCAATTGAAATCTACTCTCTCAGTACAAAGTGTAAAATAAATTTAAACTCACTCATTGTCACTCGGTAATCCGAAGCCTTTTCTACATAGATACATACTCCAAAAGCTTATTGTTCCTTTTTAATCCCCGGTACTCGATATACTGTATCATTAGTGACCGAACCCACCTCTTCTATAGCCCTTCGTCAAAAGAATTAAAATTCATTGCCATTCATAAACCGTCTCTCGTCCCCCCGAAAACCTTCCTCCCTAAATACATACAACCACAGCTGAACATTACTTACTCCTATCTATACTCTGAAAATAGATTTTAATTATCAAAGTAACCATCATCACTATAGTAATCTGATGTCATATTTCAATTTAATCTAGATTCACCAAAGGTCACTCGTTATAACCAAGTTCAACGCAGCAACAGCTGCGAGTGACACTGTGAATTTCATATATAAAGTCCTTGAATTAAAATACCACCCCCTGCATCAAGGGCACTTAGAATGCCTACTGCGGCAACATATATTACTACAATACCCACAACTCTTCTCCCCCTCACCTTCAAACCATGCTATTTAGACTCTGCGAGAGGTGATGTGTTAAGTAGCCAATAGCATTATATTTCCGACGTGTTTTTAATCACTGAACTAGATTTATGCAATGATAGAAGTTAATTTATTTCCCTCCACTGATAGCAAATCCCCGCAGCCTACACAAGAGATATCTATTCCTACTAGATACCTTTTCGCATCCGATATAACCACCTCCATACACAAATATAAAATCAGTCTCATGCTCACTGTCATTATAGCTCAAAAGTAATTAATTTCATGCCTGATCTGTAATGACCTATCGTCATTTAACCCTTCTTCACAACCTTATTCCCCCCATAGCGAATTCAAGAACCCAGCCATATAAGCCCAACCACAATGAACCTATAATTAACACTCGTTAAAAGCTCTTCGAAACTAGCATATTTCTTTACTAACCTTATCTTTAAATATCGATTGCCATATCGAAAACCCTCATGAGGTTTGTGCTTTTTTGACCATGAACCCAGACCAGCTTTCCAATCCAAGCAGTGTACTCATCGGGGTTAAAGACTTCGACACCCATAAGCCCCTTGATCTTCACCCTCAATCGCTGATAAATTGAGCAACATATACCACTAGCATGATAACATGTGGCCCATATTTGCACGTTAATTTCTGACCCATATTACTCCTTGAAACTTTGCAAATATGCTGAGGTAGTTGGCATCGGAAACAGCAGGCATACTGATCGCATTTCACAACATTTCTCCACTCCCAGTAGGAATTATAGTCACTACTAATCCCCTGTAAACTGAGCTTACTATACCTCCCAGTACATTCCTTGCTTGGATGATCAAGCTCGGCTTCCACTCGAGAACCCATCAACAGTACCCAACATGAACCAGCGGCTTCGGCATTGCTCCCTCATCCTGTGCCAGTACTCGAGGCCAATGCAACCCTTTCGACCCTCATCTCCTCGACCCGCAATGCATAAGGTTCCGTTTTTTGAAATGACAGCCTCCGTTACTAAATTTCCTAGTTCATTGAACTCAAGACTTTGAAAAAACCTCAATCTGGCAAGCCTAACACTTGATGGGGCACCAGGCTGGTCAGTGTCGTGGATTCCTAGATCTCACACCCACTAAACACCCGAAGCCCTTCATTCACCATCTTCTATTTTTACAGTTTTTCAACCAATCGCAAGAGTATCTCATCGTCGTGCTTCGAAAAAAACGATGGTGCTTGTAGTCCCTTCGCCTTTTCCTTGCATTGCCATGATTGCTTCATCCTATACCCCACTAGCTGCAGATACCCCTCATTTGATTATTTCATTCCCGATCCGATTCTGAATCAATGATTACAAGTTGTTGATCGGACAACTCTAAATTTCACCGGAAAGCTGCATGCCTACCTTTTTTGGCTGAGCACACTGTTAATACCTCATCCCGTGCTGCACCAATAGCGATGTTTACCTTAGCGGTGATCGGATTTTGAAGCCATCAACTACTCGGTGGCCAGTCCAGCAGCGTAGGAGATTCTTTATCTCGATTATTCCTCGACATTTGGTACTGGACATTTTACAATCCTTTGCTTAAACAAGCTGCCAGTCCTAACAAACTTGTATGCTCCTCATGGGAATATAGATCCTGAATTTCACTTAGGCAGTTATCGCATAATTCGTCTGATAACCGGAATTCCCTCACCTCATACCATACCCATCAAAATACTCACCAAGTCTGTTTTTTCTACTAGTTTTTTTGCAGTAAAGGGTATAGATTCCTCTCTTTATAGTATCAAAGTGATCTTATGTGTATTTATTGTGCTAGAATCTTGATAGGCCCACAGACTTATCACCTGGGAATAGGTATTAGACCCATTCTCGCAAACCTCTGGGTATTTCTAGACCATAATTTTTCTCGTTGTTCCTGGAAAGCCTAACCCTGAACTTGCTGTAAGGATATATTGGCTATCCCTTAACCCGTCAATTTTTTTTTTTTTTTTTTTTAAATCATGTAGTTTTAATTAATTCTAGGTACAAAACTCTGCATGCAGCCATAGTCTATGGCATAAAAATACCTCTCCCCGGCTTAGAAAAATACAAACTTCACAACCCCAGAGGAACAAAGGAAACTATGAAAAGAGTAACTGTACTAACATTCTAACTAGTTGGTGGCAAGGAGAGACAACGAGCTTCGGCGGTCCATATCCGACATAAGAAAGTCTTTCTGCTGGTTTTTAATAACCTGTTGCCCTTTGAGGGTCTTTGCGGGTGTGGGGCTCTATGAATTGTGGAGGCAGCTTTGTGGAGGCCAGGTGGAAGAGGGAGGGGAACTGAGCGCACTTGACGTCTCTGATACAGACAGGAGGGGAGAGATATGTTCTCTTCTAGGGAAGTTTGTTTTGGTGGCGGTGATGAAGGCTTCTAGAGCTAGTGTGTTGGTGTGGTTGCTCCAGATCTCTTCGAGGGTGTTGATTCCTGGGAGGAGTTGAGTGCGTTGGGTTGCCTTTGCTCGGCAAGAGAGGATGGCATGTTCGGTGGTTTCAGGGCCTTCGCCGCATCTGTCACATGTGTCGGAGAGGTGGAGATTGAGCCATGATTTGTGGCCTATAAGGTAGCTTTTTGGGCTCTCATTTGGTGAATTCGAGTAGCCGTGAATTTGTGCAGGTCCATGAAGGGTTCAGGGCTTGTGGTGAGGGGGAAGGTGTAGTAGGGGGGTGTCGGAAAGTCGTGAGCTCAGTTATCCAGCATCTGTTCTTTTGCTAGCTTTGGGAGGAGCTTATGGTTTGTTACTCTTGTGATTGGGTGTCGGAGAAGGGAGCATAGGTGTTCGATGGGGCGGTAGGCCACTTCTTTTGTTGCTGTAGAGTTCCACTTCTTACGTGGGTTAGGGCGGCCCCACAGGAGGCGTGTGTGGGAGGGTACTCTGTCGGGGGACAAGGTAGGGAAGGAGGGGTGACAGCATCCTGTCACTGGATTGTTGAAAGGGTGGGCGAGTAGGACACGGATGGCAAACTTCATTTTTAGGTAGTGGATTTAGTGGATGAGGGGGGGGCAGTGGGCTTCGGCGTAGAGGACCCGACGGTTAGTTGCCTTGAAGCAGCCAGTGGCCCATCTGAGTACTGAGTACCAGAATTTATTCATGGCTTTGATGGAGCTGGTGGGGGTGAGGACAGATGCCCCGTATGTGAGCATTGGACGGATGGCGAGTAGGGCAATTTTCCTACAGGTGGATGAGGAGAGGCCTTTGCCGGCGAAGGAGAATCTCTGGAAGATTCCGAAGCTGGCTTGGGCGGAGGCTAGGCGGCGGATAAAGTGGGTGTTTGGGTTGAACTTTGGGGATAGCCAGAAGCCGACCCATCTGACTTGGTGGCCTGGGTGGAATATCTGGTTGTCGAGGGTGATAGGGAGAGTGCAGGTTGGCGCCTTGTCTCTAGGGGTTTGCCAGTGCATGAGTTCAGTTTTGGGGATTGAGAAGGTGGTGTTCTGAGCGGCCGTGATGGTTGTGATCGCCTTGAAGTGTTCTTCGAGGATGTGGATGTTTTGCTGGTAACTGGGGAGAGAACCCCTGCTCCTAATGCAGTTGTGGCAACAAGAATCCTACTCTTCCCATTGGCGAAATCGTCGAGTATTGCATCTTTATCACCAGTTCTCGAGTGATACATCGAGCAATTCAGAGTTCTCGCAATATTTTCACCCTCTTTGCAAGACCTGGTATATATTAAGGCTTGTGCATTGGTGTTACTAGAGAAGTCTGACATAATCTCATCGAGATGCTTCTCTATTGATGTTCTACTGCCGGTGAGTACTGAGTATGCGATGTTGGATCGTGATACTCTAGCCCGCACCAAGGCAAAGCTCGGTATGAATGCCGCTTTCCTCAGCTCGGGTTCCATCCAGCTTGGCAGGGTTGCAGTCAGAAATATACATTGTACACCGATGCCTGTAAACCAGTCGAGCTTTGTAAATGACTCCCTGAAATTGACCATGGTGACAAGCATATGTGCTTCGTCTACTACTACCCTATCTAATCTCCCAACTTCCTTAATTCTCCGGATATATTGTCTGAACTTCGCCGATACTGCCGACTCCACTGTAACAACTAACAATTGACTATCCTGTTTCATGTCCTTACCCCACAGCTGGCAGTCGAGTTTTAGGGTGCTCGCCCTCCTTACAATATCCTGCGAGAGCGCAATGAATGGTGAGATTAGAACTGTAACCCCTGCACCAAGCTCCAGCGAGGGGCCCTGCAAAAGAATACTTTTGCCTCCACCAGTCGGCAGTACCACGACTAGCGGTGATACCCCCTTTAACAAAGCTGCGAGAGCCTCCTTCTGCTCTACCGACTTGAATTTGGCATCGTTACCATATAACCCATTCAGTATCTGATTGCACCGGATGTGTGTTTCTTCATTGGTCAATCCTCTTGATTTCTGCTGTACAGATACCTGCCCAATCTCCCTGACTAGATCTGCAGTCGCTGATTGTGTAATGCTCTCCACACTCTCGGGGTTTTTGTCCTTCGTCTTCGTTCCTGTAACCCCCTCAAGTACCTCACTTTGAGCCAATAAGTTTTGCTTTGGATACACAAGCTTGTGCCAATCGCGGCTGATTAATCCAAATATATTCATCGAGCTCTCTGTCAACTCATTCAAAGTACTTGCATTGACAGGATAAAACCTATCTGCTACAGCACTCGAATGTGCAGCTTGCAAATCGAGGCCCTCCTCCTCGGCTTGGGAGTCTTCATCTTCAAAAGGCTTTTTCAAAAACCTTCTTCCCATAGAAATAGCCAGGTGTCGGTAGGTGGAAACTCCAAATTTGTGGTCTACACCGAATTCTGAGCAGGTTACTCTTTTGAGGGCATCTGTGAGTCGATCGCTCTCCCATGCCTCTTGACCATCATTCGAAAAGAGATAGTATCTGGAAGAGAAGGAAACTTGTGACTTTTTTGTCATAGTTGTATGTTACAGGATTACGGAATTACGGAATACTGTCCTAAAAGGCTTAGAACAGTGAGGAATACGAGTGACGGATTGTGATGCGAGGTGACGACGTCGGGGGGTAACGGTCGGACAAACATAAGGACAAGCATAGAAGGTATCGGGTAGTGTGGGGGCACGCTTACGGTGTTAGTTACTATACTACTTATATACTATTATGACGGCACGCTTACTGTTGGGTGTCTCACCCGAAATAGAATAGGAAGCGGGGCTTACGGCTGTAGGCTGTTTTCTACTCAGGGAAGTAGGTCTAGGATAATAGTATGGTACAGCCCGATGACTGGCAATTGCAAGGTTCATGGTTACGTGTCGGAATTAGAATGGAGGACGGAACTATGCGGGGCGCTTTTCTATCTGGGGTATCTCGGGAGCATTGTCTTATTCTATTATCGTTGTATCAGTTAGTATTAGAAAGCGCGGCCTTGGCCTAGGTTCCCAACATGTATAAATAGGGCAGGATTCTGCGAAGACTTGAGGGTATATCATCAACCATCAAGTCAAGGGAATCCGGGTTTACAATATCATCAGTTTAAACGCTACAGAAATTATCGCTTAGCACTGGCCATTTCCCCAAAACACTATATATGTACCTTATCCCTAACTTTTACTCTTTACCTACCTATCGCATACACTACCAAAAGTCTCGATAAGACAACTACTCGCTTAAACCCATACTTTGAGTATTTTGCTTAGTGGCGGATAGTCACCGTGCTCTTAGTAGAAGAATAAGCGCTTAGTCTATTAGAAAGAGACCAAGGTACTATATGCACCCCCGAGTGGCAACAGCAGCCATCAATAACTACCTTTGCGCTACATCCTTCATCGTACGAAGAGGAAGCGCCGAACACCTATACTGCGGATACCTTCATTACACAGGTTTCTTCGCAGAAGCAGGAACCACAGCCACCTTTGAGGAACACGATCCCGAAATCCTCAACTACCCAGAACTCTTCCCAATCAAGATCACCCTCTCGCAACGGTCTTTCGGACTTGCTCACCCAGCCCCTTGGTTCATCGCTCAACCCTGGTGCAGAAGGCAACCACAGCTCAAACTCGAGCAACTTAGCAATGTCAAGGGCTCATCAGCAACGGTCGGAGGAAGACTACAACATGGAGAGCTCAATCGCCTTGAGAGATCGAGGTATATTGGAAACCCAGGCGAAGAGGCGCCACAGGAAAGAGAGAGATGTGCCGATAGGCTCCCTCTTCGCATCGACGAGGCAGGAAGAATCATATGGGCAGGCGAGGAGGCGGCAGGTAGACCACAGGGAATTCTCCCCATACGTCACCCCAATCAGAGAGAGATCCTCTACTCAGAGGCCCTCGTGCGTTAATCCTCGGGTAATGGACGACGACGAGGATACCAACATGGACGTGGAGGAACGGCGGGTGGAGAACCCTTTTGGCGACCTTATTGGGCAAGAAGTCCAGCGACAAGGGGGCCCCCGTGGTGCAACAGCTCAGCCGTGGGATCGAGGAACTCAGCATGCACGTACGGGACATTCCATCCTCAGAGAAACTAACTCACCAACGTCACTCAGCAGCAGGAGTACCACCAACAAGATCGTCGAGGACCTCCACGCCAAGTTTGCTGGACAGACCCGAGAGCCGAGCGCGACAATCAGCTCAACCAGGTCATGGCTCAGCTACGAGCGGAATCCACGCCCCGCTACCAGCAACCACCTCGGTCAAAGTCCTTGGGCAGATCGTCGAAGCAACTAGGGCGCATCAGGAGAGGCAGCAGAGCGACAGGATATCAGCACATAACGCGCTGACCAACTTCGTCCAGCAACTCCCAAAGGATGGCCCAGTGCAGATACCCGCGGAAGTTGCGGCTGCCCTCAAAAAGATGGAACGGGACAGACAAGCTGCGATGGAAGACCAGTTCGCGGGTACGAAGAAGAACCTGGAGGAGATTATCGAGCAATGATGCGGGTAGCAGCAGCAGCCAATAGAACGGCAGCAGCCCCTGAAGGCTCAGGAGGCGGGGGCGTAGTACCCCCCCAACCTCCACAAAACCCCCCTAGCAATTCCGGAGAAAGACCGGAAGAATCAGCAAACCAACCCCCCGTACCCCCTCGCTCTGAGGCCAGGAGCCAACAAAGTGAGCAAGGAGGCAGGGAGGCAACGCAACGGCAATATGGTAATGGCGGAACCACGAGTCCCCCTCCACTCATCCAGGATTCAGAACGCGCGGCGAGCAGCCGAGGAACAAGAGGAACCCACCCCCACCCCCTCCCCCGATCCGACTCATCCAGCCTCGAATCAGGATTCAGAGGACGAGCCTCGCGCGAGGGAAGGCACAGAAGCGAAGGCAGAGAAGAAGAGGACGTGGCGAACGCTAATAGGCAGCAAGAGTAAATCTCATGCAAGCCCCCTCTCGCGCCACCCTGGGAGACACGCCAAAACAGGCAAAAATCCCCTTCTCTGGAAAAAGCCGAACGAAGACGTCGACACGTGGACACATTGACCAAATGGAAGTCTTAATTGAACTTCAGAGGAAAGTCCGGTGGGATGACCAAACCAAGATCCTATGGGCATCCTTGGAACTTACCGGGAGCGCGGCAAAAATTCTGGCGAAACTTCGTGGAACGACTATCGGTTGACCCCGAATGGGACATGGAAATTTCAAAAACGAATTACGGATTCAATATGGCAATCGGACTAGTCAAGAGCAAGCCAAGCAGAAGATGGATAGGCTCCGTCAAACTGGCATGATCGATGACTACATCAATGAGATGCAGAATCTAGAATGGGACGCAAAGGTCGGGCCCATCGTAATGAAATCCATGATCCTAACAGGAATAAACTCCTCGCTGGAACAACGCCTCTCGAATGCGATCGAGGAACCAGAAAATTTCGCAGAATGGCTAGCATGGGTTAGAAAGGTCGGACGAAAGGATCACGAGGTGAAGGCCCGGAAAGAAATCTTACGTGGCAAAGATGTCGTGAAACCTCGTGAGGAGAAGTCGGAACGGCGAAAAATCGCGCAACCCCGCACCTCGGAAAACTTTCTCCGCGCCAGCACACAACTCCAAGGCCTCGGATGACTTAGGTGTCACCAAGGACGAGAAGGAGAAGTGGCAAAAGGAAGAAAAGTGTTTCCGTTGTGGAAGAGATAACCACTTTGCGAAAGATTGCGTGGCGACGAGTAAGGTCAGGATAACCGACCTGAAGAGGAAACGGTATCCTTCCGGAGGAAAGGACCACGGAAGGGAGGGTGAAAAGAAGCGAAAATTGGGCCCCCAGAATGAGGTATTTAGGGCAAGGATTACAACTTTGGAGGATCAAAATTGATTGGGTATTTCTATTTTTTCGGTATCTCATGTTGCGTTCTGGTTTCTTTCTATTTTGTTGCGGAAACAAGGATTTTATGTATTATGGTTATTTTTATCGGTGGGCTACGGGATTTTCTATATTTGTTTTGCTACACGCGCGGAAATTCAATTCTCTTTACACACACTCTGAGGATGGGGTTACACCCCGAAACGCCTGGTGCGTAAGTGTTGTACCATGATCTTCATCAAACACTCGAACTCTCTATATAAAACCCCTCACCCCGCGCTCAACAAAAGAGAAAATCCATCGAACCAACCCACATCAAACCAATAAACAACCTTTTATTAAACCAACATACAAACATGGCTTCCAACACACAAGAAACTCGCCTCGAGATCGAAATCTCTTGGGACCACCCCGCAACTAGTACCAAACATGTCGCGACAGTCAACGCCCTCTTGGACAGTGGCACAGAAGACTGGA